CGTCTCCAGATCGCCCTCGCGGCGGGCCACGCGCGCAATGACCTTTTCAATGTGGCCGAGGTCCTCGTCGAGCTTGTCGCTCTTCTCCTTGACTTCGATGAAGCGCCTGTCGGGCTGGTGGACCTTTGTGAAGGCGTTGATGAAGGTGTCGGCAAAGTTGTCAAAGACGCCGCTCGAGCCGCCGGGGTCGCTGGCTATGCTGCCGCGGGCGGTGCGGCTCTTGACCGTGGCGTTCCAGTCGGGGCTCTCGAGGAAGCTGTGCAGGATGGTGCTCCGGCGCAGGACGGGGTGCAGCGACAGGCGGTTGAGGAAGCGCTGCAGCGAGTGGGCGCGGCGCGCGGTGAAGTCGCCGCCGAAGCGGTCGCCGCGGACGTACTCCATGCGCTGCTTGTCCGGGATGGGCGGGACGGCGCAGGCCGGGTAGTCTCGCATCAGCTGCTTGAACAGGAAGGCGAAGTCTGTGAAGCGCCGCCTTACGGTGGTGACTTCTTTCTGGAAGGACGGGAACGTGGACTAGAGGCCATGAGAAGTCAGCTTTCAAGTTGTCTGGAGATGGTTTTGTCGTTTGGAACTTGTTGCGATAGCATCAACACGAGGAAGAGGCGGGGTAAATAACAAAGGGAGAGAGAGAGAGAGAGCAGGGTATGTCAAACAGAGGAACAAGACGAAGCAAAGAGTTCCCTGCAATATCCCTCTCTTGTTTGGAGGCCGTAGAGCCAACATACGTGAGTAGTAACAAGATACGACACAAACGCATCCTTGGTGCCGTCATTCTCCTTGATGGGCGACCCAACCGTGCACTCGAGCTTCTCGCGGCCGATGCCCATCGACGAGCTGTTGCCGGCCTCCTCCACGGCGCGCGCGGGAGCTTCAGCGGCGGCGGCGGCGGCCGAGCGCTGCGCCTGGTCGTGGACGTGGTCGCTCCATGTGACGTTGGAGAAGTCGTCGTGGTCGTTGTCGTGGTGCGTCGTCATGGCGGGAGCATCTGCGGTTTGCGTGGGGGTGAGAGGAGGACGTGTATCTGTTGCGACAAGTTGGAGTCGAGGCCTCTGTGAGAAGTTGTTTGGGCGTGGCAGAGTAGAGGAGGGAGTGCGGTCGAGGTGGTGGAACAAGGTAAAGAGAGGAAGAAGCTGCGGGCGAGGTCGAGGATCGAGCGTTGGTGGCGTATGTGCGAGGCTAAGTCGAGGGCGTTGGAGGTGTTGGAGTGGACGGAGCTTCAATGGAGCGTTTGCGAGGCAGTTCTGGAGGGACCTGCCCTGGGCCAAGGTACCGCGCAGGTACATGCGGTGCCGCAGCCCTCCGCACTCTCCCAGCTGCACATCGCTCTCGGTACCTGCGGGGGACATGATGACGCAACAGCTTGGCCGCAACAACTTAAGACAAACTGGCTCGCAGCCTGCAGCGGCTTTCTTTCCGGCCAAACACCCTTGGGAGCTTCAATGTATGTAAGAAGATGCACAACATCGGTGATAAGTCATCTGCATTCAATCAACCACTGCATTGTCTCTGTGTAGACAGACGCAGCATCATATGAGGCATAACTTATAGAGGCGCCCACTGTGGGCAACATAGCAGAACTGGTGCCCATGATGCATGTAAGGTAGATGATGAAAGGCAGTACAGGTTACTGAATCGTGATAATAATATGCGTCGTCTATTGGTGATTTCCTGTGTCGAGATGTCTATAAAATACCCTCTCCCCATACTTTCCATGCTTTCATCATCCGCAATTGCTAACAACATGATTCCCTTATCCTTTCGGGTATGCGGTACCCACTGTACATAGGAAAATGGTAAGAATAACACATTGTTTGACTGCCGGCGCTTGCGTGTACGCCGTGATTTGCTTCCTTTATAACCTTTTTTTTGGTCTTTCTGTCCTCCCGCCTTTTCCATATTTATACAAGTCTTCGTTCAGTCATCATTTCTGCTCCTTGGAAGCGGCCTTGTGCTCAGCCTCGACGGCCTTGATCTGCTCCAGCTCAGCGTCAACCATCTCGCCGACGGGCTTCGGGTCAATGCCGCTCTCGGCAGCTGACATCTGCCGCTCCTCCTTCTCGTCAATGTCGTCGACATCGCGAGGAGTGGCAAAGCCAGTTGTCTGGCTCTCCTTGTTCTGCATCTCCTCCTCCTCAATGAGCTCCTGCTGCTCCTTGAGAACCTCGAGACGCTGCTTGTTGGTGGCAGCGCCCTCGGCGTTGTGCACCTCGAGCTCAATCTCGTGGAACAGCTCTTCTGGGATGGAGGACAAGACGCCGACGAGAGCATCGATCTGGCTTGAGCTCTCAGCAGACCCCTGGCCGTACATGTAAGCGTTGCTCAGGACGAGCAGGGTAGAGGGGATGCCCTCCTTGAGACGCAGGTCCAGCCACGTCTGCAAGTCGGCCCTCATCTTGGCCGGGGATACGCTGTGGGTGCGGATGCCGCGGGCGGCACATGCGAGCTGCAGCTCGGCGACGGTCAGGCTGTCCACGCCCTCGTAGGCGATGGCCTTGTCGTCGCGCTTGATCTGACGCATGCGGTGGCGGATCTGGTATCGCAGCATCGAGTCGGTGCCAAAGGTGTTGAGGCCCATGTATCGGCACATGGACACCAGCTGAGGGCGTGACAGGTTGTCCAGAGTCATGTCGTCTCGGAAGATCTTGCAAACCTTGATGACGTCTTGCTCGGTGGGCGCCTCGCCAGTCGATCTTACCTTGCGGAAGAAGTTGGCGAATTCCTCCTTCTGCGCCGTCGCCTGGCTCAGGGGAAGGCCAGTCTCCTTGAGCGTCTGCTGGATGAACGTGCTGACCTCCTTCCTGGTGGAGCGCAAGAGGTTGGCCTTGGCCTCCTTGGACTTTTGCCCCTCAAACGTGCTGGGAAGCATGTTGGGGAAGAGCTTCAGGGCCAGGGGGAGCAGAGCCTCACCCAGGGGGACGATGATGAAGATGGAGAAGGGGACGAGCCGGCCGAGATCCTGAACAGTGCGCCGGAGCTGCTTGCTCTCTCTGCGGGTGAGCTCGTAGCCGGCGGCCATCTTGAGGGCTAGCCTCCAGCTGATGCGAATCTCTGTAGCCAGCAGCTTGGTTCCATCCCAGTAGTGCTGAGCCTCCTTCTTGACCTTTTGCCAGACTGTCAGTTTGGTCTCCTCCTCCTTCTTCTTCGCAAGATCCTTTTGGCTTGCGGCGCCATCCTTCTTGGCGGCGAGTTCGGTCAACGATGCATCTTCGGCGGCCTTGTCGGACTGCGCAGCGGCAGCATTGGCCGATCCGTCCTTCGCAGCGGCGTCTGCATCCGACTTCTTGGTAGCGCTCGAGGGATCCTTTGGTAGCGGCTTCTTAGCCTGCTCGGCGTTGAATCCGGGGGGCGGTCCAGACGGCGCATCCGGTCGGTGCGGCTCCGTCCCCAGCTGGCGCAACGGGACCAGCAGGGCCAAGGCGGGGATCTGAGTCTGTCGGGCGATATGCCTGGTGATGAGAGCCGGCGAGTAACCTCGGGATAGATTTCTGGCTGCAGGCAGGTGTCAGCGAACCACGGCGGTCTGTAAGGGGGGATTCTCTGGGGAATCTCACCTTGTCCCAGCAGGGGGTTGCGAGCCACTGCCCTGCGGGCAAGGCTGGATGAAGCGCTCATTGCGAGCGGATGTAAGAATTACAGTCTGATGCACGGGGGGAGTAATTGGCGCCACAGAGAAGAGACACGACAAGAGCAGGACGGAGATGAAGGATGGCGGAATCGGATTGTCGATGGTCTGGTGGATGGAGGGATGATGAAGGAAAGAATATCGATGGGTCCAGGGCCAGCGAAAGGACCCAGGGGGTACGTACCGGCCTCGCAATCTGGCAGGCTTGCATCTGGTGCGCCACATGTCAGAGGCGAATTGCGGCGCGTCATTGGCCGGATCAGAGTTTGAGCGGGGCCATTGGGCTGAAGCCGCCCGGCAGGCGAAATCACATGACATAATCGTCTCCTGAGTGAGTTTCTTTCACTGTAGAAAGGAGCAGCTTCATTACATAATACTGTCGCTGATTCGATTCCATCTTGGTCTGGTTTGGGCTTTTGGGCCGTCTCCGGCTCGGACACGTCGGACTTGGAGGGGAACGCATGCAGTGTGTATGTACGTCTAAGGTATGCTTTGCTGGCAGAAGCTGCTGGTTTGGACAGTCGTGGGGGATGGAATGCAATTCGTCTGCAGTACGACATCTACATGCGAATGGCGGATGTTGGGGTGGCGATGTCTTCCGGGGAGAGACATGCATGACAATCACCATCAGGCCGGGTGCTGAATGAACGCCTTACACTTGTCCGTATGAAGGACGTGGACGAACACGAACCGCGATGCTTCGAACGACATGAGGCGAGATGATATCTGGACGCTCGCAGTCGATAAACAGAGCGTCACCGGATGATGAAGCAGGCAGCAAGAGTTGACGAGCGCAGTAACAGGAGCTTTACCAGACTCCGATGGAAAGGGGCGCAGTATACGGAGTATCATACCCCTAGGTACTCGCAATTGCTGACTCTAGCTTTTCATCGCGTACGGAGTATATATTGGCCGTCTTCCTGGGTATCAAGTCGGGCGTCGCTCGCTCTTGAATGGGGATGATTCGGCAATTTGTATCGAGTGCCCGACTCGGCGCCGCAGCCTGAAGTGAAGGACGAGCAGCCGTCTGTTTGGAGCACGCAATCCGCGTGGCCAGGCAATGATGATAGCCAATTGGCCTGCAGCAGAGCCCTTCGACATCGTCGATGTCCTGCCGTAACAGGTCGGCCGTTCTCTCTTCTCTGGCTGTTGCGCAATGCAGCTAGAGCCTGTTTAACTGAAAATGGGAGACACTCATAGAAGAACGTAGCCAAAGGGGGGCATCCCCTCTGTTATATGCGGACATGGAACAAGGAGGAAGACAGACGAGCACATCATGATGATGATGAGCTTCACCCGCCAGCAGGACCGTCCTCAACAGCGATCAGCTTGTTCGCAGTCGGACCGCGCGGACCGCCTTGTCCGCGATTGCAGTACTAGCTATAGTATGTATTTCTCGAGTAATTACTCTTTCTAATCCCAAAACACCAAAACACCGTCTCAGACCCAAGGTGATGGACGGCCCAGAGTGATAGAGCCGAGCACTGGCCCAAGCAGCGACGCTCTGGGATCAGGCAGACGCCGGCAATAGAGGTCCAGCCAACAGCTGCCCATCCAATGAGCTATAGCGGCCCCCCAGCGTCCGTCCCCCGGATCTCCAGCAGCACGTGCCCGCCGCCACCCAGCGCTCCATCCTCAACTGCTCCAGGCGCTCTGTTCCAGGGCATCAGCCCGCCGACCTTCAGCGTTGCCTTCGGCGCCTTTCCAGTTGAGGCGAGAACCCAGCAAGGGCCGGTTGGCGGGGGCGTTTCCCACTGGACCTCCCTGGCCCAAGCTCGACTCGACCCGGAGTTTTGGAGCTAGGATGGAAAATTGTTGGCGCCAAATCTGACCAGACAGTTGTGCTCGTCCGAACTGCCAATCCATCCATCCCACCATCTTTTTGCCTTCCGCAAAGTGCACGCAATGAGTCGCAAACTGTGCAATCCCGCATCGACCGCGTGGCATCGCTCCGTGCGGCGCTTCTTCAGCTCGCACATTCTGGGCAATGCTCACCCCCGCCCCGCCATGGCAGGACCGGGCCATTATCATCGAACTCAACATTATTAACAGCCTTTTCTACTGCCTACTAAACTCATCGCTCCCTCTCAGTCTTTCAATCCCTCCCCCCCCATCTTCCGCCCGTCTCTCTTGGTTTTGTTTCTTCTTGTTATTATTTAAATGTCCTTTCCTTTCTCTTGATTGTACTCCGTCACGGTGAAAAGCCAAGTTCTGCTCCCTTTTTCTCGCTCTTCTCTGTCTGAAGACGGGGGGCTTGGCTTTTCTCGCTTCCTTTTATCTTTTTACTTCTGTTTCCTCCGCAACGTTCGTTGTAAAGGATCCAACGTCGCCGTCTCCGGCAATTGTCTTACGCAGCTCCGTCCTGCGTGTGATTGATACCCTTGCTTCGAAATTCAATCTCCCGTTTGCTCTGGATTTTGTTTTCTTGACATTCGTATCGTCAATTCAATTCCGACTTCACATAGACAATGCAACTCAAGAGGGCAGCGCGTGTAATTCTAATTGGGGCGCCCGGCGTGGGCAAGGGGACTCAGAGCGAGAGGCTGCTCAGACGTTTCCCTCAACTCAAGGCCATCAGCACCGGCGACCTCCTCCGTCACAATGTCAAGAACAGGACGCCTCTTGGTACGTTTCGATCTGTATGGCTACCGTTTGCTTTTGCGCCAGCTAATCATCACCCATCAGGCATCATGGCTGAAAACACCATCAAGTCGGGAGGCCTGGTCGCCGACGACCTGATGCTCCGCCTCATCTCAGCAGAGCTCCGCTCCAGAGGCTGGCTTCTCGGCGGCGGCAGAGCCCCCCTCATGACGCTCTCCGCCGAGGCAACCTCCGCAGCCGCCGAAGGCTCCTTTCACCACCACTCCGACCCCTCCATGGACGCCTTCAACGCAATGACGTTCCACATCGACGAGCACGCCGTGCCCCAGGCGTCCGAGGACCCCAACGCCTCCTTCATGCTCGACGGCTACCCCCGCACCGTCTCCCAGGCCGTCACCCTCGACAGGCTCGTGCCCATGAACCTCGTCGTCTCCCTCCAGACGCCCTTCTCCGTCATCCTCGAGCGCATCGCCGGCCGCTGGGTCCACGAGCCCTCGGGCCGCGTCTACAACACCGCCTTCAACCGCCCGCGCGTGCCCGGCCGCGACGACGTCACCGGCGAGCCCCTCGTCCAGCGCCCGGACGACAACGAGGAGACGTACCGCGCCCGCTTCCGCAAGTTCCAGGAGAACAGCGAGCCCATCCTCAACCACTACGCCAAGAAGGGCGTCTTGCTCGAGATTGAGGGCATGAGCAGCGATGAGATCAGTCCCAAGCTGTACGAGGCTTTCGAGGCTCGCTTTGTTCGGTGAATTTTATTCCTCTTTGGCCTGAAACTCTGGAATATCTTTATGCTTGCAGCATCATGTTTCAACAACCCTTATTTCCCAGTATCATTAGGTGGTTGGCTTTCTTGCTCTATCTGGCGTTTACAATGATTCGTCTTGGGCCTACTATTGCGCTTTACTCGGAGTTATCTGTGCGGTTTGGAAAATTTCCATGTTTCCTGGGTTCTCTTCTCTTGGATTATTTTACCCTACCCCAAGTCGAAAGGATGATGAACGGCACAACTATTGAGAATGTCTTGATGTATCTGGAGCGGCCTTTCGCCGTCTTCCATCTATCTTGTGTACATGTACCATGATGAGAATTGTGTACATACCGGGTGACGAAAAGTCCCCGGCCTTGAATGTTGAACTGAACATTAATGCCGCGCATTTTGTTACTACACGTGTATGCGAGTACTCCGTAGAATGGGTATCCAATGACCTGACCTTCACATGCTTGTCGTACAACCTGCGTCTGCCATGTACGACGATGGATGCTTGCATCTGCTCCGCATCCGGCACGGGTACCGAGACTCCACTATAGCTAGAACCAAGCCGAGGACTTCTCGGGTCTATTCATTCTCGGCTACGACGACCAGTTTACGGCCCGCGGCTTTTAAGCGTCACAGCAGTACATGTAGATAACAAGCAAGGTATTCCAATCATCGGGTTGTGCCGCCAAAGTGGTACAAACCTTTTAAACCCAGTTGAAGTATCCCCTCGCCGGCATGCAACCCCCACCACCCACTCACTCCCTTGAATCCTGTAACTGGAACCAAACCAAACCAAACCATACTGGAAATCACCCAAACATACCCCAGTGTAAATCAAAGATCAACGGTCGGATGATGATCCCAAATCGTCCCTATCCTAGGGCGTTGGGGCCATAGCCACAGACTTGTCTACTACTCCGCGAGATGCGATATCCAAGAAGACAATCCGCCGGCTTCAATCTGCCCATTCGTCTCCGCTCCGAATGCCCGGAGGGGTGCTGTTGTTGCTGTTATGCGCCTGAGAAGAACTCTGTCCAGCACGCAGTGGTGTGTCCTCGTCGTCATCGTCATCGTCCATGGCCTTGGCCAGCTCATCGGGGTCGTGCATCCTGGCGTCAGGGTCGAGTCCCTCGTGGTGGTCGTCATCATGTCGCCCACTATCAAGAACGCCGTCGTCTGCGCTCACAGAGATGCCGCGGGCGCCCCATCTCGCCCGACCTCCACGAGAGCCGTCGCCTCCCAAGCCAGACTCTTCATCATCGGCAGCCGGGGCGCTCTTACCGAAGATGCGGTGGAGGAACCATCCTCGGTGCAAATCATCGGCATCGACAACACCGCCGCCACGGAGCTTGACCCGCTGTCGCGTATAGTACACCCAAGCAAAGTCGATGTAGAGGGCTGTCTGAATGATGCCGAAGATGACGGCGACGGTATCCGGGGGTCGGTCGTTGACATCAAGCTCCCGCACGAACCAGTTGATGCAGTAGAAAGCTCGGTAGGAGCCCAACGCCAGGAGGTAGAACGAGTCGATGACAGTTGGAACCGTGGTCTGCCTCAGCAGCAACAGCTGGGGCAGGACGCATACGGATTCGAGGATTTCGGAGAAAACCCACATCCACTAATGAAGCCGGTCAGTGCACGAATTCTCCCACCGTGAAAGGGGGTGAACCAGGACATACGGTGAGGAATCCCCAACGAGATTTCGACTCGAAGATGAGCATTGCAAAGGGAGAAAGCGCAAGCGAGCCACCGAGGACAATGGCGCCAAGCTTCCAGGAGATCTCGCGCTCACGAGAGCGGGGGAACAGCCATTGCATCACCGCAAGGATGTAGAATGACGTGACAATGTATGTGACTTTGAAGATGGCGTTCCATGCCGACTGCTCTCGGAAGAGATCGAGGTATCGCGTGCAGAAGACGACGGCGTAGAGGCCCTGTGTGATGAGCGACACGCCCTCGGCGCTGCGGTTTCGGTGGATGGCGAAGATGAGGATGCCCTTGGAGAGCATGTGGAGGAGGTCCCCCAATATGCGAAAGATCTGTGCGGCAAAGTATCAGCTTGCATTATCCTTCTATTGAGTCCTTCTCGGAGGGAGCATCGAGGGTGGTCGTACGTTCCAGGCGCCCATCTTGCAGGCTCGCGGCACAGCCTCGCCGCCGCTCTAGCTGAGGAGTACCGAATGAAGCGACAACGGGAAGGAAAAGAAGAAGAGGACGAGCAGAGAAGGATCGTAAAGAAAGCGAATCAGAGAGTTTCACAGGGCCAAAAAGACATCGAAGCTATTGGACGGCCCGCAGAGACGGCGAATAGGGGAGATTGTCCACGGTTGACTGCTCTGTTGAGGGAACGCGGAGCTGAAGCTGAGCTTGCGTCAGACCCCAGAGTCCAGGTTGCAGGAGGCACGACACAGCCCCACCTCCTGTGACGACGCCCTGATAGCTGCATATTGCTCGATAGGGGAATACGGGAGCGTCTGTACCTGAGTTGCTAGCGTCGATTCGTTGGCGTCCAAAGGGTTCAAGCTGTTTCAATCCGAAGCCTTGATGGAACGAAGAGACACGGTTATAGTTGCCGGCATAGCCGCCTAGAGTTGTAACGATTATGGTTCTACAACTACTTACTGCTTTCTCCTGTGCAAGGACCAGATGGGATTACTCAACCATGATCAACAGATCTGGATATAGGTATCTACAAGAACAGGCTTGGGGGGAACCTCACAGACAACGAATGCATCAACTTGGCAGGCCCTGAACAGGCGGTTTTCTTTGCATCGACACTTTTCTCCAGACAGATGCAAAGACAACATGAAAGTGCACGACATCTGGCGTAGAGCTCAGAGGACGTCTGAAACAATCGACAATGAAAGCCCCGTTGTCAGTGCTTCATCAAACTGAGTGTTGCGTGATGTCACCGCAGCGGGCGAGCTGTATTGGGTGCCCCGGAAATTCACCACTTAGCCTCCAAACCTTTTGCAGCAGATGGCGAAAACGTCAAAATCCCTATCTCCAACAAAAGCAGAAAATATACAAAGCCGCACACAGCAGCAGCAGCAGCAGTAGCAGCAGCACCATGTCCGTCTCGCCGATAGCTCGCTTTGTCCACTGAGCCTTTCAAGTTTCTGTTCGTATAACTGCTACAGACATTTTCAACAAGCGACATCCGCATCCAGCATCCCTAAAAGGGTCGATACGCGCGTCAACCCCCCCATGCACTGCTCCCACCGCTACCGAAACAGGCGCTGCTGAGTGGTTGCTTTCCTAGTCCCCCTTCTACGGCATCGAATTGCCGACGCGAAAGCAGCATCAGTTCCACTTCCGGCCTTGGTTCATCAACGGCGGTGCTAGCCAGTGCCTCTCCAGCATTCCAGATCTCCGGCCAAGTCAAAAAGGGGAGAATTCCTGCGGAGACCAGAGCTTGCCCTGACGAGCATTTTCAAAAGCTGCCCCGAAAATGAAGTTTTGTGCCAAGCGTTCCATCATCGCAGCCGTCTGGGCGGCGTCGGCCTGGGGTATTAGTGCTGCTCCCTCAGCAAAGGCCAGGGCTACTGTGCCCAAATATTTCCGTGAGTGGATATTGCGTGTGGTTACGCGGCCCTTGCCGTCCTCTTTCAGCAGGTTGATATACGGTACTAACGTGAATCTTCTATAGATGAGAATCGGTAGGTGCTTGGCCAAAAGCTTGCAAATACTCGTTGTTCTTGACTTATTCGTGTCTAACCCGGTCTCCAGCTACGACGTTCACTATGATGACCGGTACTCTCGCATACTTCTCGAGGACCCTGAGCAGCGAGAGGCCATCAAAGTCTTAGTCCAGACGTATCTGGCAACGTTTAGAGACTTGGGCGTTCAGACATGGCTGATGCATGGATCTCTGCTCGGATGGTGGTGGGGGAAGAAGGTATCGCCTACTCAACGTCCTCTGTGCAAAAGCTCTGATTCCTCGTTCTAAACCGATCTACAGGTCATGCCGTGGGACTACGATGCAGACGTCCAAGTCACGGAGGCAGACATGTACTTCCTAGCGGCCTATCACAACATGACCATATACTATTACAAGTACGGCGATATGGAGAAAGGCCGCTTCTTCCAGCTCGAGGTCAACCCATATTTCGTTCACCGAGAACAGGACGACAAGTCCAACGTCATTGATGCCCGGTGGATCGACATGCAGACCGGGCTTTACATCGACATCACTGCGGCAAGATACGCTTTGGATCACAAGGAGGGCGAAGGCGTATTGTATGACAAGTTCGGCCACGAATATCGCGTAAGGAAGAGCTTTGTGTCTGGGCAACCCGCTATTGAGGCTAATTCGCTGAGTAGGACACTTACGTCTTCCCTTTGCGAGATACGACGTTTGAGGGCGTGCCCTGCAAGATCCCTTACCGCTACGAGGAAATGCTGCAAGCAGAATACGGGAGGAGTTCATTGACGAATACAGAATATCACGGGTACGTCCGTAAGGCTCTGCTTTGCAGAATAACAGGTTGGCTGACGTCTTTTTTAGCTACCGGTTCGACGACGAGGCCCGGGAATGGGTCCCCGTCAAAAAGCAGCCGGAAGAAGAGTTGTAAGTAGTTGAGTGGATGGCGGAATTTGTTAGCGTTGGTTTTCGTCATACATTCATCAGAAGGTTCAGGCATTTGGCTGTTGGGTACAGTATGTGTGGTTTTCAATGATGGCAACTTTGCCGGCAGGCCCGGCGCATAGCGGGGGATTTACTAGACGGTTTACCTACAAGGCTGTAGGCGGTATTCACAGCTCCAAGGGAATACTATGTACTATCAGATTTGATTCACAATGGCACAGGATGGAATGTAATTGCTCTGTAGATGAACATCGTGACAAGAACTTTTCTGAAGTCGTTCCTTCGCTGCGTACCTGTACTTTCTTTGTCACTCCTTGTTCCATGTACGGACAGGTACAGCTACCTGAGGCCGCAGCCCTACCACCAACCCCCACCAAATCTGTAGCGGACCGCATTAATCAACGCGTGTCTCGAAACGGTCGCGTCCCAGCTGTCGGAATCCACTTTTAACACCTCCAGCTCGTGAGCTCTAAGATTTCCATTATCTTGATCTGCCCGAGCCGCGGCCTTCATCCTCTGCCTCTACCAACGACCTCGACGCTATTCACATCCCCTAGAGCAGAAGAAGAAGCCATCAATCAACCAATTCCTGACCCGCCCCCACATGTAGAAAGCAGTTCAGGGCGTTTGCTCCCCAGCCTTTGCCTCTGAAATGGCCACAGGCATGTCTTCCTTACCTTGCGCCGCCATCTCGTGCTTCCCTCTAACGTGCAGACAGGACGACAAACCCGGGCAGACCGCTTGAACGAGCGCCTCAGAGGCGCGCAGTGAGTTCCCCTCCATCGAATGAAAAGGCATCGCAACGCCGCAGTCGGTCAGCTTGCTCATTGCTTCGTAGGCGCGCCAATGTAGACGACGAGTCTTTCAACCTGGACATCAACAGCCTCGACATCGGAAGCCTGGTCATTGCGTCGTCCATCGCATCAAACTCGAGTCCCGCCGTCCGCACCAAATACTCTCCGACGACCTCAGCAAAGAGAAGAAAGCTCGATAAAGATGCGCCGCCTCAGCCAGAGCCCAAATCGAGCTCCACCCCTCGGCGACGACGGCTCAGATCCCAGCCGGCAGCGCCTCCGGCAGAATCGCCAGTTCTGCCGAGAGAGACGGAGATGCAAGATGCGACGGCCCCGGAGCAGGAGGACGAGGAAGATGACGAACCCACGCCCAGACAAGGCAGGGCATTCCAAGTGCCGCATTCTTCGAGCTCAGTTCGAACACGCGCCTCTCAAATGATGGAATTAGATGCTGAAGATGAGCTTGAAACTTTACCTCCACATCCCAGCGCCATATCGGCTGCACTGCTGCAATCTCCCGGCTCGGCGCAAAGTCCAGAGAAGATGATCGAAGAGGTGACAGAGTCTCCCGCAGATGCGCCAGGGAGCGGGAAACGGCGCCGAGTGCCCATGAGCGAGACCCTCAGCTCCACCGCGAGGTTAATGGGAGTAATATCTTCAGATGACGGAATGCCGATGCCCTCTTCGCCACTCGCGAGCAAAGTGCGTCGGAGCGATGCAACGACGGTTCGGTCTGCAAGGTCAGCTGGAACAGTATACGGCCAGGAGACTAGCGATTTGGCAGATGAGCTGTCATCGGACAATTTACACCAGCTGGCAGGAATAGATGAGGAAGCGCAACCGGTAGATGAGAGGACCGAGGCTACCGATTTGGCTATGGAGGAGGACACTTATGCCCAAGAAGACGGAGAGGAAGAGGAATACAGGCTGGAGGAGCAAGAACACGCGGATGAGATTGATGAGGGGAAAGTGGCCAGAATCTTGAACGAGACGACGAGGCGACCGCGAGGACCGTCTCCAGAGCTGGGATCACAGGATCTGGAGGAGCCAGAGGTTATGGAAGAGGAGGAAATACAGCCTGAGCATGAGTCCGAGCCCGAGCCTGAGCCCGAATCTGAGCCTGAGTCCGAACCGGAGTCGGAACCAGAACCCGAGCCCCAATCAGAGGCGGAATCTCAGCCTGAAATGGAGGTTGCAACCGAAGCAGAAGAGGAAGAAGAGGAGGTAACAGCGCTGCCGACGCCTCCCAAGCGAAAGCGCGGGCGCCCAAGCAAAAGCCCGGCTGCTCAAAAGCAACCCATTGCAAAGCCGAAGCCCGCCAGGTCAAGGAAACGCGTCGCACCACGGCCCCAAGATTACAACGATGAGAACGAAGAAAACGAAGAACCGCAAGCCAAGAAGGCCAAACCCAAGACGAAGAAGCGACTTAGTGACCAGAGCGAGGGCGATGGAGGAATGATCGAAATCACCGTCCAGCGGTTCGTCAACCTCAAGAAGCGTGGCAACGAAGACGACGATGAAGATCCTCTGCAGAGCGAGATGGCCTTTGTCAACCACGGAGGAGAGAGCGTGATTGACGTCTTTGCCCAGGTCTGCGACGAGGTGATATCTTCCACGCTGGAGCAGTTTAAGGAAGTGGCCAGCGGCACAGAGGACACGGCAAAGAAGAAGGAATACCGCATCAAGATGCGGGCCATTGAAGCGTACCGGGAGGAGCTCAAGTCTCGGTTCCTCCAGCACGTATGTCTTGGCAACAACGGGACCTACACTGTTTGAAGGAATTGTACTAATGTGATCTTTGCTAGGCTATTCACTTGAACCACTGGCACTCCCTGCGGAAGCGAGTCCGACATGTGCAGAAAGAGAGGATGGCTTTGCGCGAGGAGATTATGCGTATCAAGGCCGAGCGAGAGCAGGTCGCCCTTCGAATGGATGCCATCAGAATCAGACATGAGGCCGATTCCAGAGAGTCAAAAGTATGAGTCGACTGGCGCTGTCACACCCATCATCGTATACTAACATGTGTGCCGTAGTATTGTCTCGATGCATCTTCCCTCATGCACGACGTCGATCTCGCCGTGGAACAGGGCAGGGCAGCGCCAGAACTTTCGCGAGCGGCGCAGAAAGAGGCCGAGCTGGCCAATCTCGAGCTGCTGGTGTCTCGCGTATCGCAGCAAGCCAGCTCGTCGAGCTTTACGGGCGGGATCCTCAAGCAGGTCAAGGACTTCAACTCATTCTTGGAGCGGGCTGCTATGGCACTTGAATCGCGATGATACCCCCTTTTTGTGTTTTTGACAATTGGTTTATTTTATTCATTATCTTATACAATACCCCCCTTTCCGCACCTTATTGGATCTTGGCCTTACTGAAATCCATCTCCGGGTGCTGCGCCTGGAACTTCTTGAGGATATCCGCCTTCTTCTGCTCGTCCGAGGTGGGCAGGCCGTTCTCCTTCTGTCGCTGGTCGTACATCATCTTCTCGACCATGCTCCTCGTCTCGCCGTCGAGGTCGGAGAGCTTGGAGTTTTCGGGCTGGATCTTGGTGACGTCGATGGTGGGCGCGCTGGTGACGACGTGCGCCCACCACTCCATCTTGTTGACCTTGTCGAGGTGGATCTCGACCGACTTTGTGCCGTCGGAGTTTGTGGAAAGGGTCCATGTAGAGTCGTCAACGCGGACGGCGTGGGGTAGATCGCCCTGTTGGGTGAGGTTTGGAAGTGAGTACATGTTCTATAGACTCCGTTTCGTCCCTTGTATATAGCTGCAAAGGGAAAGCGCTGGAACGAAACGCCGCAGAGAGAGAGGGAAACCCCAAGCGGCGCAAAACATGGTTATACTAGGATAGGATGAAAAGAGAAAAAAAAAAAAAACAAATGGAACATACACTTATGATGGGCTCCTGTCCCTTGACGCCCGCCGTGAGCGACTGCTTCTTGATGTCGACGACGAGGTCCCTGGACTTGAGGTTCCCGGGGACGTTGAACGAGAGGTCCAGGTCGCCGATTGTCTGCGTCCACTTGTAGGGCAGGGCGGCCTGCTCCTCGGCCTCCTTCTTGCGCGCGGCGGCGTCCTCGGCGGGGGACGGGTCTGCAGGTAGCCGGCGCACAGCTTTGTCAGTAACTTTTGAAGCTTTCGAAGACTGCATGACACTGCATGGATGGCGCCACGGAGAGGCACAGAGTCGCATATCATGGAGAGGAGCTGCAGGGTCCTAAGTTTGAGGGCATCGTACCTTTGTCAGCCATGGCAAAAAGATCTGTGCAGCTTATGATTTGTTGCGCTATTCAAGTCGGGTTGGTATGGTATGGTATGGGTATCAAGAAAGAGTCGTTGGACGACGGACAGCAATGGATGCTGGTGGAAGTTCGAGTAATACAAACAAAGGCAGCTGCAAGCTTGCCGCGGGCCTTGGAGGGGCAGTTCCGCTAAGCCCAGCGTCTATATGGCGCTAGCAGCCAATCGTAGGGCGGGGATCTTGCTTATGTACTCGGCATGCTCTGGCTGGAAGCTCCGTAGCGCGGAAAGCAATCCGCTCCCTTTTGAAATGCCTTGAAGTTTGAATTGTCAGCCATTCTGGAATCAAGCCATCGCCATCTCCCTCCTCTCTCTCTTCCTGCTGCTACTGTATCTTCCCTGTCGTGTGACTCAATTTGATACCGACAGTCCTTGATACAACGTTTAGAATACCAAGTTGACACGCTGCCAACGTCATCAGATCCATAGAGACACACGACTGCCGCTTGGGCTGGCGTGCCGCAACGCGATCGCCGTGTCAGCGCGGCCTCGAACCTCGACACCTCGACTCTTCTCCCTCGAACCCATCGCCGACTCTCAGCGCAAGAATCCACAACAATGTCACGTCCGAGCGGCACCAGCACCGTCTCGGTGCGCCACGCCTCCAACGCCAACTCCTCCGCCTTCGTCTCCGCGCCTCTGCCCCCAGCCGACCAGGACGAGATCTGCCCCGTGTGCAAAACCACCCGCTACTTCAACAAGGACATGGAGTTCCGGATCAACACCGAGTGCTACCACCGCATGTGCAAGACGTGCGTCGAGCGCATCTTCAAGGACGGGCCCAACCAGTGCCCCTACGCGGAATGCCACAAGACGCTGCGGCTGAGGGGCTTCAAGACGGCCTTCTTTGGCGACCTGGGCGTCGAGCGCGAGGTGGACATCAGGAGGAGGGTGGCTGCCGTCTTCAACAAGGCCGAGGACGACTTTGAGAGCCTGGATGCGTACAACGACTATCTCTACATGGTGGAGTGCCTCACCGACGATCTCGTCAACGGAAACGACGAAGCGCGGAAAAAGGCCGAAGCCCAGCTCGCCGAATGGGAGGCGCAGCACAAGGCCGAGATCGAGCGCAACCGCAAGCTCGCCCGCGAGTCCGACGAGACGCGGCAGAAGCGCCTCGCCGCGGAGCAGGACGCCGCTCGCCAGCGCCGCCTCCAGGAGCTGCAGGAGGATGCCGCCGAGAGGGCCAATGCCGCGCGCTTCCGGGAGGAGATGCTCAACTCCCTGCAGAACGCGGAGCTGGGGCACGCCGAGGAGGCCGTCGACCGGATCCTGCTCAAGAAGCGAGGGCAGCAGAAGCGCGACGCCACGCTGGATGCCGTCGCGACCATGGGCGGCAGCGGGCTCTCGATCCGCGGCCTCAGGGACAAGCGCGCGCCGGTGCAGGACGACAAGCCGTACGACCCCTTTGGCGGCCTGGACCTTGCGCCTCAGCGAATCGATCTGTCGCCCGAGAAGCTTTCGCAGTACAAGAGCGAGTGGCTCGACGTCACGCGGACCAAGGAGGACTACATCGTGGGAGGGTACAGCTCTCAGGAGTACCTCACGCGAGCGCTGTTCGAGGCCTTTTCCGGCCTGGGCGTCTTCGTCGCCGAGGACAAGGACATGAGAGAGGAGGCGACCGTGGCGGCTTCCCTGGAGGCTGTCACGACGGGGCCAGCGGGCGGCAAGATGGATGTGGATGGTCCTTTTTAGAGGAGAACTTGGGTTCTGAGGCCTCACCACTTGTGAGGTCATCATCTAATTTCGGGTTGATATTTCAGGGCGTAAAACTCGGTGGGAGATATCGTAGGGGGGCTAGACTTTGTCTGTTCGTTTTTGCGATATACAGGAAGGCGTTTTTGGAGGCGGGCTTTTTTTTTTTTTTTTTTTTTGTTCTCTATATATGGTTGCTCTTTTTAACTTTCGTCGTTTTCTTTCTAAACGAAGATCGATACCACGGGGCGTTGTACATAGCAAGTTACTCAGAATAGAGGAGGTCGAATCCCCTGCATTCATTCACACAATGATCACGGCTACTGGGCCAGACAGTAATTATTCCTCTGCATATCGCTACAGCATTAGCACTACCTAGACTCGAGTCTTCATAGACCACCCACTCTTCGATCAAAGAAAAAGGGGGCCTGCGTATGATGTACATACGCTCACCCTCTTCTACCAAACGAGGCCCTCCGTCCAGCACAAGATGCCCAAATGGAACCAATCTGCCATCTCGCATTCTCTCACTTTATAGCAAAGTGCTGTATAATGTGCGAAAACCACGCAAGAAGAGTAAGAGTAAGAATAAGGCTTTGCATGCTAAAGGAAAAAAAACACTTCCTCCAAAAATTCTGCCTAGTAATCATACTGATAGTGAATCGACAGCGCGTCCTCTTCCCTCTCGAGTCGAACAAGAAAAATGCAAAAGCAGAAAAAGAAACACAACCCAAAAAGCCCAAGTCTAACGCCTCGCTGCTCAATGCGATATTTGGAGTAAAAGAGAAGCGGAAACCCCACCAAGCAACGATGACAACCCATTGAAGAAGAGCGATAAGAGAACGACGAAATCCAGACTCCCAAATCACAAGAGCTTACACAATTCAAGAAAGGAATGCAAGGCAGTCCAGGGACTCATTGCTGCCACGGCGTCTGCTGTGCTGGGCGAGGAAACACCGGCACCGTCTGGATATGGTCAAGGCCGCCACCAACCGGAGTCTGATTATGCTGCCAGCCCATGCCGGTGGTGTGGTTGACAAACGCGCCTTGGCGGAACGGATTCGTAACGCCAGTCGGTTGTGGAGCAAGTGAGGAAGACGGCTGTTGTCCTTGGAGCTGCTGCTGCTGCTGCGCCGGAGCTTCGGTGGCAGCGTTGCGGGCAAAGGGGTTGGTGCTCGTGGGCTGGGGCTGCATAGGTTGAGCTTGGAATGGGCTCGTGTTTTGCCCAGGTGAGTTTGTCGATCGGGCAAAAGGGTTCGTCGATTGGCGGTTGAGTGTTGGCGTGCTCGATGTCGGCGTCGACAGCTGGGATGAAGAGGACGTCGGTTGTGCTACCAGCATGGACTGGCGGAAAGGGTTGGTCGTCTGCGGAGCGGCCAGTGAAGGCTGGAGCCCTGTGGGCTGGAGGCCAACAGGTTGCTGGACAGGCGTCTGGAAGTTGGCAACGGTGTTCTGCGGGATAGGGCCCAGTGGATTGTGCTGGAAGTCTTGCTGCGGCCCAAAGCCGCTGAACCCGGTGATGGTCGGCTGCAGCTGCGGCGGAGGCTGCATGAAGCCATTGTCCGGCTGAGGGAACGCGTTGCCCTGAATAAAGCCTCCGGGCTGCTGAACAAAGCCGCTTGGCTGGAAGCCGAGCCCGGCTTGTTGCGCCTGGAAGGCTTGCAAATCCGGTCCCTGCATGGGCATTTGCATAGGAGCCCCGTTGGAGGTGACCTGCATCGGGATCTGGTTCTGCTCGATCGAATCGAAGAAGTCGATGAGATCGGGATCCGGGCCCTTGTTGGCTTGAGGCTTCGACTCGACCTTGGCCGGCGCATTTCCGCTGCCGGGAGCTGGGAAAGGATTGTTGGCCGCAGGAGAAGGCGCCTTGGGAAAGTCGATGCCACTTTTGGTCGTCTTGGACTTGGAGCCTTTGTTGCCCTTCTTTGCCTCCTGCTCTGCCAAGTACTGCCGCCGGTGAATCTCGAAATCGGGATCATTGAGATATTCCTCGAGCTGGCGGCCTAGGTTGACGGGCGCATGCTTCAGCTTGGGGACCTCGACTCTGGTATGGTGCTGCCACTGCTTGGCCGTGCTGAGATACTGGACGACATAGTCGGTCTGCTTGGTGAAGGTCCGATAGATTTCCATAGCTCTGTCGGCATCCGGCTTGGACATTTCAAAGAAGTGGCCTGTGACGATGGGCGTTAGCATAGCCATAGTGCGCGATAAGGGGGCGCATCTCGAGCTGACCTAGAATGTTAATGAGGCCCTGGTTCAAAACCTGGAAGAGCGGTAGGAGGTCGAGGACGAGCAATCGGAACACCGCAATTGTAATCTCCGTTTCTGGTTCCTGGTCCAGAAGCTGCGAGACAGGTCAGCTTTCGACTTTATGGTCAGGAGATGCTATGACGTACGTCGCATTTCAACAAGGCCGTGAGCTGATGCTGGACAACTTCCGTCTCGCGCAACAGGCCCTTCTCGACAGTAAGCCGCTCCAGCCTCGACTCTGGGGCGCGCACCCAGTCGGTCTTTGTGTCGCGATATGCGCGCACTCGCTCGATGAGGTAATTCGCATAGTGACGGATGTTTCGGCCTTGGGTTTGAGCTATTGTGCAGTGTCAGTCCCCTGAAATGCTTGCAGCTCCTTGGTCGCCTCGGATGGAACGGACCGTCTGCAAAGTTGCTAATTGCCAACATGTTTCGGTGTCGAGCAAGGTATGCGAGCGTCGCCTCGGGAGACCCCTCACGGATCATGAGGTGAACCGTCATCAAGCTCTTGAAGACGACGGTCCATGTTGAGTCGTGCAGCCGGTTCTGCAGCGCGCGCAGGACCTCGGCTACGCCAGCCTCGCCGGAGTGAGTGCCAACTAGGATGTGCTCGATGTACTTGGTCTTCGGGGGAGCATTCTGCAAAGACACATGGACGAGAAGCGATTAGCTGTCTGGTTGGCTCTGTCTGGGGCCGCCCTGCCTCGCGCCTCCAGGTTTGGTCTGGCAGCTGGGACGGCCGAGGACGGCCAAGAATGCTCCATAGAGCTCGTAGCCAGAGTTGTCATCGTCATCGTCGCATTGCTGCCGCAGCGACAAAGCCGGCCTGAGCTGGGCCGAGCTGGAAACGCACTCACCTTGATCTTGGTCGCCCCCTTGACGGACTTCTCAAAGGAGCTCATCGTGGCGGAGGTTCGGGCTGGCGAGGGACTTGTTCCGGCTTCGAGAGGGGGACAGTGACGTTCGTCGAGTCGTCGGCGGATAAGAAAGTTGGGCGACTGGACGGAGGTCAGGCCGAACCGGCAGCCGGGCGGAGCTGGGCGTGGGTTTGGGTTGGAGTTCGTTTGGAGTCGAGGTGGTGGTGTTGCTCCTGCTGCCGGCGGCTATGGGCTGCTATTGGGCACTGGCCAGGTTGGGGAGTCGGGCTGAGGTTATGGAGATACCCCGAGCGCGGCGGCACGTGTGCGGCAGAAGCTGCGGAATTGCGGTGGCTGGGGTAGGGAAGAGGAAGTCACTCACTAACGAGTGACGGACACTGGAAGCAAACAAGCTCATGAGGTAATATGCGTGTCTGGGCGAACTGCACAACAATTGCCTGCAGAAGGGGAATATGCAAGGCTACGTCGTGCTTCTGCTGGAATTTCCGTGATGAGGAAACTCGAGATATCACAACAGATCGAGGTGATATGGCCCCCGGCCATTTACACTCTACACGCAATTTGACACACGGCACGGATATGATCGTCTTAGAGGAGCAAATTAAACAACTTAGTAATTCCTTTTATTTCGTTCTGTATTAATCGTATCGGTACAGCATCCCGGGACACTGAAAGACCTAAGCGCTAGTACTGGGTATCGAGATGCAATTGGGATGGGAATATATGTAGATGCAACAGACAGACAATGGAGAATGGGGAAAGAAAAAATCAGAGCAAATCAAAACATCAAAACAAACAGTAAGAAAAGTCTTCCATTCTTCATAAGTCAGAGCTTTTTTCCCGCGTCCGATGCAATAACAAGGTCCGTGTGTCGAACGCTCATATCATAGAACCAGCCCTCCATCGCTCCCAGACCCTGAAGCCCCGAAGGAAGAGTCATGAAAGGTCAGGAAGGCGGCTCTGCATCATATTATGCACGCAATCTCATCACCTGGAACACTCTCAGTTAGCAATCAGGCGCACTTTCGGAGGAGTTTCTTGCCAAGGCTGGGGGGTCGTACGTTTATTTGAATGGAAGGGATGAAGAAGAAAAAGAAAAAGAAAAAGTTCGGCTCGCCAAGCGTGGCAGAAATTTAAAGCTCCAGCGCCGTGGGGTCCTCGGGAATACGTCGGGCTGAGCGCCTTCCTCTTCAACAGCCCATCTTCAACCTTTTATCTTATCGGCTTCAGTCATGCCATGACTCTCTGCACGGCTTCGTTTCTGTTATTGAATGCCAAGTTATATATAAAATCGGGCAATGGGGCCTCTTGTTGGTTCCCGTAGCCTGGCGTTGCGTCGTCGTGTTTGTGTAAAGTCTTTTGCGGCAGCGATTCCGCGGCAGGCGATTTACAGGAACAGCCGCCTCTACTCACAGACGGCCATAGATGAGGCACAAGGCTCGTCAAAACGCGACACATTATTGGACCTTTGGCGTAAATGTAAGTCAATTGGGAAAGACGAGGAGTCCGTCTACCTTGAATGTTTTCTCTAACATCTACAGACCAAGCCAATGATGAGTCACACAGCCTTGAATCCGACGACTTTTACGTGGGCTTCATAGGCAAGAGTCGCAATGTCTCAAAGCACCTTTCATTCGCAGACCTCACCACGCCGTCTGGTGAGACGATTCAGGTCTGCTCCAGCGCAGAGAGAGACAGTGAAGCACACGAGGACTTTCGCAAGGTCCCAGCTTTCAGCCCCGTTCTTGTTCGTATCAAGCAGCACCAGGCAGCAGATGTCGAGTCAGCAAGCAGCGACGGCTCATCCAAGAGGACCGTCTACCTTGATAGCATACGTGCCCTCAACAGCATCCCGAAGAATCTCATAGTCACGCCCGAAGTCCAGTTCCCACCGACAAAGAGGCATCTCCAGATCCGATTTCACCCAGAATTGCAAGCCAGGCTGCAATTTAGATCATGGCTCAAGGGCATGCTCAACCAAAGCTTGCTCCAGAAGGGCTTCACTGATATAGAGACGCCGACTCTCTTCAAATCGACTCCCGAAGGCGCTAGGGAGTTTCTGGTTCCTACACGGCAGAAAGGTACTGCTTATGCTCTTAGCCAGAGCCCGCAGCAGTACAAGCAGGTCCTCATGGCCAGTGGTATCATGCGGTATATGCAATGGGCTCGCTGTTATCGCGACGAAGATTCTCGAGCCGATCGACAGCCCGAGTTCTCACAAGTAAGGCGAATCTCGGGTTATCATACTGAACTGATTACTGACAGCTCTTAACCAGCTTGACATGGAATGGGCTTTCGCCGGAGCTGAGACGGTGCAGAAGGACATCAACGATATCGTCTTGGGAGCATTGACTGCCCTTCAACCCGCACACAGCTACAAAGAAATACGAGGAGAGGTCGTTCCAGTTGTTACCGATATACCTTCTACGGCTCCGCCAGCGGACCAACCTGTCGCCCATCAGTTTACCAACATCACGTTTGCGGATAGCATTGCTGCATATGGTTCTGACAAGCCAGATTTACGCATCCCTCTGAGAGTATGCTAAGGAGCGCTTTTACTTCTTGACTAATGACTAACCTCTCAACAGATACATGCCCTGCCGAACCTTGAGCCTTTCCGCAACTTTGTTGGCATGATCACTCATCTTGAGAACCCTCTAATTGAAGCCTTCGCATTGCCGCTGAAGGACTGCTCTCCTTCTGAAGCGCGGAAGTTTGTCACCAAATTCATGGACGAGCTCCCTCCCTCATTGGCGAATAATCCCGACGGCAAACCTCAGATCCTCATTCATGATTCAAGGCAGCCATTAAGCGGGTTCTCTTCACTGGGTTTCGAATACGAGAGCGTATTGGATCTGCTAACAGAAAAAAACGGCCTCCAAGATGGAGATCTTGTTGTTTTCCAGGCTCGGGAGACGCCTGCCGGGCAATACTACTCAGGTTCAACGAGGATCGGGGACATGCGCAACCTGCTGTGGAAGGCGCTTCTTGAAGAAGGCCTCGTGGAGACTCCACGACTTGGTGAGCCGGGATCACTTCAGTTCGTATGGGTGACAGAGTTCCCAATGTTCAAGCCGGTTGAAGAGGGCGAGCCAGGCCAGGAGGGCGCGGCAGGGATTGCGGCTTCTCACCACCCCTTTACTGCGCCCCTCTCCCAGAAAGACCTGGAGCTGCTCTTCACGGACCCTCTAGAAGCAAAGAGCGCCGCTTATGATTTGGTCCTTAATGGGGTCGAGATTGGTGGGGGCAGTGTTCGTAATCACATTGCCGACGTCCAAGACTTCATCATGCGGGACGTTTTGAAGATGACCGACAAGCGGATCAAGGACTTTTCGCACCTGTTCGAAGCACTCCGCTCGGGATGTCCTCCTCATGCTGGGTTTGCGCTTGGGTTCGATCGTCTGGCTGCCCTGATGACCGGCACGCCCACTGTCCGAGATGTCATTGCCTTTCCCAAGACGATGAAGGGAGAAGATCCTTTTGTCCAGTCACCTAGCAAGCTCAGCAATGAGCAGCTCGCCCCATACGGCCTACAACTTCGCCCAAAATCCTCATAAGAGGTCCGGGACCGCTTTACTATCCAGATTTACGTTGTTTCAAGAGATGGGACTCAACTGGTAATGATAAAAGACGACTGTATGAGGGGGAGACCTGTACTACCACTTGGATGGAAAAGATGCATATAGACGATTGTGTACAATGGACATCCCATCACCACGCCACTATTCTCAGACTTTGCGTACTGGATGCAAAATCGAATGCTCATGAGATCCTGGCATACTTTTCCGTATTCAAGCCCAGCCCACTCCTCCCTTTTTTTTTTTCTTCGATATCTGAAAAGCATCGCAAACGGGAGCTGCCTCAGCTCACCACATCGGTACGTACCAACTTAGCGCCTCTGTCGGAGTCTTTAAGCTTGACGGCTGCCACCAATCATCGGCCACTTTCTACTTTCACCGCCAAAAATTTCAGAAATTCTGCCGCTCTCTCATATCCAACCAAGCACAGCTTTCCTTCCAAGCAGGCAGCGACATCTTCGCGATCAAAGCAACATAGACTCTTTCACGCCACCAGCATTCTGTGAGCGTGATCACACAAGATGTCATCCTTACGGAATTCAATTCAGCGGCGCCCCCATCGGGAGCGCGCGCAACCCCTCGAGCGCCGCCGCCTCGGTCTCCTGGAGAAGCACAAGGTAAACGAAATCCCTCCTCAAGAACGAAGCATTGCCCATTCCATTTGCTCCCCCCCAGAACATGTGAATGCTGACAGTCAAACAAAAAAAAATAGGACTACTCCCAACGCGCAAAAGACTACAACCAGAAAAAAGCCACGCTCAAGGCCCTCCGCGAAAAGGCCGCCGACCGCAACGAGGATGAGTTCTACTTCGGCATGATGTCCCGCAAAGGGCCCGGCGCCAAGATCACGTCCGGCAAGTCCTGGAACGGCCGCGTCGAGGGCGACCGCGGCAACAACAAGGGCATGGACATGGACACGGTGCGGCTGCTCAAGACGCAGGACCTGGGGTACGTGCGCACGATGAAGCAGGTCGCCGTCAAGGAGCTGGCGAGGCTGGAGGAGCAGGCTGTGCTCGTCAAGGGGCTGGAGGATTTGGCTGCTGAAGAGGCGGCGGATGATGACGATGAGGATCTTGATGATTCGGAGGAAGAAGAGAGCTCGTCGAGGAGGCGGCGGCGATCAGGCGCAAAGGGCCCCCGGAAAATCGTCTTCATGGACAACGAAGACGAACGAGAAGAAGCCCTACAAGCGGCAGCCGAAAGTCAAGGCCCCACAAGAGAAGACCAGCAAGCGGCCTTTGAACGGTCTGAGAACCTCGTCGAGCTGAAGCGGAAACTGCAACATGCGCGCAAGAAGGTCAAGTCGCTCACGATGGCAGAGAGCCAGCTCGAGGTCCAGCAGGCAAAGATGGCCAAGACAGCGACTTCGGGCGGGACGACGAGGAGGGGGAAGAAGATTATGGTCAGGAAGAGGAAGAGGTAGATGTGGATCGGGTTTCCGCGGGGGAGGGAGGTCTTGCGGAGTGACAGAAGCTGGAGGATGCTTTGATCATGACCGCTGTTCTTAATGTGCTGCTGTGCAATTGCGAGAGGGATATGGTTCATAGATGCATGATCGGTGGAGTTGCCCCGAAAAAGGATATCAGTTTGGCGTTCTGTTATTTACGGCTTGTTACAGAGAAGTCATCGTTAGCTCATTTTCAGGGAATAATAGAGCTCTGGGGTGGCCTTATACACCGAATCTACTTCATGTTGTCGACACAGTGGCTCACAAGTCACTCGAGTTGGATTCGCTGATTGCTCCCTGTTGTCATGAATCATCACACATTGTCATATTAATACTTGGATCCCACGCATTTGTACAGAACCTTGAAAACTCCCTTGACACATGCAAACCCAATCGTAAGTATCCATATAAAGCAGTTGAATACTCCCTTTGTCAGCTTGACAATGACTCGCAGTATAAAGGGCAGCTTGTCCTCGCCTGCTGTCTTTTTGTTGTCCTTGCCCAAGCTATCGTTTTGGCTTTCGATGTCGATTTCGAATTGGTCCATCTTCCCTCGCCTCTTGTCTTTCTTGTCCTTCTTCTTCCTCCCATCGTCATTATCACGATGTCGGCTCAGAGCACTGCTGATGCTCCTTGATGGCCTCGGAGGCTCTGGTACCGGAGGTGCCTCGAATGCCTCCATCACCGTGTTTGGCGAGCTCCTATCCTCCATAGCGGCGACAAGAAGCAGTGCAGTAACAGCTACGTCGACAATGTAGAATGACTCAATCTTCGACGCAACGCCAGTGTCAATTTCCAACCACCCAGTGCCGGTACCATCTCGCGTCAGTTTGGCGAGGTGTTGCGGTGACTCGTGGTGTTCCAGTGTGTATTCGACACGAGACCAAGCAGGGCAGTGTTCAACTGTGACGCAAAACGGCGTCGCCAGGGCCGGATGCACCACGTAGTAACTTGAACTGTCGTCGTCCCATACAAGCCTGCCGCACTCCCTCTCTGCAGCCGCGACCGTGGCGGGATCATCCGGCCTATCCAAAGCTATCTTTGTTGCCGCGCAAGGCATGAGAAGGGCAGCGAGCCCGTCGTTTGGGGAGTGTTTCCTGGATTCTTCTTCTAGGGTTGTATTCAATGCCTCTTGCCAATACTTTCCATCCGAAGCTCGACTGTTGCCCCCCATGACATGATTCAAAATGCTTGCCGCGGAAGGCGGCGTCTGCTTAGGGGCTTTGTAAACCTTGCTTGGATCGTACCTGGTCAGCGACACGTAGGCTGAGGCAGATGTGGGATCCAGACGGAGGTTATAGAAGGGTTGTGAAGTCGAGGAGAGTGTGTATACGGGGGCATCTTTCTGCTGCGTCAACTTCAGGCAGTAAACGCGTCCCTCGGAGAAGGATGCTTTCCAGCCGTTTGTGACTTTCCAAAGATCCTGGAGCTGCTCAGTCGTGCATATGGCAGGAATGATTGGAGGATTTTGAGAGCGGGTAGGGACTCTGAAGCCAGGATCACGGACAGCAGGATGCTCCGGTGCTGCGTCGGGGTCTTCGAGGTAACTCTGGCGGCTGACAACAGCCCGGGGCACTCCCGGCGGATGTGATCGAAGCGGGCCATAATTTTGTTGGTCCAAGGGCAGTTCGGGATTATACGTCGGGAACATAGATCGCAAGGCAGGCGGCTGCTCATGAGTTGGGGGGGCTTCGAAGAACAGGGGGGGCTTGGCGATGGAGTTCCTGGGCTGGTCCACGATGTTATTGCTGGCGAACACCTGAGGTGGTGCAAACGTAGCACCCGTTGGTCTGGGAACTTCAAGAGTCAATCGGGGCTGTTGAACTCGAGCAGGGCGACTGGGTCCCACGCCAGGGCCATCGGGCTGCTCATCTTCCACAATCGCCGGTGGTATAGCCTCATGATCCGAAGCCGCCTCTGATACTTCCTGGAGCGGAGGGTTGAATTCGAGAGGAGTGTGTGCCCTCTGTTGAGGTGTCTGTCGGCCATTTGGAGAGGGAGATACTGCAGGAGCAGGGGCAGGAGCAGGCGCTGGCGAGGGCGAGCCAACTGGTGTTGTAGCACGACTATCCTGGGTTTGCTGTTGCGGCGTGGCCGCTCGACGTTCGTGGGATTCAGAGCGACGGGTGCGTACCACCGGATGAGGTTTGGAAAAGTTGGGGCTAGGGAAGAGCGAGAAACTGGCGCTGCCAGATCGTTGATGTGAAGCCATGGCTCAAGCAGAAAACCGTGTATCTATACACGCTTTTCACCCACACCAGGCAAATTGGCCTTCTTCACGGAAGCGGCCGGGGATGGTATCGAGGTGGAGCAGCAGAGCATTGGCAAAAGGCAGAAACAAACACCAAGGGTATCCAAATGTAAAAGCAACGTTGACGGATGCTACGGCTTCATTGTCTGTTGGTCGAGCGCCGCATCTTGATACCAGCAGAGCAGACACAACCCAGAACAACGGCAGAATGAGCACCTCGCGAGGGCAGGAGGAAGAAGAGCGCTGCAAGCGCAGATATAACAATTAAAGACGAGCATTCTTTATCTGGGAAGGTCAGCCTTGTGAAGAGGGTGGGGAGGAGGTCGGCGACCCAACCAGTTGGCTTGATGATGCCGCCATCAAAATCAGTGGATTAAGCGCCTTTGGCTGGTCGAGTCGGCATGAGGATCGCGGCCGGAGTAAAGGGACAAAGGCACACGGCGCGCCGAACAAAGAGAGCGAATGGGTGATTCTCCATCGAGTCTGTGTCTCAAAATAGCACTTGGATCTTGAAGGGTGGGCGCCATCGGTTTCCCGCAGGCCAATAAGAGGCCGCATCACACTGCATCGGTGTTGTTAAGCGCTGGAAATGCAGGGGTGGGTTGAAGTTTGGAGGCACTGGACGAACGCCATAGGCCGCGCAAAGGGCCTAGGGCATCGCGTCTGGTCGCATCGGAGAGGCTTTGTGATAGGCCGGAGGATGTTGGTCGCGGCAGCAAGGGCGCTTAATTTTTGGAGATTGACCTGTAAAAGTCATCGCACTGCAATTGGATTCATAAGACGGGGGAGCACAGAGATTTCGAGAGGAGACGAGATTGGTGATGAAAGGTCAGAAAATCTCATTCAAGTCGCGATTCAATTATCAAAGTTTTCGGCGCGGTTCATCGGGGAAAGCACCCTTCTCTGCGCCTTCTATTGCAATTTGTTGGTCTTGACACATGGTGATTCCTTCCAGGAATCTGAAACAACCAGGCAGCGCTACCCCGCTACTTACGCTTATAGCTAAGGTAAGTGATCCCAGCAAGTACCCGCCTAATGCAGGTTGAGATTCGGGAAGGGCCCCGCCTGCTAGTTTCGTGTCTGATCTGGCATCAATCCCTCCTTCCACTTACAAGATCTTGCCATGGATGACTTTCCAAGCGGTAAATCTGACAATCACGGCAGAGCAACTTGCTTGACAACGATATATCCGCCATGAACACCACTATGTCGATTTCCTTTGGGTATGACCAAATGCTTGCAAGGACAGACTGAGGAAGGCAACCCATGGCGGATTTATGACCAGTACCAGTAGGAACCAACGTCCCAGCAATATTGCGTTCCTCAATAAGTTGAAGACATTAACTTCTCTCGTGTGCCAGTTCAACAATGGACAATTCAACGCAAGCTATGCTACGCGAGAAGGCTCACAGAGGTCGGGCAAAGAAGCTTCATCAATTCGAACTTGACCGTGCCCTCGTTCACAAAGGCAGAAGCAAAGATAGCCGTGATCCATCGATTCCCCACGCCGTCATCATCACCTACGATACATTTGCGCCTGATGTTCGTCTCTCGAGAAATGGACTGCCATTGGCTCTGACGGTTTTGCGCTGCAATATCGCCCTGCGTCCTTGGCTCGAGCATCACACATGTCCGGAAAGCAACCGCGAAGCATGTAGTATACACAGGTGGCATCATAGCTCATGTTATCCTAGGTCTTGGTGTTGAGCTTCCATGAGACAGAGGCTCGATCTATTGCAGATGTACACCGATAACAAACATTCCGTATACGAGCCTCTCGTCAGCTGGCGTTTCAGACAGGTGATGGCAGCATACGAGACGACGCCCTCGTCATGTTACATGGATGATGGCAGCGCCCATGAAGTTACAGGTTTCTCTGATTCACCATATCGACAATGCGAAGCCTTGCAAAGAGATTTGAAGGTTGCCTCTTTGTTACGCGTTAATGTTACTAGCCCAGGTGGGATGTTCCCCTAAACACTCGGCTTTTTATTGCTGATGAGAGTATTTGGTCTCAATCTGTCCAGAATAGACGGTTGACGTTTTCGTTCGGGGTCATCGCCGGAGGCACCCTTTAGATGGCCGCAAAACAGCGTTTTTGACCACGGGTCTTTTCCTCGGAGATCTTCTGGATGATCCTGAGATGAGGCCAGTCCCTGTATTTCACCTTGGACCCAGACGCCTTCTTGGGTCTGTTTCCCAGTTTCTTGAAGGCATGCTCTACTTCCCTGTGCCATGATGCGGCGTCAGACGGGAGTGCAGTATCCGTTATCGATGATCTCTGGCATTCCTGAGAAGCAGTAATCGAGGAAGAACTATATCTGTTAAACACACAGGCAAGAAAGAGGGGGAGCGATGGATCAGGGAAAGAGTCTGTAGCCGGGCGTTGGGCATCAATGCGCTTATGTACTTGCTGCAAGGCTTGCCGCAACGAGGCATTAACAGGAGAGTAGCAACCACTTTTCATGGCATATATATCTACCTGGATATATCAGCTATCTAAGGGAGTAGTAGGTATATGTGCCAGGAGACGAAAGCGATCGAGAAACCCCAAAGCCGGGCGATGACTTGGAGACTGCGGAAGTTCAAGGATTCGAGAGGCATCTTAGAAATCGTGAAAAGTCACGGTCTCGGATGAGTCCTAAAGGAGTTCTTCGATGTGAGAGTTTTTATAAGACATTGGAGATACCCGGCCGATTGAAGCATGCCTAAGGTATTAATATTAATACTTGGGAGCGAAAAGGCGCACTGAGCAACCATGGAGTGTGTGTACATGCGAGCGGCAAGCCTCATCGCGACTCAGCACTGCACACTCAATTCAAAAGAGTGCCTCCAGGTCATTCTCAGCCATTCAGCTTTGGTGAGCATCGAATGAAGTAGTTCGTCAGTTTCGTTTGTATAAAGATGCAGCTGGTGTAAGTGCTCTAGTAGTTGTTGCCTTCATGGGTATCTTGATGTACGTAAACGGACAGCTGCAGGATCTTTAATACAAAATTTCTGACAACGCCATTGATGAGATATCATAATATTCGTACAAACGCTGTCTTCCGGACAACACTACCTTCTTTCATAATGATATCCAGTGGCCTGATCAGGTTATTTCACTTGCTCCAGGGTAAGCGGGATTGGCGCTGCCTCTTCGCTCCTCTCTAGCACTCGGAATGCCTCGGGGTATTCGTGTGCAAACCAGTGGCGCAGAACTTCTTCGATGGAATCTGTAAGTCGGGTATGCAGAATCCATGTGCATGCCGTCCTAGATGACGACTCTTCGGGCTCGTCACATACATGATACAGCACGTGGGTTGAAAATATCGATAGTCTGTCTGTCTGCCTGACATCAATCAAACGAACGAAAGGCCCATCGAAAAGCCGAAACCGCAGGTCACCATAACCTCCAGCAATTGTCCAGCACTTCTCCCATTGGCGCGGTTATTGTCGCCGGTTAAATTGCCATTGGTCCTCTTATAATTGTGGGCTGCCACGGCAAATCGCTTCCCTAGAACTTCATCGAGCCCAGCCCAGGAACCTGGGCCCTCTGCCAAAAGTCTTAGGCGCGCAGAGTAGCAGCACCAGGCGCGGGGGTTCCCTTCTGAGTATCTCCATGGACGACGTGGGAGCTTGTTAGGCTTCTCTCCAATGAGCTATCGTGGGGCGACGGTTCGGCGGCGTTGGGAAGAAACTCGTTTTCGCGGATGGAAATTGTCATACCATGGCTGAAATACCCAATGCGGGGATGGAGGGATGGAGTATATAATGGGATTTGCCATCTTGGTCTTGGGAAGATTGTTCCCTTCTTTTCTCAGTCTGCTTTCTTGTCCATCTCTTGCTTCTTCACGTCGTCATTGTGACAGCTGAGACCAGACATCACCCCGCCAAAAAGCGTCGATTGGACTTGGCTTTGAACAACCGTTCTACAGTTTCGAAGATGGCGACACAAACGATCAACAAGGATGCGATCAGCGTAAGAGGATTCCCTCAATGGAGAGGCGAATGGTGGTCTTGAGAGAGAGAGGTGTGAGAGAGAGACTAGAGATTGAGAATCTGGAGCTGACTTGGCCCCCTCGGCGCGAGAATAACAGAACCTCTCCTTCGTCCTGAACAAGCCCGGCGACGTCACCTTTGAGGAGCGGCCCAAGCCGACCATCGCGGACCCCAACGACGTCCTCGTCGCCGTCAACTACACGGGCATCTGCGGCTCCGACGTGCACTACTGGGTGCACGGCGCCATCGGCCACTTCGTGGTCAAGGACCCGATGGTGCTGGGCCACGAGTCCGCCGGCACCGTCGTCGAGGTCGGCCCGGCCGTCAAGAGCCTCAAGCCCGGCGACCGCGTCGCCCTCGAGCCCGGCTACCCGTGCCGGCGGTGCTCCTTCTGCCGCGCCGGCAAGTACAACCTGTGCCCGGACATGGTCTTCGCCGCCACGCCGCCGTACCACGGCACCCTGACGGGCCTGTGGGCGGCGCCGGCCGACTTCTGCTACAAGCTGCCGGACAACGTCTCGCTGCAGGAGGGCGCGCTGATCGAGCCGCTGGCCGTGGCCGTCCACATCGTCAAGCAGGCCCGCATCCAGCCGGGCCAGTCCGTCGTCGTCATGGGCGCGGGCCCCGTCGGCCTGCTGTGCGCCGCCGTGGCCAAGTCCTACGGCGCCACCAAGATCGTCAGCGTCGACATCGTGCAGTCCAAGCTGGACTTTGCGCGCGACTTCAGCTCGACGCACACGTACGTCTCCCAGCGCGTCTCGCCCGAGGAGAACGCAAGGGCCATCAAGGAGCTGGCGGAGCTGCCCGGCGGCGCCGACGTCGTGATTGACGCCAGCGGCGCGGAGCCGTCGATCCAGACGAGCATTCACGTCGTGCGCATGGGCGGCACGTACGTCCAGGGCGGCATGGGCAAGAGCGACATCAACTTCCCGATCATGGCCATGTGCCTCAAGGAGGTGACGGCCAGGGGATCGTTCCGCTACGGCGCCGGAGACTACGAGCTTGCTGTCGAGCTGGTCCGGACGGGGCGGGTGGATGTGAAGAAGCTGATTACGGGCATTGTCAGCTTCAAGCAGGCGGAGGAGGCGTTCCAGAAGGTCAAGTCTGGAGAGGCCATCAAAATTCTCATTGCCGGACCCAACGAGAAGGTGTGAGTGAGGATCTCGCCAGGCTTGTGATTTACGCCCTGTATACACGCATAATGTAAAAAGAATAGCGAAACAAATTCCAAAAAAGTTCAAAAGCTTCAACAAGGACAGCGAGGAAATGATGTGAATATGAATGGAGCAAGGATCTTGCCAGCAAGGGATATTTAGCAAAAGGGCGCGCGGCGACCCTTGTGATGGGGAAGCGGATGTGGCGGCCAGCAGAAACCCCCAGAATTGAGGCTCTACGGGCTGTGGATGCGCAGCTGAACGGCCTGCCAGTCACACGGAAACACGCGCCCTGGGCTGCTCCGTCCACACGCCTTGATCAATTGATCGACACGGACATGGAAGAGATGATGCTCGTGATAAGATGCCGCAGGATATCGTCCAGTAACACGGCCTGGATCGGTTTAAGCGAACGGCCTGATGGCACAAAGACGGGCCAAGGGCGCTAGAGTACTGGGAAAGAAAAAGTGAGGCTGAGGTTTAAATCAAGTTTGTTGTTGAGCAGAATGCATCAGGTTGAGTCACACACACCAAGCACCTTTTCCGCGGCAGATCCCCTTGTTGAACAACCCAATCTCTCTCTCCATATCTCTTCATCTCTCTGTAGTAATAATGCATCCTTGCACCTCTTCTACGTCTATTATACGATCGAAATACTAGGTAAAAAGTCAATCTGTGCCAAAATGAAGTGCTGACGGAGAGAACCTTGGAGCTACTACCTACGTAATGACAGCGGAACCAATCCCGCACGGGCGCCGATCTTGCTGCGTTTCGGGAAGGGCTTTTTTCAAGGTTATCCAAACTTAATCGATCTCTGTTGTGGATTCTCTCACGAGCTGCCAAGTTTGTCTATCCGTCTGCATGTGTCTTGGTCTGTCTGTCTGCCTGTATCTTACCTTGGGTATATATAGAACATGGAGAAATGGTGGAGATTAGAGCGTGTTGAGGAGCTGTAGCACAAAGTACAGCCACGGCGCCTTGCATGCAAGGGGACTCCATCTAGACGCTCGTACGATCACATGGTAGCACGCGCAACATGGACACGCTTTCAGCTTAAGCTGCTGCGTCCATGCAAGGGAGCGTTCAAAGGCGAAAAAGGGTTCAGGCCTGCATGTGCATGTACTACTACATAGTAGTATACTTCGTGCTGGTAGTACATTCAAAGACCCTGGCTGCTATGCCGTCAGTTGTGCCAATCATCATTTTAGGTATTTCGCCTTTTTCTTTTTTTCTTGATAATTGACAGTCGATAGTCTCATCCTTCCCACGAGGCTTGCTTCCACCAGGGAATCGACTCCGCGGATCCGCCTGTCGGAAGCGACAAATCGTTGGCGGGATGTACATGAGATATGCGCATACAGCGCCAATAGTAGCCGACTTAGACCGTGGGCTTACAACCTCATCAAAATCATCCAGCTTCTCATGCAAGCCACAAGTGCCAACCCAGCCCACCCCGGCCTGCCTGATGGCTTTGATTTCTCTTGTACGCAGTATTCGTGCATGCAGCACCACTTGTATTTGCCGTTCCATGCCCACTCACACCCTTCTCTCCGTGTCGTTGCACCGACGCGAGCAAGGCCTTCGGAACCCTCGTTTGCAGCTCCGCATCACCAATCCTCCCATCAATGCATCTTGGGGAATCTCGAGCATTGCGGGTCCAGAACGCCATCAAACCGCCTCTTGGGCTGCCACAGCCGCACCGGCTAGCGATTCGACAAGTCCCCCAGTCCCTGATCCTATGTGCCTGGCCAAAAAGTGACAAACAACGCAGCGAGACCTAAACGACCACCCTGGGCTGCGGCTGAACCCGAGAGGGGGGCACCAAGGCAGCTAGTCGCGTCGCTGGCGCGGGCAGACACTGCGAAATCTTTGATAGGCGATGCAGACGAAGGGCGTGATGGGGCCGGCAGTCTGCCTCACCGACTGCTGCTAGGCTGAGAGACGTGCCGGTGGCGGAGGACGAAGAGATGCTGTTGCTACTATTAGCAGACGCTTGTATGCTTGCTACAGCCCTAGCGAGCTTGACGATGGGCGACGGGCGGCCAGCAATAAGAATGCTGTGCCGCCCTGCTGCCGGCGTCGTGCCTTGGTCCCTCGGCTGTGTTGTTCAACTCATTTCTTTTGCCTTGCCTCGACTTGTATAAGACGGGCTGACAAGTCTCCCTGTAGCTCGTACCGTATCAGACGTTGAGGAGCATCCAAGGAGATACACACGAGAACTGGCTTACACGCAAGCAACTCGCCCATTATGCAGCAGCCTGAAGGAAAACCCGACCATATTCTGGTCACGCCCATTTGGGTCTTCGTCGTCCGCATCTTCCAGATCCTCATCTCCCTCGTCATCCTTGCCCTGGCTGCTCGGTTGATGCACGATGCGTACCTCGACGAAGAAGGCCTCGCTCTGGCCATTGTAAGCGAATGCCTCTTTGCATGTATCGTCCCAAGACAACCTAATTAACACCGAGACAGGCCATCATCACTTGGCTCGTTGTCTTGTACGCCATCCTGAGCGAAAGAGTGTCAACGCTCCACCAGATCTACCACGTCGTTGCCGTCATCGTCCTCGACGGTGTCATGATGATCCTCTGGCTGGCAACCTTTGCCGCTGTCGCTGCCAGGCGCGCCAAGTTCGTCTTCAACGTCACCGTTGACGGATGTTTCGACGATGGCAGCCTCTTCAATAGCAAGACATGCTTCAAGAAGCGCGACGTCATCCTCTTCAAATCCGGTGGTGACATGCTCGCTGCCATCGCGGGCCTTGGCGCCTTGGTCTGGTGAGTTCAAAAGAAGTTGGGTCTGGATCGTCCGCTGTAGCTGACCCCGATGCGATAGGCTTCTCTTTATCGCCAGCTTTGCCTGGACTCTGCATAGCTTCCTCAAGGGCCGCAAGGAAGGCCGCTTCCTGTTCGACACTGAAACCGCGCCTACCCAGCAGACCTTCGTCATGGAGCCCAAGCAGGACCAGGCTCAGCAGCAGCAGCAGACGCTCATCCCGCCGCAGAACACTGCCCAGCCCAACAACCAATACCCCCCGCAAGGTCAATACCCGCAGGACCAGTATCCTCCTCAGACCACCAGCCCTTACCCGCCGGCTCAGTCTCCCTACCAGCCGTCGACTGCCTACTCTCCTCCTCCCCAGGACCCGCAGACATATGGCCAGTATCCCCCTCAGCAGTACCACGAGGCACCTTCCCACCACACAACCTCGCCTCCTCCCCAGCAGGCTCCCTATCAGGCTCCTTGATTCAAGATATAAGTAGAAAATGTCGGAGCTGGAGGAGAGGTGAAAGAAGTTGAATTGACAGATGTGCGGGGCGCAATGATTTTATGGATATCCCATGGGGTAATGGTTGGCTATAAGTAATGAACTGGATGAAACAACGGTAGATACCTATTATATATCACAAAGCACTGGCGGCTGCAATGAGCAGTCAAAATGCGATTGCCTTTAAAACTTTTGCACAATATCGTAAAATATGTGTGCGTGAAGAAGAAGAAGAAGGGAACAGAGAAGGAATCCGGAGTGAGTACATCACTGTTTGCTGTAAGTCAAAGAAGGCAGGCGGTGGATGTTTCTGCCGCCGGATCGGCCCAGCTCAAACCCATTTGACGGATTACCACTCCAAAGATCCGCTCAAGCTTCAGAATCGACCGGCCCTCCATCGTACGAAAACCCACCGCCGTCTAGGCACTCTCGAGACAGCAACGAAAAACAACTGCTTCACTCAGCGCTCTTTTAGTCTTTTAGATAAAACCGTCGCAAAACAACAGAAACTGCGACAGCTCAATGGCCACGATGGCCGCAGAATCCCCCGACGTTCCCAAACCGCGGCTCGGCGTCCCGTCGCGGAACCCGCTGCCCTTGTCGGCTTCGCAGGAGTCGCAGGTCCGAGATATATACTATGCCCGGGTGCGCAAGGCATGCGCCGAGGAAATCAAAGGTAAGGCGAATCGCATTGATTGCTGCTGCTTTATCTGGGCTGGCTTGCTTGTCTTGGAAGGCAATCATATGAAAGCGGTCCATTGAATCCCCCTCACTTCCTCCCCCTCCTCTCCTCGTTGGAGCTGTCATAGAAAGTCTTTGCTAAAGAAACTGACGAACCCCCCAAAAATTAGCCTTCGCCAACTGCGCTCTCGGCCGAACGTTCAGCGTCACATTCGCCTGCCGAGCCGAACACACCGCCATGAACGCCTGCATGAAGGCCAAGGCAACGCAAGAAGAACAAGACGCCGCGCGAGAGGAGTGGTTCGCGCTACGACTGGAGCGACAGCGGCAGCGCGAGAGGAAAGCCAAGATGGCCGCGGCGCAAGAAGAGTTTATGCGCGAGTGGTGGGGGCTGCCGGAGGAAGTCAGGTTGTCGAGGCACAAAGAGATGGAGAAGAGGGGAGAAAAGCTGCCTCCTCTAAGACCCGAAGGCAGCGCCAAGTGAGACTGACTCTATCGTCGGGGATTGGGGAATGGAAGTTCACACATATTCATGGTTCGTTGGCGTTTCTTTTTGTTGGCGCAGGGAGGGCAATTTGCTTTGATCAAAGACCCTTGATGGGATTCCATGTTTGAGTACCACGTTGGAGAGGAAGGGAGTCATGTATAAATATAGATACACTCGGAAGACGGGAACTTGTACGATACGAAGATGTCAAGAAAGGGAGAAAAGGGGGCAAGGCTGCTTCTTGGGTAGCGCAGCGGCCGGTTTATAGACGACTATTAGAAACTCGCTGCTTGACAAGCTCCATCACTTCCTCCGCAACACCCCACGAAAGCTCAAACCCCCTACCCCCAAGGCCATACGCATGCACAACCAGTCTCGCCTCGCCATCATCCAGGCCCTTGATCTCACCGGCCGGAATGTCCTCCCTCTCCAGCCGGATCCCGCCCCTGCGGGTCGGCCTCCGCCCGACAATGTCGCCCAGCGGCTTCAGGGGCCCGTCGGCCACGATGGGGGGATACGTCGCTGCAAAGGCAGACAGGAGGCGGGCGCGCGTCTCTGGCCTCGGCTCCGGGTCCCAGTCGTCGGGCTCCTTTGTCCCGCCGATGACGGTGCCGCCGTGGAAGTTTCGCGGGACGCAAAAGGTCCAGGATCCGTCTGCGTTTTGGCGGGTGACTGTGGCATCGCAGGGGTTTGCGACGAGACAAGTTTGTCCTAAGGGGAGTAATTGTGTCAACTCACGACATACGACGTCCCATCATTCGATTTCGATTCCCTGAGATGTATGTATCAGGTAAACATGAGTCTGATAGCTTACCTCGTGTGGGAAACACGGCTGGGTCGTTGAAGCCCGCGCCGGAGCAGTTCACGACAATCTTAACTCCCGGCACGTTCCTGATGAGGAACGCTTCGTTCAAGTTGCGCAGTTCCATCTGTATGGCTTTCCCGCCGAGGATGTGAAAGCGGCGGAGCAGAAACGAGCAGTACACCATGGGATTCACGCACCACGTCTTATACTCACACCCCCAAGCAACCTTGTCATCCGGAAAGTCGCCCTTGCCTAGCAGCTTGAAATCCGCGAGTCCCAGCTGCAGCGCCTTTTCCACCGTCAAGTCCCGATTCACGGGCGGCGGGTTCTCAAAGTACTCGATGCCCTTCATGAACGTGATGCCCGCCTCGGGGAACCCGGCCGCCGTGGCCTCCATGTGGCGATACGTCACGAGCGAGAAGCCGTGCTCGCGCTGCTCGCCGGGGTTTGTGGGCAGGACCCAGCGGTTGTGCGCGCCGCCCCATTGCGAGGTGTAGTTGATGAGGGCGCGCTTGTCGGCGGCCTCGAAGGGCGTTGGGAAGTCCCTTGCGATGATGGTGACGGCGTGGCCGGCTTGTTGGAGGCGGAGGGCGGCGCTGAGGCCGATTACGCCGGCTCTGAGGGGGTTGGACGAGTTGAGGCATGATGTCTGGATGAGGGATGAGAAGGGACTTACCCGATGACGATGATGTTGGACATGGTGTTGTAAGTTGATGGCTGGTGTATAGTAGATGCCTATAGCAGCGTCAAGAGGGCTATAGTTCCAACACTGAATCTTGTAAACCAGCAAATAGATCCTCTATAAGGTATATAACAGGTTCATAAGAGCCTCATCCATCCCTCTTCGACATCACACCCAAATACAGCGTGTTACACACAGAACCTCGATCCAAGAATCCAAGTTCGTCATGCAACGCGCCCTCCGAAACTGCCTCTTCGGAGAACCGGCCTCCGACCCTCGGCCGCTTGTGAGTGCGGAGTTGGGCAAAACCGGGGAGCTGAGGCGGCCAATCATCGGCCTCAGTGGGGAAGAGCATCAGCAAGAAAAAGGGTGTCGTGAAGGTATGCAGCTGTTCAGAAGCTGAGAGGAACAGCATAGACTATTGGATTCTCTTGCATATTAGCCTTGTGCAGATGTGTTTGGAAGGGAGGAGGGTCGTTGCGGGTGAGGCTGATTTTGGGCTTGGGAAAGGCGCCTGTGTAAGTGGCGCCTTGGTGAGTGTTGGGGGAGTCAACGGTGCAGTTGATTCTAGAGCCCCATACGGCTGAACCACATACGCACTGTTGGATGATAGCATAGGGAGAGCCGTAGAGACATGCAGATCCAGACCTGGTGGTCATCCAAAGAGACTAGTTCATCTTGGGTGCCGTGGAAAGACGGGCCATCGCTTGTCCTTGTAGGGCTATCAAGGTGTTTGAAGGATCACAAGGCAAGCACTGCACAGAGCCATCTTCAAATGTCCCTTGGCACTCATACACTCCATCCTGAACTTTGTATTGCAGTAGCAGTCAGGCATGAGTTATTCCACCGATACCTCTTATCAGCCTGAAGGCATGTCCCATGGAAGTCACACCTCTGTTCCGATGGCAGCTTCCTTTCCAAGCTCCTCATGAGATCACGTGGAAGATGACAACCTCCGTCTCCTTCCCGCGATATCTGTCAATCAACATCTTTCGTGCAGCTTCGTATCTTGCAGTGAACACCATCCAATTGATTTGTCACTCCATCACATTGTGATTACTACCAACAAGTGCCAGCCGGCTTGTCCTTTTGTCAAAGGCCCATCAGCCACCGAACTCTGGCCCACAGCCTGTCCATATCGGGTCACTGCTTGACGAGCCAAACGAGCTGTCTGCTGTCACTTCCCGTTGCTTATGTGGAACTTTCGCCTCCTGGAGATCGGACATACGAAGGGCGCGTCTAAAAGATAAACTTATTGGGTGAGTTTACTGCGTAGAGACGAAAGAAGAAAGCGACGCTATATACGGTCTTACATCGCTTGCCAGCAGCTTACACGACCCGCCAAAACTGGTGATGCCCAACCTCCGAAGGCTACACGTACACAAATGCAAGCTTCATCCTACGTGAGCTTGGTGAGCCACCAAGTGAGCGGCGCTAGCGGCAGCAAATCATTGGGTAACGACAGTAGCACCACTCGCCTGCGCCTCTGACGGATCTTGGACCTGGTCCGCTAGCCTCGAATCAATGGGCTACGAACCGCATAAGCTGCCCGAACGCTACGAATCACGGCGTTGGTTCTCCCCTGCAGCATGCATGCGGCTTGCTGGTGGAACTGGCGCTGCTGTAGTTCATATATGACCGCGGAGTCCTGGAGCTGCTGCCCTCCTTGGGCTCCTTCATCTTTGGATCTCTGCATCATTGCGTGTTTGTATATTTGCCTCTCTATAATACCTCAAGGAAGGGTCAGCTCTCGTCGAGAACAGCAAAATGGTCGTCCTCAAACCACAGTCCGACTTTGGCCATGCGCCGCCGCCTCAGACCCCTTACAGCATCATCAGCAACCTGCCTGGATGGGGCATGCTTCGAAACTTCCGCGATGGAGACATGTCTCCCATGGCCAAAGTCGTTCATATTTATCCGCGCTTTGGTCCAACGCACTCCGCTGCCATGGTGAGCTACACAACATACTTCGACAATAACTGGCAAGCCCTCTGATCGTGTACATGTATAGCTCGGCCAAGAGGTTGCGAAGAGACTAGGTCATGAGGGCAAGTCCTGCATGGTGTATCTCAATCCTGTCATGTGGCCTTATACGGCGGGCCATGTTCAGAACAAGGCTCGCGAAGAGGCGGTCATTGATCCAGAAAAGCTCACCTTCAAGTGTGTTGATGTTGCTGGACATCGTCTCTATGCCGTCTTGTTTGAACCAGCCGACACCAAGGCGCTTTTGCTCAGCTGGGGAACTCCCGGGCTTGGACTTTCTATTCGGATGGCCGAGCACTTGATGAAGGATATCGACACCTTGGTTGAAGTCTCGTTCGATGACTACAAGAACCCTCCCAAGCCAACTTATACACCTGTTGGCCCAGCTCATCAACTGCTCCGCGAACGTATCAACTACTTTGTTCACCGTGGTGCCATCGATCCAGAGCTCGTCAAGAGCAAACCTAGTGACGTCCTTCTCTTCCCTACCGGCATGGCCGCCATCTTCTACGCGACAAATCTTATCCAGGAGTACCGCCCCGGAACCAATATTGTCCTCGGCGTCGTCTTCCACAACACACACCATCATCTACACGAAGAGAGTCCCAATGGATTCAAGCACTTTGGCAAGGTTGATAAGCAAGGTCTCGACGAAATGGAGGCGTGGCTTGACGGGGAAGCGAGCCAAGGCAGAAAAGTAAGCTTCGTCATTGTTGAATTTCCGGGGAACCCAACGACGGAAAGCACAGATCTGTCTCGCCTCAAGAAACTGTCTGAGAAACATGGTTTCGTGCTGATTGTTGATGACACTCTGGCGGGGTTTGCCAATGTCGACGTTTTGGCCGACTCCGACATCCTCCTTACCTCTCTCACCAAGTCCTTCAACGGCAGAGCTGATGCCCTCGGCGGCTCCATTGTCCTCAACCCACTTTCTCCTCACTACAACGAGCTGTCTTCACGATTTGCCAAGGCCTTCAACAATGAGTTCTTCACTGCCGACGCAGAGACGATACTCCTCAACTCGGCCGATTATCTCCAACGCACGCGCCGTCTGAATAGGAACGCGGAGGCCATGGCAACCTTCCTGCACCGAACAATCGGCCGCGATGATTCTCCCGTGGCCAAGGTCCAGTACCCTAGTCTGCTGCCCGACAAGTCCAACTATGACCGCTACTTGAGGCGTAGCACCACGGAACTCCCCAACCCGGGATACGGCTGCCTGTTGAATGTCGAGTTTGAGAGCGTAGCAGCCGCCGAAGCGTTCTACGACCGATGCGGCTTCTACTCCAGCCCACATCTGGGTGGCCACGTCACCATCATGCTGGCGTATAACATGATGATGTTTGGAAAGAAGAAGGAGGAGAGGGAGGAGTTCAGAAAGTATGGCGCCATTGAGGAGAGCATCAGGCTTTCTGCCGGTTTGGAAGAGGTGGAGGACCTGATCGACACGCTCAAGGTTGCGCTAGATGCAGCGACTGAGGCCAAGAAGAAGGCAGCCCCGAATGGAACCCAATGAGTGGATTTAGGCTGGGATGTAAGTCACAGATAGCGATTTGATGAGACAAAAGCCCACAGTCGTTTGATCTGTGACGTGATGAGTCCCATCAAGAAGACGAGCACATCAAGTTCTTGCCTGGGTCTTATTCTGTGCCATTAACAGCATTCATATGGCCCATCTTGGAATAGCCAATCAATCTGTACAAGGATGTCAAAAGCAGCAAAATTCAATATAAATCGGACTTCAATTTATCACCACGAGGAAGACCCCCGTTATTATACATATTACTCTTTCTCACATACCATCACTGAAATTTCATCTACAAGATATAACAAAAGAAATCCATACCCGACAAAGGAAAGAAAAGAATCCTCTTGCCCCCATCACTAACACTCCGCCGGCATTTTATAACAAGAGAACCTTCATTCTTTCCCCTCTCTTATTTTCCCCCCCATGCTACACTCTTCCCCCCGGGTCCCTCCCTAAACCACATCAGGTTACTAACCGGAGACGCCCTCCCGACCCCATCGAACAGATCGGACTTGTACTTTTCGATTATGGTTCTCCTTCCCTTTCTCTTTCCCCTCTTGGTAACTGACTTGCTGCAACCACTTTGCGTGGCATTGTCCGGGTTTTCCATGTTGTTTTCTTTCCCCTCGTGACGGGGTTGGGGTTGCATGTCATTCTCGATATAGTTGCTTGGAGTGGCAAGGTGGCGATGAAGTCTCCTTCTCTGGCTAATTCCCCAACTTGGGACTTCATGGACAGCTTCTTCATTCAATAAAGTAGAGAAACAAGGTATAAATGAGGGCCGTGGGTCCTCGACATCATACCAGTAAACTTCCATTATCATTATTTCGTCTCATCTCGACCTGGTTCGAGCTCATCAAGTATCCTGCGTGTAGTATCAAGCCGCTTGTAACAGAAAAATGACCGGCACCCAGCATTACACCACGGCCGAGTTTCCCTCCGAAGCCGGCAAGGAAATCACCACTGTCTATGCCGACGATCCGGCTACAGATGCCGCCCTGCTAGAGTCTATCCTCGATAGGGACGGCGCCGTAATCGTCAAGAACCTGGTCCCCCAATCTCTCTGCGCGCAGATCAAGACCGATCTCAAGCCCATCTTCGACTCGGACAGGCCGGATCCAGCTGGTTTCTTTCCCAGCACAACGAAGCGCGCTCATGGCATTCTGGCCAAGTCACCAGCCAGTGCCAAGCTGGTGGTGAACCCGCTCTTCCAGTCCGTCGCCGAGCGTATGTTGACCAGCAGATACACCTACTGGGAGGGCCAAGAGCAGAAGACGGTGGCAGCAAAGCCGCAGATCGCAAGCATAGTGGGCTTTCGCGTCGAGCCCGGCGGCAAGCAGCAACCACTCCACAGGGACGATTCAGACTATCACACTCGGAACTGCGATATGCCCGTCATGCTAGGCTGCGTCACGGTATGAGTTCCAATCGTAATATCCTCCTGACGGCCACACAAATACCGGCTGACGACCGTGCGTGAAACTAGGCATTGTCCAAGACGACAAAGGAGAACGGCGCGACAGTGATTATTCCAAAGAGCCACTTGTGGGGGCCAGACAGGTGCCCTCTCAAGGAAGAGACCATTTCGGCGGAGCTCGAGGTGGGAGACGCTGCTATGTTCGTTGGCAACGTATATCATGCGGGAGGCGCAAACGTCACAAAGTAATTTGCCTCAGAAAACGTTCTAGTAGCCACAGTAGCTGACAATCTTCAAACGCTTAGGGACGACGCACGCGAGACAATTGGCGTATTCATGTGCAAAGGAACACTGAGGCAGGAAGAGAATCAGTATCTGGAACTGCCGCCAGAGCTAGCAAAGGATCGGGGCTTCTCACCACAACTGCTGCGTTTGCTCGGATATGGACTCTGCCCGCCAGCCCTGGGCTTGTACCGGTACAAGGATCCCATGGAGGAGATATTCAATGTCCTAGATGAGGAGACCATCCGCAGATAGATTAGAAGAACCATGTTTTGTTGACGAAGATGCTCCTTACGTCTTCAAACAACAAGAATCCTCAGTCCGTTCGCTTGCAGTTGTTGTGCAACCGGTAGCCAGTTTGGCTCTGGGCCGTTCCAGAAAGCGGTGAAGAAGCTCCGGATGGTTTCGTATTGGTTGAAGCCAGTGGTTCTGATCGTTTTATCGAGAATTTCAGTAACTTTCTGCTGCCTTTCCACGTCGCCGTAGCACTCAGTACCCGCAATGAAGATGGGCCACGGGAGGTTCTGGATGCAGAGCGAGGGGTTTTCAATCTTGTCCAGCTGGTCAAACAGCTTTGTGACGGAAGCCAGCCAGTCAAAGTTGTCAGGCGTCGCATAGCCCAGGCATCTGTATGCATAGACAATCGCAGCATGGTGATATAGGTCCACCAGCCGGATAAAGTCCCGACGCACAACCGGAGGTTCCATTTGCAGCTTTCCTGCTATCATCAACGTCTGCCCTCTTGCCTGCTCGAAGCGTGACTGGACTTCTGATATGGTGAAGCTCTGGGGCCATGTAGACACATCAATGGCCTCGTTGACGGCCATGGATCGCCGAGAAGCCAGCGTAATCTGGTGCAGAAAAGAGAGATACTCAGAGAACAGCACACGGTCGCCAGAGTCGGATGTGGGTAAGACGGTTTCTGCAACGTCTTTCAAGTCGAAGGATGTTGCCGAGCCGAGAACCTCGTGAATCGCAAGTTGATTCCTCAGAAATGCAAAAAGGCCCTTGTTACACGCTTCGTTCTTTCCAAACACGTTGACGATGGTTCTCGCTGCAAGCCTATGACTTTCAGCCGCCTCGGAGTGATTCTTGGCCATTTCGTAGTTGGCGATGACGAGAATGCAGGCCAGGACCCATTCCGCGTTGGCGACGTCGTCGCGGGTATTAAGCTCGGCTCCGCTGTTGAGTCGATCATTCATTTCCCGCAGCTGTTCCCTGACAACATTTAAGCATGCGTCGCGTGCCTCTTCGTGATAGCGGGCCAGCTCGCTCGGGAACTTCATGGGTCCATGGTAGAGAGAAAAGGCGGCAATGGCAAACCGAAGACCTGGAGCGTTGGCAGCCATGGGTAGCATCCGACGCCGATAATCATTTTCATCCGAGTCGACCCAGACCATGCGTCCCGCAAGATACTTGTCATAATATTCGATGATCTCTGGTGAAGACGCCCACTGGGTATAGTTTAGTAGTAAACCTTGAGCAGCAGGGGTGTTTTCCATGGACTTGATGCTGATAGATGTCGGCCTTGTCACTTGGAGGGCTCCGGAAGAGTTCGTCGTACTGGGGTCGACGGCAGGGGCAGGACTAGCAACAGGGACAGGCGTAGCAGCAGGGACAGGAGCAGTATCAAGGACAGGAGTAGCAACAGGGACGGGAGCAGCAGCAGCAGGAGGAACAGGAGTAGCGATAGTACTAGCAGTGCTCGGCTTTGGTGCAGCAATGGGATCCTCGATTGTCGATAAAGTCATTTCCATGGGCAGCGACCCAGCAACGGGCAGCCTCTGGCCCTTGAGCTTGCCGCGGACGGCCACGCCATCAGCCCAGCGAAGGTGTCGCCCGTATCCCGGGCAGACGAGGCCCTTCTTGATGCATTTCGCACAAGCCGGGCGGCCGAGGTCACATCGGATGCGTCGCCGCATACAACTGCGGCAGCCTTTTTCGGCGGATCGGATCGGATCAGCAACGCGCACCCTCGTCAAGCAAGCGAGAATCAAAATCCGCAGGGGAAGAAAGAAACAAGGACAGAGGACTAACACGCCTCGACTCACCCTTTGTTGCTTCACCCGAGCCCTTTGAGCTCATTGTAGCTAGTGGTCAGTACGACAAGGATGAAAGTACTCATCAATCCCGATCAGAGGTCGTCGGATGGATTGTTGGTTGAGAGTGGGAATCGGAGGCGGGAAAGATGACGGGGGGAGAATCAACAGAAGGAGAAAAAAAAAGTGGACGGCATCGGAGTAATAGGCCGGCTTAGTGTAGGCAGTTTTTACGTACAAAGAATGGCGCCGGCGCCGCTTGCCTTTTATCGTCGGGTTGGGTGACACTCTTCAGGCGGGTTTAGCCGCGCGGGCAGCGCTGACGACGGCGGACTAAACTCCATTGATTCGCTGCAGTGGCTGCATCTGGGTGCGTGGGTATAGCCTCAACTTAGGAGTGGCAGGACACAGACAGTATCAGCCTGCTAAGACCCACGACAGACACAGACTACAAGCCACTTATTATCACTGTTATGATAAGCGCCAGGCTAGATAGACCATGCATAGTAGACCATGAAAGCCCTCTTGGTACCACCCACATCACGCTCAGCATCACGCCCTGCTATACCTGACCAAGATTCAAGAGTATGCCGGCTTGATTGTTCCACCCAGTATCTTATTCAACTCAGTTTTCCTCGACTTGACTGATAAGCGTCTTCTCTATGTCACACAGGCAGCACGACAACGACAGCAATGACGCCTCCCTCCCGCCGTGATTCAAATCCCAACTCAAAAGAAATTCCCCCAATGACTACCTTAGGTTCGAAGTGCAAAGGAAACAAGTCAAGCAGCAGTGAATTCAGCGTCTTCTAGCTGCACCCGATTCACGCAGAAAACGTGTGATGAACCATGTGCACACTCCGAAACACCTACCACGCATCAGCCATGCCTCTCTCCTTCCTCCAAACCTCAGGCCTTCCTATCTCTCGATTTTTCCCTCCTCTTTCGTCGCAATTTTCTCTCCCAAGTCATTCCATCTCCTGGACCAGTCTTCAGTCTCGCCTCCCAAGGTCATCTCATACTCTATCATCGCTATTCTCCTCGAATATAAGGGTAAAAAGCCCAGCATGCCAAAAGACTTCATCAGCGTGGTACAGGACCTCGAAGACCTCCTGTGCCACCACATCATCGCCTCCACCGCCAGCAACTTCGTCGAAGAGCTCGTCGACATCCTCAAGGCCGTCCTTCGCATCGACCGCAACACCCACTGGAGCATCCAGTCCTTTCTGTACGATCTTCGAGAAGAATACTATCGCCTACGTACGTCTTGAGTCTCTCATCTATTCCCCTTCGGCAACCTAGAACTTCTAATCAAAGAAATCAAGCAAATAACAGACCTCACATCCGAACGCCCCCAGCCATCCCGCCCCCCCAACGACATCTGGCCCCGCCTCAACCGCTCCGTCGTCGAGCCCCTGAGCACCATGCCCATGACCCACGACACCGGCCCCGACATGGCCGCCTTTGCCGTCCGCTACGCCGACCAGATGTACAACGTCCTCCGCCTCCAGGCAAAGATGCCCTACAAGCCCTTTATCGAGGTCCTTACTGGAAACGGCTTCGTAAAGGGCTCCTCCTCCTCAGCCGCCCTCTCCACCACCACCACAGACGCCAGCAGCGCTAAGAGCGACGCCGCTATGCACGATTGCGCCAGCGTTGATGCCGGCAGCATCAGCGAGCACGCCCAGGAGTACGATGCCAGTCTCCTTTCTAGACTGGCCTTTCTGGAAGATCGCGTCGCTATCCTCGAGAGGAGAGAGGAACTCCTCGACGGCCAGCTCGACCGTGCCACACAAGCGATGTCGGCTCTGCGTTCCACAAACCTCGACTTGGCCAGAAAGGTGTCCGAGGTGCAGCAGCGAAACCACGACCTGCGCAGGACTTATGCTGTGTAACTCATGGGAGGGGACAATATACTGGTTGGTCGGTCGATAGATACGCCCACTTGTGCAGAATAGAGCAACGAGGTATTACTCGATATATTTTTTATTTCAGTTTCGCTAATACTGCGCTTGGCGCACAGCCACACATATGTTCAAGACAGACTCCTCTTTACATGGCCAGATGGAAATGAGCGAGAAGAATCCCCCCCCCCTGCATATATGAGAACAATTGGTAGATAACTGAATGATCAATTTCAGCAGCCACAATTCAGAGCAACTTTGCATTACATGTTCATAATAGGTAATCATTTTGACTTTTGTACATCATCGTAATCATAAGCGTCATAAGGAAGAAACGAAAAAAAGAAAGTTAAGAAATATGAGGGAGAGAAAGAAATCAAATATCAGCAGATGGCTCCCTCCAACTGTGGCTCATTATTTTGAAGATGGCGTTGGCTGGAGAAGCCCAATCTTGGCGCGCAACAAATCGTGTCATCGTGAATGGTATGATATAACCAAAAAACAGAAGATAAAAAGGGATGAAAGGGGGGAGTCGAGCCACTAATGGAGCCTCTCCTTGACGTATACCATAGCGGCATAGCCAGCGCAGCACTTGGTGCTCATCTCGTGAGAGCACCACGGGCACTTGACCGTCATGGACAGTGCGCCAGTAAATCCGACATTCCCTCGTGGCGGCCGAATCACAGCCTCTGGGTTGGCCATGGCTTCGTAAATGTTGCTGGGCATGTCGTGGTAGTACTTGCATCCGCAGCACTCGACAAACATCTTGGCAATTGGCTCGCCGCCAACAGGCGAACCTGCTGTGTGTCGTGGCCCCTTTGTTGGCGTAAGGTCCATGGTGGGCGATGGCTGGCTGCGAATCGATGCTGGCGGCGTTCCTTTGGGCACGAGGCGAGGCGAACCTAGCACCTGAGGAGGCGGGGCCAAGGGGGCTGCTTTCCGAGCCTCTTCAAGATAGGAGGCGGGCCATGGTGCAACGACGAGTTGAGTCTTGCTGTTTGCTCTTTCGTCCCCAGGAAGCAGTGAATCCGCAGACGGGACGTGTTGCTTCGAAACCAATGCATTTTCCCCAGCCTTCAGGGGTTGATGCTTCAGTTTGGGTAGGAAGTCAGCTCCGGGTGCAGGATCCACAGCTGATTGCGTCCGATGGTGAGCAGCCCGTGTCCTGTCCGCAGGAGTAGTCTTGGTGGGTGTAACTTTTGGCGGACTGCTTGAACCCGAGAAGCCTCCTCCAATCTGGAGCAGCAGTGGTTGCTTAACTGGGCTTTGCGAGAGGTTCCTCGCTCGGTTCTGCTCTGTGCCTGCTCGTTGACCCTCAATATCTTGAGACGGTGGAGGAAGCCCCTTTTCGGATTGTGGCCGGGAGGTGTCAGGCGTACCAGGCGTTGACACCGAGTGGAAGTCATCAGAAGAATCATCATCAGCCGATGTCGTCGGGACAGAATCGTCCGTGAGGCGGCGAACAGTGAAATCGCTGTCATCCCGAAGGGAGCTGTGAGATTTGCGGATCGGAGACAGCGAGACCTTTGTTTCGATGACCTGCATGACAGAGGATTGGATGTCCTCCCATGTCGGTATTTCTATGGGGTCTGGCTTCTGGTTCCTGGAGGTGCGACCGGCCTCCCGAGAAGTAGGGTTTTGGAGAGGAACGCCGCCGCTTTGCGATTCGGTTCCACCTATAGTGTTATTGGCGGTTCTCTTCGGCTTGCCTGATATCCGATCGCCAATACTAGTGGTGGAGTCAGAGCTACCGGGTCGATGTGCTGGCGAGCGTGAGCGGGACACGGGTGATACTGAGCCATCTAAGCTAAGGAGGGAGTTTCGCTTCGAGCTTCGACGGGGAGGCGCGGGGGGCAGAGAGCCCGCCATGGGGGAGGAACCGTTGACCAGGTCCTTGTCTACGGGAGTACTGCTCTTGATAGGACCGCTACTTTCATGCTGCTGCAGCTGGGCAAGGTTGGCTTGAGACAGCTTCTCCTGGGGTGGCTTCTGTGCGACGGCAGAATTGCTCAGCTGGTGATCGCCTGTTGATACGTTGAGCTTAGACTGGGGGACTTGGGTGCCGCTGCCGGCTGATGAGCCTGTTGGGGGAACAGTAGGAACAGTAGGAACAGCGGTCGCTGGGGGTCGGATCTCTGAAGTTGTCCCAGTGTTCGCGTTGGCCTGTGGCGATGGCAATGCGGGAGACGATTTGCTTGCCTCGTTAGTGACTGCAGGCTTCTTGGCACCCTCTTGCTGGGCAGCGGCCTTGGTTGACTCAGCCGGGTCTTTGGGTTTCAAACCAACAAAGGCCCTCCATTTCTCCATTGTACCGGTGTCCTGAGCCTCCATCTCCGCGCTCGAGATAAGGGACCTGGTCTTGGCGGCTGCAGCCGGATGTCGAGTGATGGGAGGATAAGCCCGGCGCTGGGAATCCGGGATTGGGCGAGCAGCGGGTGCAGACCACTTCTGGTTGTGAGCGTTGTTCGTCCGAAGGGCTGGGTGGATCGTGGACTCGTCCATGTTCTGAGGCTCTTCCGCGGCCTTCTGGTTGGCAGCATATCGTTGTATCTCCAGCTTGATGCCGCCGATGAAGCCCGTCTCAACTGGGCGAGCCGTGTCGGAGGAAGCCCGCCGAGACTCGAAGGGTGACCTTATCAGGGAGGTGAAGGAGCCGGATCGCCTGTGAGAAGGGCGAGCGGGCGTGTCGTTTTTGGCGGGAGGCGAAAACTCCAGGGCACTCGACGGCCTCTGCCTGTCTCTGGAAGATGCCGCTGCCTCGACGGATATGCGATTCGCCTGCTCGATGGCATGCGACGACGAAGGAGGAGGTTGCTTGCTCAAGCGCTTCTTCTTAATCAACGCATTCTTAAGCGCGGACTCTTCCTTTTCGCGCTTCGATGCCTTGGCCTGCTGCTCTCTCTTCCGCTGCTCTTTCTCGGCCTGCTCCTTTTTGACCTGTTCCTTCTTCAGCTCCTCCTTTCTCTGTTGCTCCTTTTTCAACTGCTCCTTTTTCAGCTGCTCTTTGCGCTCCTGCTCCTTTCTCTCTTCTTCCTTCTTCAACTGTTCCTTCTTCAGCTGCTCTTTCTTTTGCTCCTTCTTGGAGTCCTTCTTCTCGCTCTTCTTGCGCCGGCCGTATGCCTCCCAGCTCGGAGATTGGCAAATGGATCGCCGCTCTTCTTCATAGGCACTGAGCGGAACGTCGAAAGAGACAGCCTTGACGACTGGCTTGTCCACGGCTGGCGACTGATGCACAACCACGGCACCCCTTTGCGCGCCATTGTCGGATTCGGGCGCAAGGTCCAGTTTGAGCATAGGCGAGCTGACGTTGATGGTCACCGAACCGATCTGAGCGTCTGGCCTTGTCTCTCTAGCTCTGGAGACGGTGGCGCCCATCGCGGCATTCTCCAGGGGGGATGGCTCGATACGGTGAGCTTGAACTGCAGGGCGATTTGGCGATGAAGATGGCGGCTTGGAGACAACAGCAGCTATCGAGCCCGAGTTGGGAGACAATGCATTCGCTTGCGAAGCCGAGGCCTGGAGTCGCTCAAGCTGCATTCGTGTGAAGAAAGGGACCGCGTTAGCTTCCTCGAGGTATTTGAGATGGCTAGCTGGCGCAGGCATGCTTACCATGTAGCGGCGCTCGAGCTCCAGCATGCGCTGCAAGCTGTTTGAGCGAGCGGGTCGCGTCTTGTGGTTGGACATCATGGCGAGGCCTGCGAGTTGGGCGTGAAGGCCAGATACTGCCCGACGAACCAGCGGTCGAGCGGACGGGATGCGTTGTAAAAATAGACGGGCAGGGACAGCGAGGAGAGCTGGCAGGCAAGGCGGCACAAAGGGAGAGACTTCGTCAGTGGCTCCGATGTGGCTGGTAAGACGATGAGCCGGCGCACGGCTGCGAGCATGCGCCTCTGCTGAATTTCGAGGAGGGCGGCCGGCTCTCACGAGCACACCGTGTATCAGGAGCGGAAGTGCGACGGCGTGGGACGATTCGGTCTCGAGCACGGAGCTCACCCAGCTTTGCTTCGAAACGAGCGACGACGGAGGGCCAGGAGAAGAATGAAGAAGAAGAGAGAAAATCACCCAACGAGGGCGAAGTGCGGCAGAAGAGCGGCTTGGCGTTGGCCGTTGCACGACGCTGGCATTCAATGCCTGTTCTGCACGTGGGGGCTGGCTGGTAGAAGCAACAACTTAAGACGAGGCCTGGGTACAATACTGACTGACTGGCGACAATTGCTGGGCACCAAGCGTACCTACCTAGCAAAGGGCCGTGCGATGACAGTCGACTCGACCCGGGTCGGGAGCAAGCGGATGGATGGCGGCGCCAGCGAAACGAGGCCGTGGATTTTAGTGTCCGCAATACGAGCTGGGGAAGCAAGGTTTGGCGCAATGGTGGTGTGCAACCGCTGAGACAGATGCGACAGAGGTGGTCCAATGGGCCGAGCAGGCGGGCCCCTGGGCCAGCTGAACTGGCGGGAGATGTCGATGGACTGACGGAGGCAAGTTGAACAAGTCGTACTACTAATACGGTTGGTATTGAGTCCACTTGTCCCGTACAAGGTCGGGTACCTTGCCTCGACGATACGTTGCGGTGGTCTCACGGCGATAACTCCGTCCTTCACCAGTGGGCGAGAGATGCCGACTCTCTGGTCCCTGGCCCTCCCTCACCGTCGACGGTGCGACCTTGCAGGCTGTGCTAACGGAGTCTGGTGTAGGCAGGTCATGGAACCCACAATGCAAGCAGTGATGGATGATTCCAGCTTTCCGGGGAACAGATGGACGGACGGAGAGGCAGACGGACAGCCAGGCAGGGCATGTGAGGCTAAAGGCACCTCACGCCGGCGAAGCGAGGAGTGTCGGGCCGCAGGAGATGTGGCGATGGCGATAATCATGGTGCTACCCGTCGAGTCCGATTGATTGACTGATGGCTACGTGCCGGAACAGCTCAGCTAATAATTGATTCTACTACTAGCTGCATGGCGACGTGCATGTACGATGCGGTGGAGGATGCCAACTGACGGCACCAGCTCTTTAGCGCGCCTGTCGCCGTGCCGCTCGATGCTCTGAAAGCTGAGCTTCATTCGACTGGGCTCCATCTTCGCCCGCTCGGGACAATGGACCTCCACCCGCTGTCTGAATACGAACCCGCTAAGACACGCCCACAAGCCACCGCTGGTCCCCTGCTTAGCCTCGCCTTGGTGGCTGTTTTCCAGCACCAAAAAGAGCATCTGGCTGCTGGAGCCCGATCGTCGACATGGATCGCGACTCTTTGGCCCGCCGGGCGCTAACTGCCACTAGCTGCGCCAACAAGACGTTGGTCGTTCCACCTCGGTTTTCGCCCATTCCCACCACAAAGCCGCTCTGAACTGTGCATAAAAATAGGAACAGAAATCCGGGGCCTTCTTGGACGCCAATTCCGCCTAGCTCTCAGTTCTTTGACTTCATTCCATTGGCCCCGTTTCGAACGACTCTGATCCAGGGTAGGCCAATCTGACAGTATTTGCGATTCAAGATGCAGCCAACAATAACTCGAGCCGCCTTACTGCTCCTTTCCTCGTATGAAATACTCCTGAACCTCGTGAACTTCGTTACAGAAGAGGCTTGAGAGACTCGGGTCAAGAATGTGTGAGAAATGGGCGGTGTCGCCCACAGTATAAACACACGAGGCAAGGCTGACAGCTACCCTAGTGGCGACGACCAGCTGCCGCAGATCCGTCTTTCCGCTGCAGATAACTTTACTTTTAGCTTCAATGCTTCGACATGTAGCTGTCCATCGGAGCTAGGTAAGGGTAGCTGATGTGAAAAGCCGTGCGGACAATCGAAGCCACCACCAGCTTAGATGGTGGGTAATATCTGGCGGTGCTGATGGCGACAATCTGAATTGGAGCTCGAAGGTCACGGCGACATGTCCCAACCATTACCCGCTTTTGCCGAGCCTCCTTCTGATGATACGATACGGAGTTGGTCTTCCTTACTAGCAAGAGAACTAAGAATAGGCAAGGGAAAGCCATCTGGCAATCTATATCTCTGTCGGACTACGCAGTGGCCTCGACTCTAGCCTTAGCTTGCATAGCATCTCCCGGACCGATACGATGTTTAGGTTTAAGCAATATGACTGTGCATAAGCGTAAGCGAAAAGATGAAGATCACGCAAATTCAACGACAGATGCATCGTGGAGGTGGAGAAATGCCAGTTACTCAGGTCCCATATCATTTCTGACATCTTTGATCCATGGCAGATCCTGGAACAGCTGCCGAGGCAAGGTGACGACACCAAGTACATGCATCGGACCAGGGTCAAAATAGAGAGATGCGAGCGCCGAGTCCGAAATTGTGGAGGGCAAATTGAGCGTTCGTCAGGGAGCAGATGCATTTGTATTCATTGATGACTTCACGGAGTTTGCCTTGGGCTTGTGCTGTTCGAGTGGGCTATTTCTACATGTACCTCATGTATAGCATTGTCGAGTAATGTTTGCAATTGGTTGATGTTGGGTTGTACAATACCTACGAAGTAAAAGGGTCATCTTACATATGCCAAGCACTTCTAAGATGTGCGGGGGAGAGTTTCAGAAGCGACCTTGAACTGTATTATATTCTGTCCTTCGGGCGAAGAATCGACAAACCTGCAGTGTTAAGTCGGAAGCTTGCCTCCCATCTACACACGAGGGTATGCATCCTAGGCATCCAAGTCAGGATGTCTCCGGATTGTCAACGTTTTCTTGCACACGTATGCAGGGAGATTTGTCTGGCCCGCTGGAAAAGACCCTTGCGGCCAACCGGACACTGCCAGGTTTTGAAACAGTGATCACCATCACCACACGGCGGATGTGTCCCGGGCATCGCCGCTTGAGTGGTTGTACTCCGTATTGTGACACAGAGACGATACCGGGGGTTTCTTCATTGTACGGGTACGTAAGTCTACCAAATCGGAAGGATTCTCATCGGAAGGAGTAGAAATAATGCACATCCATTTAGAGGGGAGCCTAGGAAGGATGGTCTCAACTTCGTATCCGTTCAGCTTATTCCAGGCCTACCTCTTTGACGGTGCACTGGCGAGTAAAGAGATGCTTGCGAGCCGAGCATGAGATCGAACACCAGTATGAATGCTCATTATGCCTTTGACAGATCTGTTTGCAGAACACAAGGACGTCTAGAAAGATTACCTTAGGTAGCACTACGGAAAATCCGCTGCCGAGTCCGGAAGCCGGAGGAACATCCGGCTTGTTGAACACCACACAGCGCTCTCGAGTGCTATTCAATTTCTCAGGCCATATTACCTATAGGCTTTGAATCAAAGGGGAAAGAGCATGTGGTGCACTGGGCCTGGGTTGATGCAGAGCTCATTGCGCCTCTTTTATAATATATATACATCTAATCTAATATACAAAAAGTATATCCCACCAACGGCCTGTGTTAAGATTCTAGAGTTATAAAATACAGGTAGTCATCAATCATCATCCGTGATATACAGTCTTCGTAGTCACACAAACTCCGTTTCGCAATGCCATTCTCTGCTTCAGCAAAACGGCTGGTAAACACCATCTAACGATTTCGATTCATATGCGCTTCAATTGCCTCGCGGGTAGGACATATATGAGTCCACATTTCCTCCTGTTCCCCAAAGTCGTGCAAACCATGAGTGAGCTCAAGCACTTCGCGCCCGCGGCAGATAATGAACCGCCAAGTCCGGCGAAGCCAAGCCTTGAGCCTGACTGAGAGCTCGTTAGGTATCTTGAGGCGTACCGCAACCCATTTGGGGTCCGGTGCGTGATCTGTCCGAAGAGTCTCTGTAGGGTCGGACGGTGGCTCCGCAGATTTCAGGAGCTGCTCGTCTGCCCACATGTTGTACTTGGTCTGTTCCGGAGGCAGTATGATCTTGAGGAACTCCAATGACGCCGTGACTGTGAGAGAGATTGCTCGTGTCGGGTTGACCATGGATTTCATGAAAATTGACATCCATTGAGGGTAGAGTATGGCGAGATCGGTCATGGCAAGGTGAGTCGATCCGACTATTGTGAGCATCCAGCATAATGCACCGGATTCACGGGCTTCATTACTGAACCCGACGACTTTATCAAAGTTCTCCTTCCAGTGCATGAACGCTTCGGATGAGATTGATATAATGGGCTTTGTGACTCTCTCTTTTCTCGTCTCTCCAGCAGGTGGCGTTGCTTGGCCCCAGGCATCGAGAATGACGCCTTGGCCTAGCCATTCCAGCGAGTCATCTCGGCAGGTTTGGACCGTGGTTGCGCCTCCAAATGAGTGTCCCATCATGGTGACGTTGTTAAGGAACATGCTGTCTTTCCAATCGTCCCAGTTGATACCGTTGAGGCCTAACGAGCTGGATCCCACGTTGCCCCTTTTCCGGAGGTTCATTGCAGCGACATCAGCTCCATGGCCCGAATTGATCAGATCGAGAATGTAATAGGCTTCTTTGATCTCTTCCTGCCGTAGTACGATTTGTGCTGATCTCAATATGTGGTCAACGCCTCTGCTGTTATGAGGGCGGGTGTCCTGCGCATTGTCCTTGGGAAGAATGTAGTCGACGACATAATATGGGTTCAGTCCTTCTTTTCTTCGACGTTGCACTTTTTTATCTTTGCCGTTCTTCTCATCGTCGTTATTTGTGTGTAACTCGGCTGTTGATGATTCGATGGCCGCCGCCTCAACGTTGCCCGGAAGACTGACATATGTCCTGGCGCCGCTGCCATCACGATGCTCGATCGCCACAACGATGAATCCGAAGCTTGCAAGCTCACCACATATGGAGCTGTAGCAAAGCCGTGAACCACCAAGCCCATGGCTGAAGATGATGACGGGGAATTTGGGCCGACTTGTGGGATCATCTTCTTCTTCTCTGGCCTTTTGCCCGGTTGGGCCAGAGTCGTCCTTGCATATATCTTCCGGCCAGTGGGCGGCCAGTTTGGCGTTCCTAAATGCAGGCAGCTTTGTGAAAAGGGAGGTGCAGGCAAGATATGCAGTGACGGGGAGTGCTGGAATATGTAGATATTTAGCGTAGCCTTTAGCCGTCGCTACTCGTGGCCGCGGCATCCAGTCGACGCGATGCGCACCAGGGGAAGATTGCAGGTCACACGGATAGTAGATTCCCATCAAAACGGTGTCTAGTCGAAGCACTGGCTTTCCATGTCTTCGAAGGTTAGAAACCGGCCGGGGTTGGCGAACTGGCACTTCTATATCCATGTATCCGACATTGTAGGGTCCATTGTAGTGAGGGAGGCGATGCAGGAAGAGTTCTCTAAACGTCTTTCGTGGTTTGACGGCTGACCTTCGGAGAGGCTTTGTAGTTGCTTCTGGCGATGGAGTTTCTGCCATTGTGTTTGCTTCTAGAGACGAAGAGGCCGCCATTGTGTTTTCGTCGGATGATGGAGATGCCGCCATTGTGTGGGAAATATGAGCATGATGGCACCTGAAAGTGCTTTGTGTCTAGCGAAGGTCAATGGTGATGCTATATGAGTGACTGAACTCTCCGGATCAGCACGGAATTTTTATGCCGTCGAGGTGACTTTTGTTTTCAATTCTTTGAGATGTGACGTCAAGACCACCTTCAAGATGGAAGCAGGCTTCCCTGCGGGTCCAGAAGTGTTGTACATCGTCACCGCAATCACATGCGTTAGACGAGGCTGCTTTACGGAAAGGGTAAGATACTAAGAGAAACATCCAACAGCAGTTCTGAATTACTGGTTTTATCAGTTATCAGTTTTCTAATGTCTCAAGGAGTTTCTACACGGCATCGAACCATGAGTTTCTTTTTTGAAAGTTTCTTTTGGCTTTGTCATTTTCTTTGTCTACTTGTTGCGAACACGAAATGCATCATTCTTGGCGGCATAACCATGCAGTGAAGGCCATTCGCCCGAAAGACGTACCGACTAATATAATAAGGTATCGGACTGCATCACGATAGACCACAGATTCGGTGTTCGCATATGGCAAAGTGTTTGCAGTCAACATCTCAGGGGTTCAAGACTAAATGACATTCTTGAAACTTCCAGTTTACACGCGCGGAACAATGACGACATATCACAGAGAGACAGATCGGATTGAACGTGTTACCGTTGAGCCGGAAGTGGGGCGCGGTGAAATCCAATCAGAAGACGCAAACGGAGATGTCTGGAAATATGGAGTTCGCTGACTCATTCGCCGGAAACTATCCAGAGGCAAAGCCGGTGGCTAGGTTTATCCGGCAGGGCAGTCCCCGCTCACGTGACAGATTCCTCTTGCCCACAATCATTTGGCGAAATCCCCCAAAAAATCTCACCGCGCCACTGCAGATTCAGCGTCCACACATCATCGCCAAATCAATCTATCACCATGGGTAAAGTTCACGGATCTCTTGCCCGTGCCGGTACGTCCAAGCCATCATCAAAAGTTTTGCTCCCATCGACGGGTTCACTGACTGTATCTCAACAGGCAAGGTCAAGTCTCAGACCCCCAAAGTACGCCGAACCGAAACGCTTTCCCCCTCCGCTGCCGAATCCAGAGTATTGACCGTTTTCAACTTCACAGGTCGAGCCCCAGGAGAAGCCCAAGACCCCCAAGGGCCGTGCTCTCAAGCGCCACAAGTACATCCGACGATTCGTCAACGTCACCCTGACCGGTGGCAAGCGGAAGGTGAGAATATCGGAGCAGGTTGCGCTGCGTGGGCTCTGGTTACTGACGACGGCGATAGATGAACCCCAACCCCGGCTCTTAAGCAATTACGATGACGGCTAGGGAGAGAAGGATGTGAAGGTTGACAACGGGGCCGTTCTCCGATGGTTGCTTAATTTCAGCAGAAGGGAAATGGAATGAGTCGGGTCGATCGGCAGGCTGAGCATCATCCACAATATGAGAGATGCGAAGAAGCGCGACGGCTCTTCTCGGCGTCTGGTGTCGTTTGTCAATATAACGAAGATTCGTCCGCGATTTCAAGTTCCGTTGATGGTGTCTGTGATATTTTTGATGGGATCACGGCACGACTGTCGAGACAAAGAAATTCAGCTTTGCATCTACTCTGGGTCTGTTTGTGGGCTGCCTGTCTGCTCCATGTCTCTTTGCAACGACGCTGTTCCTTTGCCTTGCCTCGTTCGACTATCCCTCACTTTTTATCCGGCTCAAAGCATGTATTCCGTTGCCCATACCAAGCACGTCGACATACGTAGAGCATATCCCGGAAAGCTAGTTGTACACAAAACGTAAGAAGTAGCAAAGAAGAAAGCGATACCAGCAGGTCAACGAAATGCACGAAATCCTGAAGGCCATGCGAGAGAAGCCTTTCGTGAAAATCACGGTCACGTGACGTGTATGGACAGCAGGCCAACTTGGAACTTTCTCGGCCCCGCGATATGGTGCAGTGCTGCAAAGCTTCAGCCTGAGCATCATCCCAGCAAATCTCACCACGCGATCGCCACGCCACGCATTGCCCAAGATGGCCGACGTAGATATGGAAGTCGACGACGTTGCGCCGTCCTCAACGCGAAACGAGGCCGAAATGCAAACACATACCAAGGCAACAGCCGTCCGGTCAATCGAGGGGTGGATCATCATCGTCACGAACGTCCACGAGGAGGCCGACGAGGAAGCCTTGCAGGACAAGTTCGGCGACTACGGAGAGATCAAGAACCTTCACCTGAACCTCGATAGGCGCAGTGGTTATGTCAAGGTATGACTCTCTGGCGGAGAGACGGAGCCTGCGAACAGAGCGCTTATTCTTTCTTTCCTAGGGATACGCTTTGATCGAGTACGCGACACTAGAAGAGGCGCGCGCCGCAATCGATGGAGCACACAACACAAAGCTGCTAGACCAGACGATTCAAGTTGACTTTGCCTTTGTCAGACCCCCACCGGGCAAGGGCAGGCAAGGAGGAGGCAGGCCTGGCGGCCGGAGAGGACGCAGCCGAAGCAGGAGTCCCGAGGCCAAGGCTGATGATGCGTGAAGAGTCTGAGCGGTAATGCAGTACAGCAAATGTGTGCGGCCGATGTGATGGCCCACGGCCATGGCACGTCGGCATTGTGGAATTTAAACCAGCGAGGTAGGCATTCTTAGAGGGCGACCATAACGCTCGGCTCGTGGCTGACTCGATTTCTTTAGGGTCCAGGAGTCAAGCCGGAACGGGTTTGGATCTCGCTGCCGTCATCAATAGAAAATGAGCCTTTCTCAGCATCTGCTGGACAAGGCCCTGAAGAGCTTCGCCAGGTTGTGACTTTGGCCTGTCAGGGAACAATGGGAACGCACAATGCTTTGGAGAGCGGTTAGCCTTCACGATTGGTGCTAAAATAACAGCCAGATGGTATGGGCCTTGAATAATCGACGTCAAGACCTCATTTTGCTGGTATCTGGATGTCTTTTCAAGTGGACAGAGTACTGCTACCACTATGCATTGGGGTTATTCGTTACCGATTCTGGAGGCTTTCAATCATGGCATCAACTGGCCATAACATTATATTCTTGTCTAGAGCTGCATACGACAGCAATGGACAACTCTGTAGCAGTTTGGCAATACTAGACTTCAAAGCCGCCAAGGGTGACCTGTTTCTTGTCTAATGCTGCCCGAGATGAGCTGCGAAATTGATGCTCTCCTGTGCTTCCAGTTCAAGTTGTGTTGCGCATTACTTGCAGTGAAAATCCCCCACTTCAATTGGAGTCTGAAGCTCAGTGCAGGTTTCCCCACTACATCGCTCGCCACGGAACATCAGGCTGCTGCAGAGGTACAGGTACCTTTGAGCAACACAACTTAAGCTGTAGCGTCGGGTTCTTTGGTGACTTCATGCTCATCTGCCGTCAGGCATGATTACCTCTAGCTTGAGCAATCCATGCTTCATCACTGAGCATTTCCACCCTGCGCGCCTCACCGCAACACGCAATTGAGCCCTAGAACAGCCTGACAGCCCACGCGATGCGCCATTGAGCGGAAGGGCATGTCACGCCAGGCGCACTTCGACTCGAGGATCATGCGCAAGCTTCTCGGCAAGGCTGCGCCAGATGCCAGCAGCGGCGACCTGGCCAGCAACCAAGGAACCATCCCGACCATCTTCCGGCCTTCCAAGTCGCAGAATGCCGTCTATCCTGTCGGCAGCCCGATTGCCTGCCTCGACGTGACGCCCGACCACCGAGCCGCGGTGCTGGGCGGCCCTCACATCCTCAAGACGGTCGTGTCGGACACAGCTGGCGACTCGAGCTTCAGCTTCAAGTTTACGGACGGCGTGGACGTCAGGGCGGCAATCACGGCGCAGAAGTCGTCCGGCGCGGGAGGGAGCCTTGTTGCGGACCAGCTCAACATTCGCGATGTCAAGTGGCAAGGCGCGTCAACCATCTTCACAGCTTGTGCGGCCGGGCGCATCTTCGCCTACGACGTTGCCAGGCTGGGGTCCGGCGGCGCATCGGAGCCCCTCGAGTACATACAGATGCAGGAGGACTCCCGGCAGGTGAATAGTCTGGACGTGAACCCTCACCTCAAGAGCTGGGTGCTGTCCGGCAGCCAGGATGGAGTTGTCCGGGTCTTTGACGTCTCTGCGCCCCTGCAGACCAGGGCAGGCTTCCTGACGTTCAGGCAGCGGTTCTCGCAGCTCAAGACCAACGACTCGGTCAGGCAGGTCAAGTGGTCGCCCAAGGTCGGACACGAGATGGCCTGCTGCACGGATTCGGGTGTGATTATGAAATGGGACGTCAGGCAGGCGTCGCGGCCCCTGCTACGGATCAATGCGCATGAAAAGTCGTGCTCTGCCATTGCCTGGCATGCAGACGGCGTCCACCTGATGAGCGCTGGCTGGGATGCCAAGCTGCACGTGTGGGACTTTGGGGCGACGGCAGACAAGCGGCAGAAGCCCAAATGGAGCATCACCACACCGGCTCCGGTGACCACCATTGCCTGGCGGCCGGGTTTGTGGTCCGCAACTGCCCAGACCCGTCGTCTCGCCCAGGTGGCAGTGACTTACGACGAGACGAGCAATCGAAGATACGGCAGCTCTGTCGTGCATATCTGGGATTTGGCTAGGCCGGCGATGCCTTATAAGGAGATTGAGCGCTTCGACAGCTCGCCGTCGGCACTCTACTGGCTGGACCAGGACATGCTCTGGACCGTGGGGCGGGACGGCATGTTCAACCAGTGCGACGTTGCCTATGCGCCCAAAGTCATTGACCGGATGTCAACCTCTGCCATGGCCTTTTCATCCCGGGGAGACGTGGTCATGTTCCTTGACGAGAGGCCGCAACCACCGCGGCCGCACGCGTCTGTCAGCCATGATGCCGAGGTGATTCCCCGAACACCATTCAGCACAAGCCCCAACACCCCGATGCTCAGCGTCAGCCGAAGCGACTCGGAAGAGGACGTTCTGGGCAGCTTCCTAGGACCGCGGAGGCGGACAGTCCGCAAACGACGCTTCAGCACCAGGTCCGGCTTGCCAATGAGCACCACTCCGCCGTCCTTGCCCAACCTGTCAGATGATGGGAAGCAGGTTCTCGGCCTGGAGCAGTCAATCAACGTCACTGGTATCTTCAAGACCCAGCAGGGCATGGCATCCGGACATGTTCCGTCCGCAAAGTCGGTGGGCGTGTACAAATATCTCTCAAGCATATATCTAGAAACCCTTCAACGAGACCTACCCAGTGATGGAGCCGACAAGAGGACGCTCATCCAGCGTGTGGCGGGTATCATGGAACAGTATGCCGTGGCAGCTGAGAATGTCCGATTGTTCCGACTGTCACAGACATGGCGCATCCTCGCTTATGCGATGTCACTGCTGCTGGAGAAGCGTGCCGAGTATCATCTACGGCTTCGAACAGCTCGGTTCCGCAAGAGGAGTCTCGACGAGGGTAAGGTGACCATCAAGAAGACGCCCAGTCATATCCATGTCAACCGTCTCGCCAATGGCGAAGACACACCACGCAGACCGTCCGGCCAAGCAGGCAGCGTCGATGGCCGCTTTTCAATGGCGAGGTCGCTGTTGTCCGAAGAGATCGAAAGCACTTCCAACGTGCCAACCCCGCTTGCGAGACCCGTGGGCGACGACGACACCGTAGAGTGGGATGAGCGGCACTATCTTCACGGGAAGAAATTAACACCCATTATCGAACCTGAAAGCCTCAACTTGGGACCGTCTGCTCATGGATCTTACCGTCTGAGCCCACGCCAGCGTCACGACTCCGCCCCGATCTCAGAGGTGAGCCAGGGCAGTGAAACGTCCAAGGTGTCCATCACAGAGGGATATGACTTCTACGACATGGAGGCTTTATCACGGGCTATTGATGTGCCGATGTCCAAGAAACCATTCAGTGATGCTCAGCCGCCTCATCGAGTAAAAGCCACAAGGCACGATTCGACCGACAGCTTTGCTCAAGTGTTCTCCTCCGATAGTGATATTACTTCACCTAGGAGGGACTCGTCCAATGCCCCGAGCTCTTTGAAGCCCGACTCACTGCGAATCTCGGCAATTGGCAATCAAATTGGTGCCGAGTTTGCCAGTCTGGCTCACGAGGATGGCGAGCCGCAGTCGCCGACACAAACTAAGAAGCCGTCGACTGGATCTGAGCCGCTTGCTCGGGTAGACTCTCCGGAAGAAGAAGTCTTCATGATCTCTCAAACGACTGCTGTCACGGACGAGACATACCCTTCCCAGGTGTCTTTTGCTTCGCAGACCGATTCCGATGTCCACCAGGGGTTTGCCGGCCACCACCCGACTCCTTCCAACGACATCCTGATGGCTCGACTGCCCAGCCCAGCCCCTGTGGCGACGGCTCCCGAGTACGACCCAAGCCCTCATATTGTCGTGACTGACTACTTTCCCTGGCCGGGTGACCCCCCTTACCCCTTCCCTACAGAGGCGTCGGAATTAAAAACCTTCAAGACCACCACTATACCTGCATGTCCGCTTAACCCTTACTCTCTTTTAACGCGGGCGCTGGAATTCGAGTCACGGACTTCGGCGCTCAATGCCTCGGCCATGGTGCTCCTGCTCAAGCCCCTGGTCCCCGAAACCGTCATTGACACCTTTCAAGCAACTGCTGTCCTGCGACAGCACCACTCCCGTCTCATGGGAATGAGCCTCTTCGTGGAGGCCGCGCTCCTGCGCAACTTGGCCATCAAAGGCTGGCCTGCTGGGCTGCCCAACTGGGGCGAGAATTACACCTCTCTGTTCACACCGGCCCAGCAAGGCGTCAAAGCAGGCTTCATGTGCTCCAACTGCCGCAAGCCTCGAGAAATCGACCGCAGCAGCGGTGACGCTGCCCTTTGGACGTGTGAAAGGTGCCGCCAGCCGGTGAGCCCTTGTGCAGTATGCGGACATCGAGATGCCGAGATCGCCAGCTCGCTGCCTACCGAAGTCGTTGACATCCCCAGCATAGAAACGTGGATGACGGAATGGTGGTACTGTCCCAGCTGCTGCCACGGCGGCCACGCCTCGTGCATGCAGACCTGGCACGCGGCTCTCGGACCCGCTGAGGTGTCCTCCTCATCGACCGTCTACAGCGACGGATGCTGTCCCGTCGACGGCTGCGGCCATGCCTGCCTCCCTGGGAAATACAGGGGCGAAACGGCGGCCGCCAGGGCGGAAGAGCTCGGTCGGGCCGCCGCCGTGGACAGCGGGCGGATGCGGGAGGAGTTCTCGCGGACGAGCACCAGCAGGAGGTCCAGTCCAGGGCGCACCGGGCCGAGCAGCATGAGCGTCGACCGCAGCATCAAGAGCGATGCGAACGAGGTGCCGCAGAGCAAAGCCGTCGGCATGGCGAGGGAGGCACTGAACAAGAGCGGCGGCGGAGGCATTCTCAGCTCGAGTCCGGGACGGGCGACCATGACGGGGGAGAGGGAACGGAGGAAGAGTGTCAAGTTTGCGAGAACGTAGGGGGACTGAGACTGGGGTCATGTATACGCACGGGTGCCTTTGTTTCTTTCTTTGTCTTTCCATTCAAGCATGGTGTTTCGGGGTGCCCTATCGGGAATGAAGATTGGGTTTTGCTCTTGTTGAAGCGGAAAGGGAAATATGCTTATTGTTGAGTGAGAATATCAGGGGCTGGCGGTCTATTTGCTTGAGGGTGTTTGCCGCAACCATGAGGACCTACTAACCATTTCATTAGATCAAAGTACAATATCTGAATGACAGCTCCATGGAAAAAGAGCCTAGTATGAAGCCGTTCAGCCAAAGCGTCAACATTGATATATACTACCAGCTGGACGAGCACATCTCCTATTTCCTCATTGCCACAGCCCAGTTCCTCCGATACCGATCTCTCTCCCTAGATCAAGCCCACCATTCCTCGTCAAACCTGGGACGGCTCCTCTACAATCCCTCCCTCCGCCCCCCTACCCCCACCCCCACCCGTCTTCTCTTCTCTCCTATTCAACCCTCACTGTTGTACTCGCTGCTCTACCCAGCACATGAAGCGATTGAGCTCCCCCTTCCTAGCACATACGACCATAGGTAGTGGAAAATTCAGGGTCCCGTCTGCTCCCCTAAAGACAAGCCACTAACCGGCAGATTAGTAGTCAGGTGGGTGACCACTGGCGAACACCGGCTGTTGTATGTTTTTTTCTTTTTGCTCTCCCTTAGATTATCAAATCATTGAACGATTCCTTCTGTCATCAGGTTGTGTATCGCCAAATCGCTTCGTCGCATTGTGAATAGATGTTGCTAAAATGATCGCTTGTCGTCAACCCCGCTGAGGATATCCCCAACTCCCCCCCCTACCCCCCCTTTTAAAACACCAGATCATGAAAGAGGAAACCAACACCATTTTCCGTCTTCACCCCGAAATGTTCTCTCTGAGGCCCTTCGTCCTCAACGTAAACTTCGCATCACCAAACGGCAGGGCCAAGTCTCCGTTCGGACTCCAAGCCCCATCAACCACGTCCCCCTCTGAGCCATGACTGGTATGATCCCCATTGCCGTTGCCGTTGCTGTTGAGGCTTCCATGTCCATTGGTACCCTTGGCAATGGCATGCCGCAGCACATCACCATGTTGGCCTGCCAGTTCACTATCCGTGCTCCCACGCCTGCTGCCCGCAGCACTGCTGCTCTCGCCATCCGCCAGCGACGGCACGCCCGAGATCCTTCCCTTGAGCCTGCTCGCCCACAGGCCCCGGACGCCGCCCCTTTTCCGCGCCGGAACCTCTTCCGTGCCAGCGCTGCAGACGTACAGGAGATACTTGAGGTTCGGGAGCGTATGTCGAATATCAACGACCTTGAGGCCCTGGGAGGTGCAGAGAGATTCAATGTCCTTGTTGAGGAGGAACCAGGCGTATTCGAAGCGCCACTGTAGAGCGGTTGATCCTCCCCTGGGCAGATAGAGCGGGAACTCTCGGCGTGAGCCACCCTTGTCCGAGAGGAGAGAGATTTCGTCTTTTGCATAGGAGCGAGAGCCAAAGTGATAGAGCGGATAAGGCAGCGCATGTGAGAGATATAGCTGTAAGTGGCGTGTAAGCAGCGTAACAAGTCCCAGCCCAGCTGATAGAACGTCTTCGTTGATAGCCCTGGCGGTGGCAGCGTCGTAGGTCGAATTCGGAAGCGGCACGTTGCAGATCTGGAAGGAAAGCGGCGGCGCGTTGGGTATTGGCGTAATGGGGAAAATGTCGGCCAGTTCGGAGCAGATGCGGCGGCGCTGACCGCGGATTTGCTGCTGCGTCTGCTCCAGCAGCTGCTTGGAGGCCTCGAGCGATTCACGGTTGTTCCTAATGTCTTCGTCCACCTTCTCCTGGAGCTCTCTGCCCCTGGCAATGGCAGCACTGCGCTCACGCAGCGACTCCCGCAGTTCGTCCCTCCTCGCCTGCGCAACTCGATTTCTATGCTGTTGCATGGCAACGTACTTCTGAGCCAAAGCAGCCTCCTGCTCGGCCAAGTCTGGTGCATCGGTCGTACAGCTGGCAAGGATGTTGTTGATTTGCTCTGTGATCCGGTGCTGCGTCTGAATGGCGTCTTCGATGGAGCTCTCGAGGTTGGCCAGCTTCATAAGCGCATTATAAGAGGACGTTGCAATGGGCGCAGCATTTCTCGGCTCGGACTCCCTCTTTGGAAAGTCGAAAGAGTATACGCCGTCCTCGAGGTGGAAAATGAGCGCATTCGGGGGATACCGGCGGTCCAGCAGCGTGCCGATGAACCTGAGTTCCCTGAGATCAACCAGCTCCTCTAACAGAAAGGTCCATGTGGTCTGCTTCAGCTGCCTGGCCCATACTCGGATGACGATGCGGCATGCTCGAGAGATATAGGACCCCCGCGCCGCGAGATCAAAGAATTGGAAGTTGAAGTTCTAGGGACACGTATAAGAAAAAGCAAGTCAGCGTCGGAGCCTTTGCGAAAGCTGTTTTTTTTTTTTTGGTCAAAGATGCGCAAGAAATCCGGTGGCTCATACCGCCGATCTCTCGCGCACTTCGCTGACGTAGACGGGCTCGTCGACGCCGGCGACGTGCAGCGAGAAGAAGACGTCTCCCAGGGTGTCGTCGAGAAGCTGCTTCAGGCGCCTCTGCCGCTGCGCCGGGCTCGTGCTGGCGGTGCTGAGGCTGGTCCTGCGCGGCGGCTGCGCTCTACTGGCCAGGTCGGCCGCCCGCGCGTCCTGGCGCAGGTTGTCGGAGGATCGCGAGCCGTGGAGGTGGCCCGACTGCATCAGCGCGCCCAGCGTGTTGGGGCGCTGGTTGAGGTGGAGGGCGGCATCGTCGGCCGTCCGCAGCTGCACGGGCGCAAACGAGAGATTCCGCAGCGAGAGGCCCTTGAGGTGACGGAGCTTGCGATTCTGCGGCAACAGACGCGGCCGCCGATGCTCGGAAAGCGTGGACATTTGGGTTCTGAGGGGCTGCGAGGCTGCGAAGCGTGGAGCATGTCGTCAAATGATGATTGAAAGAGCTGGAGGCGGCTCTCGCGAACCTGGAGGATCCGTGTGCTGTTGCGCACTCTCGACTACCACTGGCGCATGTCAGACTTGATTGCTGTTGAATGGAGCTTGGAGGTTCGTCATTGGGTTACGCTTATGAGGTCAGGTCAAGGCACGAAGCTGGTCGAAGCTCCGAGACTCGCCCATAAGCATAGGTAGGTGACGAGGTAGATGTACGGTTATTTGCATAACTGAGGATCGAGATCAACTTGATGAGCAAGTGTAGCGAGGCAAAGATTTAGATGAAGAAGAAGAAGAATCTTGAGAAAGTGAATCTTGGGTGCTCAAGCTCATTCGATGGACAATGAGCCTCGCCAGACAACAGCCCTGCATTGAACCCATGCGAGGGAGTGGCGTCGAATCGACGGCTTGCATGCTGATGCATAAGGGCATATAATATATTATATGATGATATATAGCCTCACTCGTTGTCAGCAGTCTCAGCTGTTTCGACCGGTAGCAACAATCCTTGAAAATTACGCAATGAGCACATACTATTGCAAAATTGATTACATGGATACATCGTAAAATTCATGTGCAGTCATTAACTATCTATCTCGTACCGTATTATCCAGCCGGCTTGAAGAAGCCTTTCCTCTCCACCGTACGAAATCCCGCCTACCCTACCCTAGAAAACCATTTGAGAATTTTGCGAGCTTGAGATGGCGATGATTTACGCTTCAAGCTCAGACACCTGGGGCGCATCAGGGAAATACAACCACCTGAAATGGACCTATACGTTCACAAGGAAGGGTATCGTTAATATCAATGCCGTCGAAATCGCGATATACAGTTGGGGATGAAGGAGGAGATATGGAAATCGAGGAATACATACTTCTCCCTTCCTCGGAAGCAGGTCGTGGATGTTGCGCGTCTGCTTGATCAGGTTTTCTATAGGCAGGAACAGTCTCTCGGGCGAGGCACCCGACGTCCCTGCGTCGTAAATCTTCACCACGTCCTCCCATGACTTCCAGAACCATCCCTCACACTTGTGTGGCTCCATGAGCTGTAAGAAGAAAAGGGGGTGTTAGTCAACATCGTTTCCCAGATAACCATCCCCATCCAACTGATAGCGGGGGGAAAGAAGAGAAAAAGGGGCCAGATTCAGCGTCCTTTCACCCTGATCCAGGAGAGGCTTACCACTGGCACAGCGTTGGTATCCTTCAGGGCGCACAGGGAGAAGAGCGTGATGTAGTGCTTGTTCTCCTTGACAAAGACATCATTCGTTACGGCGAATATGCCCTTGAACTCGGCGTCGAGGTCCGTCTCCTCCTTCATCTCTCGCACGGCACAAGTTTCTATGGCCTCGCCATGGTCGATGTGGCCTCCAGGGAACTGCCAAGTGTCTGTAAAACAAAGCCCCCCCCCCTTTTTGTTAGCCCTCAATCCATCAACAGCTTGTCAGGCCATATCCATATGCGTCCGTTCCAAACGCAAAAACCTGAGTCACTCTGCTGAATTCCACCCAGATGATCACGCCAAGGGTAAAGAGGAAATCATAGAAGGAGACTCACTCGCGCCATGGCTGCCAATACGCTTGCCCATGAGGAATTCCCCCTTGTCATTCATGAGGACGGTGGAGACGCCGACCCTTACAGCGGGCTTTTCCTCCTCCTTTTTTCCTGCGAGTTCGACACACATTGTTGTTGAGAAATTGATGAGACGGCTTTGAAATTATGAAAATTCTTTCACTCGAAAGATCTCGATACGGCAACCTATGATCTTGTGTGAAAATTGACCTGCAGATGATGGGCTTTTATAAAGTTTGAGTGAATCTCATCTATAAGCTTATGTAATGCAAGGCAGCCCGCCCGGCTCACTTTTACCTTGAAGGCAACAGCAATCATCATCCTCTGTCCGACATACAGACAAGACAGAGCTGCTGTCCAACACCACCAGCACTTCACGGGCTATGCTAAGATAAAACCACAAGAAAGAACGGGCAAACAAAGGGGGAAGCAAAACGACAAAGGAGGAGAAAGGGCAAGATGCCCATTAAATTCCAAGCAAACACTGCCTGCCTAAACAAGGTAACTGCCGTAGCGCCCTGGATCCTTATTAGGCACGGGAGCGCAACGCGAAAAGAGAAGAAACTCTCCGCGAAATCGATCACCCAGCCTCCCAACCATTCCAAATCGGAGGGAAGAAAGGGGAGGCTGTGCTTTGTTCGTGCCACCATGTGATTTGCCTTCCTTTCACTTTTCCATATATTATTTTCCCCATTGATTGCACAGCCCGGATTGGGAGCAATCAGTTCCTGTTGTTCCCCTTTGAGCGTGGCGTATTTCTGCGGCGACTTCCTATTGCTGTAAGAGGATTGTCTCTCCCGAACTCCAGGTTCACGAAATCATAATGGAATAAAGTAAAGCAAATAGGAGGCCTGCTGGTGCTATCAACACCCATTCTAACATGATCACCTGACAAACTCTGTGAAGAACGAAAACATCATTGCAAACACACGAAACTCGCAACCTCCTCCACTGCAACCAGCATCCTCCCCAAACAAGGGCACGCAGAAGGGCTTCGATACTAGCAAACAGGCATTTCCAGCCCTCCCTTCCCTTCATAACCATCAAACCAATACGCGTCGACGAGGAGTGACATGTCAGTAGCAGTAGCAGTAGTAGTAGTAGGTAGACTTTTTGTCTCGGCCAATAGCATGTGAGACAACCAAAACGGTGGCCCTGCCAAAGGATGGAATTCGCGCTGTCTCAGAACAATCCTCGACGAAAGAAGCCGAGGGGCTTTCCACCCCTCTCATCCTCTCCCCTTCTTGAACTGGCATTCTCGTCCCTATCTGACCGCTCTTCTAGGTAATGCTGCCGTTTCGCATGTGTTTATCGACATGAGTGTAGGTAGCCAAGATCTTGCAGAGAGCAGCTCTTCGCGGAAGCACACCGTCTGGACGTGAACCTCAACAAATGGCTTCAGCTCACTTCACGAAAGCCATCCGCACCACTTGTTGCGCTATATTACTACAGTATCAGTAAACCTGCGATACGTGAGGAGGCGTAGTATCACACTATCTGACTTCATAAATCGAACAGCGCATACAAGCCCAAGGATCTACTGCCGCTATCCTCAACCTCAGCTGACCCTCAGTATAGGGTATACTTTACCAAAACGATATGGATTCATACGCAAGCAGATTATGATCGCCTATTCTGATTCACGCCCGCGAGCGTACATTACCTTTTCCTCACCAAACGCCAACCCCGCGTTCCTTTGGAGGACGACAGGCGAACCATTTACCCCGTGAAACAAAGCCCGCGAATGCTGTCGAGGCAGAATGAGACAAACAGCCCTGATTAGGAAATGGCGCTCAAATCGATACAAGAACCGTTGATGGAGAAGGAATCGACGTCCTTGGTACCTTAGACATCGCCCGTTTTTGACCATTGCTGGCCATACCTCCTAGTACCAGTAGTATATGAGAGGGCACCGAGAGCCCGAGACATCCAGGGGAATGCAGCCAGAGGAGTGCTCCTGCATCCGCCGACAGGAAGAAAAGGTATCGAGTGGATGCCCTACGGCTGTCGATCAATGTCAAAGAGCGGAACGAAGCCTTCATCAACTGTCAGTACGCGGACAACTTATAGAGTCAGACTCGCGTCTGGATGCGGATATCCAGGCTGCGGTCTTGAACGACCCCGAATAGAGACACGCCGCTCAAGTATTCCTACAAAGCACAAGGGAAAAGTATGGAAATGAGTCTGTGGAACTTGCGGCGCAAGTCATGCCATGTCGTGGGCCTGATATTCATGGCTACCTACCAAAGGCCAGGGCAAAGGGGTATGTGTACAAGGGAGGGAGAAGCAACAGAGGGAACTGGAAGATGGATAAGGTAGTACTAGCTGGCAACGAACAGAGTGCTAAAAGGGCTTTCCTGGAGGTCTGAAGCAGTATACTAGTACAAGTATTATTGGAAAATGCTTACAATCCATCTCACCCGCACATATGCGGAGCCTTCCCAGGGCAGAGGTTCAACACGCACCAATGAAAGGGGGGAGTCTCAAATTCCGAGCCTACTTTCGTGAGTGTCTCAACGTCCATCGAATATGACAGCCCTGAAGCGGAAGAAGCGACAGAAATGCTTCATTTAAAGCTGGAATGCATCGCCACTCGTGTTGATGTTTGCAGCTCGAATCCAGATCATCATTGGCTCAACGCTTCAATCTCTCAGCAATCACGGAGGCTTCTGCATGTGCTTAAATACGCGGGCATTTCTCCAGCTCTCGGCTCGTCGGTCAGATCGTGTTCTTACCTCACAACACTCATTCATATCCTTTCGTTTCACCTTTGTTGCTTTTTCTTTCATTCGTTCGTTCACACCAACATGTCGCGGTCTCTTCGCCGCGGCCTCCTAACGGCGGCAGCTGTTTGGGCGGTATCTGCGGCGGCCGGCAGCGAGTGGGATCGTAAACACGACGATGACCACAAGTGGCTGGCCTCGACCGTTGTCGTCACGAGCACTGTCTTGGTCGACCTCAAGGACGTCGACTTGAAGTGTCAGCGGGGTGAAATCGTCTGCGGTCCCACCCCTCCGCCATTCCCCGACCCAAAGCCGCCCTGCCACCAGTGTGAGGAGAAGTGGCACACGGAGGTGGGAAACAAGGAGGGGTGGAACCAGGAGGGGTGGAACAAGGACGACCCCAGCAAGGAAGCCTGGAACAAGGGCGAGGAGAACAAGGACGACCCCAGCAAAGAAGCCTGGAACAAGGGCGAGGAGAACAAGGACAATGGCAACAAGGAAGGATGGAACAAGAATGAGGGCAACAAGGACGAGTGGCACAAGGAGGAGGGCAACAAGGACAATGGCAACAACGGAGCCTGGAACAAGGGCGAGGAGAACAAGGACGATGGCAGCAAGGAGGGATGGAACAAGGACGAGGGCAACAAGGACGAGTGGAACAAGGATCCCGAGGATTCTTACCACGGCCAATGGGAGGGTTGCTCCCACGACAATCACTGCCCGGAAAATTGCAACTGCAGCCCCCAGGCCATCTGCGAAAACACGGCTGAGGGACCCCAGTGCAAGAGCAGCACTGACTGCGAGTCCGGTTACATGTGCAACTCCTACGGTTACTGTCAGCCCATTCCCGGCCCCCGCTGTCATGAGAAGGCTTGTGAGATCGAGGAGGGATCCAACTGCAACGACAACAAGGACTGCTCCCATGGTGAGGTTTGCAACCACCACGGCTTCTGCCAGAAGGTTGTTTTCCCCGACTGCGAGAACAACTGGGACTGCAAGCACGGCCAGGTATGCACACACAGAGGCATTTGCAAGACCATCGACGAGGACCAATGCTCGTGCGATACCGACTGCGGCGACGGACAGATCTGCAACTCACAGAGAGTCTGCGAGGACGTCGTCTGCCCCAAGTGCCAGTGGGAGAACGAGTGTGAGCACGAAGAACTCTGCCACGAGGGATACTGCAAGCCTAAAGAGAAGAAATGCGAGGACAAGCACGACTGCGAGCACGGCGAGACCTGTGACTGGGAGGGCAAGTGTCGCCGAGGCGATCACTCCAAATGCGAAGTCGACTCGGAGTGCAAGCACGGTCAGATCTGTGATATCCACGGCAGATGCCAGCACCGCCCCAAAGGAGATGGCTGCGGATCTGATGCGGACTGCGAATCCGAAGAATTCTGCAATGCCTATGGATACTGCGAGAAGGACCGCGAGGATCCCGAGGAGCGGTGCAGGAGGGATGAGCAGTGCCTCCCTGGCGAGATCTGCTCTCACCACCGTTGTGTTCCTAGGCTTGGTTGCCAGAGGGACAGGGATTGTAACGACGGCGAAGTCTGTGAGAACAACCTTTGTGTCAACAGGAGGTTTTGCCTAGTCAACGCGGATTGCGAGGATGACGAGGAATGCAGAGACGGCGAGTGCCGCAGGAATTCCGAGTGTCACTTCGACTTCGAGTGCCCCGCAGAAGAGCGCTGCTCAGCCGAAGGCAGATGCGAGCCCAGAGAGAGGACCTGCAGCTTCGACTTCCAATGTGCAACAGACGAGGTTTGCAGGAACAACATATGCGAGCCAAGAGAGAGGTTTTGCCTGTTCGACTTCCAATGTGGAACAGGCCAGATCTGCAACAACGGCCTGTGCGTGGACAGGAGGCTCTGCTTGCTCACCTCCGAGTGCCTGGCCAATGAGCTTTGCGTTGGCGGTGAATGCTTGACTGTCTGCGACGACCAGACAGACTGCCTGGCCAATGAGATTTGCGACGGCGGCGTCTGCCTCAGGAGGAGATTTTGCACAGGCACGGCTCAGTGCCAAACCGGAGAAATCTGCCAAAACAACTTTTGCGTCCCGAACGGGGGGCCCCTGACCTGCACGTTTGATATCGAATGTGGCACCGGCGAGATCTGCAACAACGGCCTGTGCGTGCTTCAGAGGACTTGCTTGCTCAACACCGACTGCCTGGCCAATGAGCTTTGCAGCGGCGGCGTATGCTTGACCCAGTGCGATGACCAGACAGACTGCCAGGGCAATGAGATTTGCGACGGCAGCGTCTGCCTCAGGAGGAGATATTGCACGGGCGCAGGCCAATGTCGGATCGGAGAAATATGCTCGGACAACTTCTGCGAGCCGCTCTGTGGCATTGAGGTTTGCGACCCTGCTCTTGAGATCTGCGTGCTCGACAGGTGCGAGGAGAGATGCGGCCTCACAGTCTGCCAGGCCGGCGAGGTTTGCACCAACGGCCAGTGTCTGGCGCAGTGCGGAGCTGTTGTCTGCCTCCCCACTGAGAGCTGCTTGAACGGCGTGTGCACACCGAACGCCTTGTGCGGAACCACCACCTGCCTGAACACCGAGACCTGTGTCAATGGCCAATGTCTGGCGAACTGTGGCCTCGCCCCCTGTGCAGCCGGCGAGACCTGTATCAACGGCATATGTCTAGAGGATTGTGGCCTCGGGACTTGTGCAGTCACGGAGACCTGTGTCAATGGCCAGTGTTTGGAGACCTGCGGCCTCATCACCTGTATAGTCACTGAGACCTGTGTTAACGGCGCGTGTCTGGAGAGGTGTGGCCTTGGGACATGTGCCGCCACGGAGACCTGTGTCAATGGCGAGTGTCTGACCACGTGTGGCGAGAACGTCTGTACAGCCACTGAGACTTGTGTCGATGGCGAATGTCTGGCGGATTGTGGCCTCGCCCCCTGTGCCGCTGGCGAGACCTGTGTCGATGGCGAATGTCTGACGGATTGTGGCCTCGCCCCCTGTGCAGTCACCGAGACCTGTGTCAACGGCGCGTGTGTGGAGAATTGTGGCCTCGCCCCCTGTGACGTCGACGAGACCTGTGTCAATGGCCAATGTCTGGCGAACTGTGGCCTCGCTCCCTGTGCAGCCGGCGAGACTTGTGTCAACGGCGCGTGTGTAACGGCTTGCGTTGAAACGGCGGACTGCAATGGTGGCCTTGTTTGTTTGAACAACGTGTGCGCCGCTTGCACGGACAACGCCCAGTGCTTAGGCGCCGACTTGTGCGTTGCCGGCATCTGTCAACTCGGAGCTGACTGCGTCAACGGCTTCACGTGGGGGCACTACAAGCTTGCTCGATCACCCGACGACACTACCACAGACCCGGGTACGATCCCCATCCATCCCGCCGACGCTTTGGGTATAGAAGCCTGGCCCGTCCTGACGTTCAGGCCGGAGATTGCCCTCCAGGGCGAGACTCCCGATGTCACCGGCCAGACGACGACTTTGGGTATCGCGAATCAATGTCCCCCTGATTTGGGCAACATTTACGGCACCGAAACTGCCGCCGTTGATTACACCATCGTCCAGCACATTGGGTACTTTGTTCCCGCCACCGCTGGTAGTTACACCCTCAACGCCCCAGCCGCGACCCTTGACCAGTCTGTCTACGTCTGGTTCGGTACCGCTGCTCAGACGGGCTTTACTAGCGGCAACGCAGAACTCATCGCCGACGGCGACTGGCTCACAGGATCCAACCTCGCGATATACGTCGTCAATGCGGAAGATGTTGGCACGTATATCCCGATGCGAGTCCTGTGGGTCAACGCTCAGGACTGTGGAGAGTTCGATCTCCAAATCACGGATCCTAACGGTAATGTCCTCGTCTCGCGGGGCACTGCGACGGCCGATGGGGAGTTTGTTTCCGACTGTGCCGTTAACGCCGCCCTCCCGCCCATTGCCTTTTAAGACGACCGGCCTCGGTTTCGACGTTGGCAGGTATCGGTACCGATGCTGGCCCAGAACTCGACTGTATCACCCTGGACAGCGGGGTGAACACTTGCGTCGTGCTCGAAAAAAAAGCTCGGAGGCATTAGCTCTTTGTATGATTAGTTTAGGATAGGACCTTGATACTTTTCTCTTTTTCAATTGATTGTGCTGATAATTCATCCGCGACTGTTCGTGAATATTCAACTCGTGCCATAAGGGTGAGCCTGGAATCAACCAGTCGTCTCCCCAGCATGCCTTGCCGATTAGGGGGGCTCGCCGTCCTTGTTGACGTCCAGGACATACCATTGATGGATGTGGAGAGCAATGAGGGGAAGGCCAATCTTTCGCTTCCAGCCAAGTGGGCATCTTGTGCTTTGGGCGGCTGTTCAGGTCGCTCATGTAGTTCCGGTGAGGTTGCTGAAGATGAGCTGAGCAGGCGCGCGTGAAACGCGGCAAGCGACACCCCCTTGCAGCTCTTATCTACCACGGATAGCTGCATAGCTTCAATTGCGTTTGTGCATATGACGTCAGAAGCCCATGACCACATTTCCGCGTCTCGGCATACCTAACCTTGCCTTACCTCGGGGATCATCATCTCTGGGCATGTACAGTACTAGGTACTATCTCTTCGTAGACTTTCCCTTTTCTCGTCTTCCTTGTGCTTCATACATCACTCAGGCATAACGTACGAGCACGTCACCCCGGCATCGACTGTGATGGTCGCCCCCGTGATCCATCTCGCCTCATCGCTCGCCAGAAACCTGACTGCTGCCGCGCAGTCCCACGCATTGCCCTCTGAATTCAGGAGGCCTTGCCCGCGGCGCAGATTACGCACTTCCTCCGACATTCCGCTGCCGGCAACCATGGGCGTGTAGAGGAAGCCTGCAAGAAACTGGTTATCTCTGGAAGAGGGGGGCAAGAGACGAAGATGGAAGCGGTTCAAATACCTGGACACACACAGTTGACTCGGATGCCGTCGCGGCCGTGATTGTACGCCATCGCACGCGACATGTTGATGACGGCGCCCTTGCTCGTCGGATAGAGAAGATGCGGCGTGCCCCCCTGCAAGCCCGCTATCGACCCTATGTTGACAATGTTGCCCCTGATGCCGCCATCGCCAGGCTGATTCCTGAGCATGAGCGGGATCGCATACTTGGCCATGAGCACCATCGCCGTCACATTGATGCCCAAGGCCTGGGCCCATTCCTCAGCGCTCGCGTCCACCGCCGTCCCCTTGGCGCCCATGATGCCCACGTTATTGACCAGCATGTCCAGTCTCCCAAACATGTCTTCCGCCGCCCGCACCAGCTTCTCGCAGTCTGCCTCTGAGCTTACGTCGGCATACAGCGAGGCCGCCTTGCCGCCTTCTTGGACAATCATCTCCACCGTGCGCTCTGCCGAAGCCAAGTTCCGGTCCGCGCAGAGGACCGTGGCGCCGTCGCTGGCGAGGAGGAGGGATATGGCACGGCCATTGCCGAGGCCGTCGCCAAGACTGCCCGCGCCGGTGACGATGGCAACTCTTTCGTCGAGACGCCGGGATGGTCGTGGCGGGAGCGCGGTAGGGTGACTCATGTCGAAGGAACAGAGACTCTGTGAATGTCCCGCGGACTGGCAAAATAGTCGACACTTGGTATTGGAGGGTAAGGTGAGACTGTAGACTTTTCTATGATGCTCATATCAGTTGCAGATACTACATCATAAGGCATGACCCCTCACAAAGACGCAGTCAACTACGTGTACCAGTAAAACCTAAGAGCCAAGGTACACCTTGCAGCCGCAGCGTCACATTTTGCATCCATTCGGTTCAATGATTCCAGTCAAAGATCTTCTTTAAAGTTACAGCAATAAACACGAGGACGAATGAAGTTGTGCATTGATTCGTATGGTTCAATTCTGGCTGCGCCTTCGGCAAGAAGGATCATCCGTGTAAGTGGCTGCCAAACATGAAGCCACTGGATGCAGTCTCTCATCCAAGGCCATTTCAATCACATAGTTCCAAATGCAATAACATCTTCCGTCAAAATAATTCCTAGCCATGTATCAATCAATTGATTCCCATCTTCTTATACTATGGCATCCCTTAACAAATCAAGGCAAATCCGGGGAAGGTGCATTGGGAAGGTGCGACACAGCGTGCACGCGCACCTTCCCCACCAATTTGCTGTTCTGCATCAACCCACCTACGCCCATCTTCAGCATCGTCAGCCTCGCTGTCAGCCTCATATCCCCAGATAGAACATCACCGTTCAACAACAACAAGAAAAAAAGGCACTTTGGCCGAGTGGTCTAAGGCGCCGTGTTCAGGAATAGCTCACACTGTGAGCGCATCCCTCTTCGCGGTCTAGAAATAGGCGAGGGTTCGAATCCCTCAGGTGTCATCTTTTGCTATTCCGACGCAGGAAGGCCATCCTTTTTTTGCACGTCCTCTCCAAGAGTTTCTCCACGTAATCGCGATATACTTCTTGAGAAGAATTGTATTGCTCATCACCAAAGTCTGTGCTATACAATATCAAGGACAGTCTTGTCAGAGCAAAGGCGAATACTCAAACTCGCTCATCATGTTATGAACCATGCATCCTCCACACAAAAAGGGGTCAAGGAAGAAAAGTAAAAAAAGAAATCAACAATGTATCCTCTCCAAACGCCGGAAAAAGAATTTGCCAATCGAATATCGTATATACAGCATGTACAAGGAATGTAATCGTTGCCGCAACGGCTCACAACTCGTCTCTATTCAAGTTGGGCAGCCTGAACGCATACCGTCTGGGTCGCGTAGGCAGACCGACCCAGAAACGATACAATCTCGACGTCTCTTCTGAGATAATTCGCCAGCTAATGTTTTGTTAGCTTTAATTCGAGATGCGCTTTGATATTTCCACCCTGACGCTTCGTGATGGTATGCAGAAAAGGACAAACTTACATCATCTCGGGTGTTCGAAGCCAGCTCTTGAGCACAATCTTGACAGCCATCATGACGCGGGCGAATTCGTTTCCGACCTGCTCGCCCAGGGTATCGCCGTGGGTCCCACGATTCTGCATCCTGATAAACTCGTCCATATCCTCGTCAGCCTCGTCGATGAGCGTGTAGAGATCCTCGGGCTTAAAGTCCGGCTTGGACGCCATCTTGTCGCGGATTTCAATCATGGCCCGGAATCGTTGCACGGCGGCCACCGACGAGCTGAGCCTGGCATACGTGTTGAAGAGGGCCACCAGCTCGGTCCTCTTGAGGGGCGGCGGCTTCTGGCCCTCGTTGAACTCGAACAGGATCTTCAGCGCCGTGCCGTAGCCGCTGGTCTGGATCTTGCCCCAGAGACGGCACTTGTCGCAGCCGACGCAGTCCATGACCCGGCTGATGTTGCGGAAGCGGTTGCGGAAGTCTTCCTTGAGAGAAGGGCCTTCGCCGTTAGCGAACATGACACTTTCGTCAAAGATTTGCGGAACACTAGTCGCGTGCTTCGTGACGGCAGCGATCTTGTCTCGGGTCTCCTGATCCTGCCACGGGTCCCCTGTACAAAATGTGTACTGCGGCGAAAGGACGTAAGGGCCTAGCTTCGCAATGGCGCGAGTCACGAGTGCGTAGTTGAAGTAGAGGTTGCTGATGCGGTCTGGGAACTTGTGCAAGCGGCTCTCGTAGCACTCCAGGTTCGGCTGCCATTCTCCCGTGCTCTGGTTCAAGAAATCCCAGCACAGATGTACGCTGATACTGGCGTGCATTCCCGACACCACCCGGTAGAAGACTCGCTTTTCCAGACACTCGTCGTCCACCTCGTAGCCAGTGTTGGCAACAAAGGGGATGTTGGGGTTGCTCTGCCGTTGGTGCTCCAGTTGAGCCTGGCGGCCGGCGGTATCCATGACCTGCTTGAAGTCCAGAGCAGCAGCCTCGGTTGGGCGGTGCGAGACGCCCAGATCGGCCGACTTGGGAAACGAGCTCTTCTTAAAGCAATTCTCCAAGTAGATGGCATCCCAGACCTGCTTCGCGCTTTGCCCTCCATATCCAGTGAAGCGCTCGGGGTTGCGCAGCAAGCTGATATAGTCTCCCTTGGACGCTGCGCCTTCGTCGTCCCAGACGCAATAATCTCTGTCGTCGCACTCGTCATCGTATTCAACCACACAGCTTTCCCCGACATTCTCTCCCAGCTCTCCCTGCAGCGGCCGATCGGGATATCGCTTCTGCTCTTGCTTGCCGGGATGCTTCGCTCGAGGGCCCTCCAGCTTGCTAAGCTCGTGGGCCCTCCAGATTTCGGGAATGTCTTCTTCGTTGTCCAGTGTCTCGACGGCGCATGCAATGTTGCCGCACATGCCATCCTCGTCGTTCCAGAAGGGGCATTTTTTGTGGAAGAGGTTCATGCGGTAGTGCGAAAAGAAGTCGGTCGTCTGAACGAGGTTGTCTATGGCAGGCTTCACCTTGACGTTGAGTCTATCGAGCGTGGCATACGAAACGCATCCATCGTCAATGATGGCGTTTGGCGAAAACTGGACCAACACAGAGCTGTCAGCATAAAGCGTTCCTGTCAAGGGAGACGAGGCCAAGGGGGGGTTTGGCGTACGGTGCAGGTACTTGACGAGCTAGAGCATGCGCCCGGCGTCGCCCAGAGAGCAAACACGGAGAGGAAGAACAACTTGCTTGCGGATTTCATCTTGTGTGTTCAGCGGACGAGATCCGTAGCGATATAGGCTGTTGCTTGGTTAAGACTGGGCCAGAAAGGTCGTCATCGCTTGGTGGAGCGACGATCCGAGACGGCAGGATGCGAGTTGCGCTCTTCCGAATTGAAGAGTATCCGTAACGGCTGATGCGATGCAAATTGATGCAGAGGCTCCCAAGAGAAGCGGCTTTAAGCAAGGGGAGGTGTATAGTGGAGAGCAAGAGAAAGAGAGGCAAAGATTGAAGAAAGCGCCGGTGCTGCTTGTCAGGCCGATAGCGAAGGTGACAAGAGGCCTATCGACAAGCCACGGCAAGTGAAGGCAGATGCAAGTCGGAGCCACAACTGCCGGGATACAGAACGTTCTCGCGGCAGTGGGGATAACCAAAAAATCTTGTATAATAAAACTCCGATGCAATGAAAAGGGGAAATAGAAAGGAATTCTTGCAGCTAATAAGAACAAAAGCCAGGAGAGAAGGAGGCTGCAACGGACGACTTTGCTGAACCAATTCAAGTTCCTGTTGCTGACATATCATGAGATGCTCCTCAATGCGGAAAGATGCCACGCTGGCGATCCGGAACAGCTGCTTATGTACGGAACTTCAAACAGGCGACCTGTCTTGTAGTCTGTTTTACGCTGCACGGATCAACGCCGTACCAGGTACCGACGCCAACGGAAGTCTTTTTTTAGCGGGTGGCGGTGGGGGAGAATAAAGTGGAAGAATTGAGAGAACATTGAAGGACCGCGTTTTAGAGGCGTTTCGGTCACTGTGAATACTAGACAGAACGTAGCAGCCAATAATGGGGCTCAGTTGTGAGGCAAGTTTTGGTGGTGGTTCGACGCCACCAACGCGAGACGGGCAGCTTCAGGGCCAGCTGAAATGTGCCCACAACTGCAACAATAAAAAGTCAGAGCATTTTCATACGAGAACGCTGATGTTTGTGTCGTACATGAACTATAAATAAGTGAAAATGAGCATTGCTGGCCTTCTGAACAGCGAAGAGACATTCTGGTGAGGCCATGCATCATCACAGTATCAGCCCACTCGAGCAGCTCGGAATGCGCATCCAGACGGCCTTCCGCTTGGAGAAACCTCACCTACCTTGCTGGTAATAATGAGAAGCGGGCTGCGGCCTGCCACGTTGCCTGAAATCTGGTGTAACCGGACTGACAAGTACTCAGTACAAGGACAGCCAAGATTAATCTGATGTTTACTAAACAGGGAGAACCTATTTGATGTTTACTGAACAGGGAGAACCTATTTGATGTTTACTCAACAGGGAGAACCTAATATGAAGTAAGAATCATCTCTCCGTGACTCAAGACGGGATATACACGTGATTCATAGTGTGACAATAATGAAGGTACGCGGCTGTGTTTGATATCCGAGCTTAAGGTGACCGCCGAACCTTTTGCCCACCTGTTCAGTGCACCACCAACGTAGCGCGGATGGCATATTCACGGATTGTATATCCATTGATGTGACAAGATAGGTATATAATGTATGGTAGGCGGCATTCGGCATCTGTCCAGACCAGCCATCATTGGCAATAATATTTCCTTGTATATAAGTCCCTAGACCATGCTTCGATTCTCCCTCAGCTACCTCTACACAAGGCTAACCAATCGCCTACCTAACACGTCCTTCTTGTAGCGCCCAGTCATCCACCCTCTCAAGTGTCAACTCTGGAAATCACAGAGACGCGCGCCAACCCATGGGCTAGCTGCTTGCACTTTTGACAGATGCACCCACATGTTGTCCGCCCCTTGTCGGAAACAAACCCTACCGTATCTCATATACGCGACTCCAGATCGCCATAGACAAGCCATTAGCCATTCAAGGCCGAACGGCGCATGTGGCAGGGTCGTGAGGCAGCGTCCGGTCGTCTCGCAGACGTATTAACCCAACATTCTTCTAGTATGCTGACCGTAAAATTCGTAATGTGACGCTAAACAAACAAACTCTTTTATGCGGCGTGAGTCGGCGCGGGAAGAAGCCGGTCGCGCCATCGTACACAACTGAGCGCAGGAGCTCGAGGATCGGGGCGCTCACTGAGGCGGCTGGTAGTTGAGAGGTCGCCTATTTTGACTGTTAGACAATGCCTGTGCCTTGATCAGATGATATGGCAGAACTCACTTGAAAAGGAGGATATGCGGCTCCGGCTCATGGACCTCGTAGTGCTCCCAGCCAAGACTCTGAACGAAAATCTGGTGTCAGCGATGTCGCACGTCTTTTTCTCCCTCGCCCTTTGGACTGCGGGGGATCTGCGATGGAAGGGAAACAAAGGGACTGCTCCTCACCTGTGTCATTCCCATGGCCCTCCACTCGTCCTCCCACAGGAGCTTCAGCGTGCCCTTGGCTGAATCGTGGTATTCTTTCGGAATCGCTTTGAGCATCATCTTAGGTAACTGGACATGGCGGTACTCGAATTCGTCGTCGCTGTATCTGTTGGCCCTTTAGCGATCCAGCTCCCAGTAACATCCTCTCCTAATGCGCCTGTGGACGGCTATCCATCCCTTTCTCCTTGCAACAGCAGCTCGATGACCTCTTCCACCAGCTCAAGAAGAGAGATTCCAGGACTAACCTCTCTGAGTATCGGATGGCGTCCACAAATTCTTCGAGTCGGGCTCGTTCGGCTTCGGTCAGGGGACGCGGAGTCTTGTTCCGCCGGCTCATGTCGATATCCATTGTGATGGCTGAGTATCTAGAATCTTTCGGGCTTGTCTAGCACAACTCGAGTCGTCCACCGCGTAGCGCGATCGTGGTTGTAATAACTGTGTGGGATTCTTTTGCAAGGAAAGGCCGCTCAGGACTTGTCCAATGGCTCTCGATTCGATTCCAAGCTGCTGAGATGTTTCGGCTCCAAGATCGGCTTGGGATAGTATGATGAAACAAGAACAGTTCGGCGGTGGAAGTCGACGGAGGGGGCGGCAAAACGGGGGTACAGCGAGGTTCGATCAAAGCACGCGAGAAGCTTCTGGCGGATCGAAACGAACGGCGGAATCGCGTGGTGCGTGAGTCACGAGCAACGAGAGCGACGGAAGGTGCGATAATCGAGAAGGCGCAAGACTGATTCACAGCCGAAGCAGACAGACTGACAATACACTCAATGGGCACGAGACCTTTTTGGCTGGCGGGTTTGCAGGAGCGAGAACGGGGTTGCGGTGGGATAATAAATACTAGAGGTAAACAACCGTCGTCGAATCAAGCCCCGAAGATCCACCCCCTGGTCGGGGCCACTAAAGGTCCCAGCCAGCTCCGTTGGCGGTAGTACTCCGTACAGGGGCATCCCGTTGACAGGACAGGACATCTGATATCTGACCGCCGCTTCACGTCTAGTCTTCAACGATTTCCATGCTCTTCTACAACAAGGGCATTTTTTATTGATGCTTATTTTACCCTTTGACAGCTTTAGAAGGATTCAGGGTTGTGTCCTCCTGCAATCAGTAGCCCGGTAAAGCAAGTACCTTGAAGTACCTCCCCTTAGCGCACAGGTGCTGAGATACCTACTATAGAGAACGTAAAACGTCCCGATCAACTGTGCACAATCCGTTTGTTCAAGGTTGTCAAATGCAAATTACTGTGAAGTCGATAATGAGAGAGAATTTCGTCTATTCGTAATACCTATCCAGCAATTCCCCATTGCAAGTTTCCAGAGAGACGCACGAGTTCACTGGGGTCGTCGATTTGCTGCCTGTTCCAGCGGGAGCTTAAACAACCCCTGTCTTGAACCCTTAATGCAGGTGTCTGTCTACGTGCGCCGATTCAATGTCATCATTTGGCAGACTTGGGTGTTCTCTGAATAAGTCCGGTAGTATCACTTTAGAGGTGATACCAAGGTGCCAGGTCGGTGCAACAAAACACGCAGTTACAATCCAAAGAGTGATCTGGATTGGGGTCTCGAAGCAATCGGAGCTGCTCCCGAGAGCGGCACGTGGCTTACGACGTTGCCTATCTTTACCTTGACGCCGGGCACTGAAATCTTCCACGCCTTGACGGACTGAAACTCTTCATCTTCAAAAGCTTCCAGAGCCTCGTTGGCTTCTTCATCCACGGGAAGGTCAAGCGCCCATCCAATAGAGATGTGGAACGCTTCATCGGCCGCGTCCTTGTCGCCTCTCTTGTTCTGATACAAAATGGGCTGGTCAAACCTCTGAGCCAAGTCATTGCACGCGCTCAACAGTCGCATGAGCTCCGGATTGGACAGCGTCCCAGCGCTCTTCGAGGTCGACGAGCTCGCCACCTGGAGGATGAGAAAGGTGCGATTCGAGTCAGGGGAGTTATACCACAGCAATCTCCCGGGGCTGACGGAGAACTGGGACACGCCGCTGGATTGTAGCGCAGACGATATCTGGTCGAGAAACCGATCCTTGTTAGAGGTGCTCAGCGAAAGGGGCCTTGACAGGCTAATGTGAAGAGGCAGCGGCGCCCCCAAGTCACTCGTCAGGAAGCTGTGCAGCTTGACCTGGCTGCCAATGGCGTCGTTGACCTTGCATACCAGTTGAACCAGCTTGTCGTGCTGGCCAGCCAGCGGATGCCCTAGAGCCCGAGTTAGCCTTGCGTCATCCGGGCGGCTCAAGCAAAGCTCATCCAACTCACACTCGATGTAGACATGGCTGGGCCAGTTGCCCACAACATGAGGAGTCAGTCTCTTGCGCCCATGGTGCAGCGCGGGATCGTCTACGACGCTCTGGCGGACAGTGGACGCGTAGAGGTCGTGGAATGCTGAGGGAAGAGGTGGCAGGTCGGACTCGAGGCCTGACGGAGGGCTCGGGGCCTTTGGCCGAGTTCCGGAGCCGTGCGGCGAGGCTTTGCGCCGTTTGGCCGGCGGCGCTGATGGCGCGCTGTCGCCCTCACTGTCGGAATGCGATGATGCTGATGAGGAGGAAGAGTAGTCGACAAGAGCCATTGAACTGAGGAGGCGTTTTCGAAACAGGGTATCTAAATGCTCACTGATTGCGAGGAAAATGAAATTGAACAAGACATAATAAATGAAAGAAATAGCAAAGGAATTGAATAAAGAACTTTGCAATCACGCTTTTGCTCTTTTTCATCTTGTATTATTCACATACCTAACGCAACCAAAGGCTCAGATCGAATTGATGTCTTGGCGATGTCCCGAGCAGATTGCCGCCTTACATAAGCAGCGTATCGCCCGCTATTTTTGTCCTCTCTTCCAACACATGGCGACCAGTTCAAACCCTTGATTGAGGGTCTCTTTGTTTGATCTTTGAGCCGCACTGATGTGAGAATGATTCACTGACGTAGTTCAGACGCATCGCATCCTTGTTCTCCTCTTGGTAGGCATATCCTGTCAATTGGTACGCCGTAAATCTCGCTCGACTTTGACAGGTGGGCGCCGTGGCACCGCAATAGTGCATGCCTCACCTTACCTACAGTATCTCCGGTGGCTTGAACGGTTACCTACCTTATCTACCTTTAAATAGCCCGGCCAAAGGTCTAAGCCAAATGAAGCTTCTGCGAATGGAGGCGTCTGTTGCGGCTGGGTTAAGTTACCCAGTCAAGCCATCAAGCCAATTACACCATCATGACTGATGCATACATGTCCCGTGTCATGACTATCAATTATCTCATGACGAGTTGAGACCAAAGCAGTCCTATAGTCAAAGAACGAAAGAAATAAAAGAAAGAACAGAAAGAAAGGGAAACGCAGATGGAGGAAAGCAAGGTAATAAGGACTGGCTGGACGACTGCGTCAGCTCAACAGCAAAGTACAGCCGACTCTTCATCGAACTTGAGGAGGGCTTGCATAAAGCTTACATAGGTGGGATTGAGAATTCGGCGACAGATTAGATTCGACGTGGCTTCTCTGCGAGGAAGTAGGCACGAGAACGCTCATGAGCTGGGTTGGCCGCTCAACGCTTTGCTTGTGCTTGTAGCTTATCGTGTCGACCCAACAGAATATGATCTGAGGCACACTTAATCTTCTTCGCATACTGAGCTACCACTCAGTAACAAAGCCTCGTCGCTTTGCCAAAACTAAGCCCCCTTGAGCTGATAGTACGACCCTGCATCTTCTTCTCTGGAAAAAAACGTACTACAAGCCTGCGGTCTAAGGTTGTGAAGATGGGGGGCGTTTTGAAGCCTCACAGCCACATACTCCCCACTTCCACTCCTCGCCCTGAACCTTCGAGGTCAAAGTTTCTCTCTTTCACACGGTACCCTTACACCAAAGACACCCGTAAAGCCATATAGAACATACAGTGCCGGATGGACAACCATCTCTCTTGTCCACGGTCCGTCGGGGCTGAAGAAGGATTCTTATCAACCTTCAACTGCCCCTTTTGTTCAATTTCACTTTCACTTTCATCTTCACCTCCTCCAGCGAAGTCCCACATAGAGTTAGGCATGCTTACAACGGAGACGTCTCATCATTTAAAGTCTGGTGCTTCAACGCCATAGCCGACAAGCAATTCAGTAGTTAAACCTTACAAACGAAGCCTCAGTCTAATCCTTCTCAACCGGAGGCTCTGGCTCTGAAATTTACCCATAAAGAGACGAGGTTCCCCCCTGGGATCTGATCCCTGGTCTTGCTTCTCTCCAATTCACACATAAAAAGAAGTACTCTCGTCGCAGTCCAGCTCTCTCAGTCCAAGCAAAACAACCACCCATTTGCACGGACTTGCCAACTGCTCTACCCCCCCTCGCCACGACAACCATCACGAGAGCGAGAGAAGACGGTGACAAGTGGTAAGTAGTGTGTGTTCTTCTATTACCCAATTGCGTGTTCTTAAAGCATGTCCCCTTCGCCCTGGTACAATTTTCTCCGTATCACTCGCGACTGCTTCAGCTACACGCCTTGTCCTTTCCAGCTTTCAGCCGAAACCTAGATATATGTATCTTGTCTTATATCTTCCACCTGCTATCACTACCGCCGCTGTTCATCATCTTCCCAATGTTATGTTTGCTTTTCCATGTTCATCATCATCATAACTGTCTTGCATTGTTTTGCTCATCAGCTACTGGTTTTCCACTGACATTGGGCTTATCAGAAACGTCATCGGCCTTCCTCCCCCATTGTCGTCGGGCATACGGCATATTATCCCCTTGCACACCAATCCAAAAGGTCGTCCACCAGGCCCTTGGCCATAAGAAAACCCTCCGCGTCTACCTGTGCTTCCGTCGGAGACAATGTCGCACCAGCCGGTCATGATGGCTTATGATGCCGCATCCTTCGCCCCTGATGGGCGCCGCCTCTGGTACTCGAGCGACTTCGATACCATCGACCGCCTCGACACAAGCGGTCCCAACGGAATGCCCATGTTCCACCACGGCGGGCCATACGACGCCGTCCTCCCCAGCCGCAACTGGGACCCGAAAACCTCGCCAATGGCGGCGCTCTCCGGCTCGCTCGCCGAGGCCCTGCGAGCCACTCCCCAGGAGTACATCGCGGACTGCCTCCAGCAGGGCGTCCCCCTCCAGGGCACCGCCACGATCCCATCCGGCCAGCTGGACTATGAGGGCAACCGGATGGACTACGAGGAGGGCTCCAACCTCGTGCGAGACTCGGACTCCATCGCCGTCTCGTACCAGCAGTACAGGCAGTGGGACTGCGGCTCCGTCGTAATAACCCGCCCCTACACGCCGCTGTGTGTACGGATTAAGAATCGCTTACGCCGGTACAGAAACAACGTCGGCGCGATGTTCAAGGCAAAGAGCCGGTCCACCACTACCCTGCCGAGCGTGAGCGTGATGTGAAGGGCAAGGGGCGGGCGCAGGAGGGCTTTGAGGAGATTGAGATGCAGTCGATGCTGCCGGGTCGCAGAGGCGCTCAGAAGCCGCTCAGAGCTCATCGCAACGCCCGCGATTCGCGACAGACGAGCTCCTCTTCTGGCGGCGGCCGCGCCTACATGTATGACGACGGCCCTTGGAATTCTCAGCGCCGAAAGGCGAATTCGCGGCGAGCTGAATGAGAGCTTCGAGAGATGATGCTGGGGGGCCTTGGCGGCACAAGATGGACGCTGCTTGTATTAGTTTTTTTTGTTTTGTTTATGGAGTAGCAAGTATCGACGGGCGCACGGTTAGAATGGAATGGATTAATGGGAGATACCACGGGTGGGATTGACCGGAGTCATGGATGGAGTGCTTGATATTTGATTCTGATAGTCGGTTATGCTTCATTACGATTCCTGCAGAACAGAAAATCGTTGCAAATAATTTGCTTCTCAGACGCTGCCTGTGAGAAACTGCGGATCATACGTATATTCATCATGCCAAAGACGACTTTATTTGCCCGACAATAGTATCATACCTATGTAAATATGCAACTAGATTCTCCTGCCTCATAGGGGTTGTTCATCCTAGAAGTACGAAAGCCCGCCCCATCCCAGCACCGCGTCCAAATCCTCTCTCATGTCCGTCACGCCATCATACCCACCTCTCGTGGCCACCTCTGCCCTCTTGGCGGCGCCAAGCTCGTTCCACCGCGCCAGAACGGTCCCGTCGACGATGGCCCTCCCCGAGGCGGCGGTCTCGACGCCCACGGTGCGGGACATGCCGCCTCCGCCCTCTGGCGTGCGGTGCGCCCTCGCGTGGAGGCCGCCGTGGGGGACGAGGGCCGGGAGGAGCTGGTTCGTGACGGAGAGGAGGCGGCGGTAGGCGGATTCGGGGAGGGGCGTGAGGGCGGCGATGGAGCCTGAGGGGGAGGCGAGGAGGAGGATGTGCGGCTGCGCTGAGGAGGAGGTGGAGGACTCTGCGGGTGATTGGGACGCGGGGAGGGTGCGGGGGAGGAGGAGGGTTGAGGTTGGGGGGTTGGGGGTTACGCTGAAGGTTGTCCGGTGGAGGAGGAGGTGGCCTTGGAGAGATTTGGGGTCTGAGAAGAGTTTGAGTCAGTATCTTTGGATGCAGTGAAGTCGCTGGAGAGATGGCGAATGATTAGGGGGGAGAGAGAGAACTTACGCTCGGGATTGAACTCGAGGACATGCATATCACCGTCCGCGTCCACGGCAACCATTGACAAGTCTTCGCCGTCTGGCAAAAAGTCGGCGACCAGCAGCGGCAGCGATCCGCTGCTCTTTCCGAGCACCTTGAACGTGTACGGCTCCTCCGTGTACCCGGCAAACCACAAGCCCTTGAAGGCGTCCGCAATCAGACACAGGCCCGTGCCTGGCAGTTCCCGCACCGACGAGACGTGGCAGCTCATGTCGAGGAAGGCCACGGGCAGCAGCGAGCCGTCCTCCTTCAGGCCTCGCACCATGCACTTCTGGCCTTGCGCCACCAGCATCAGCCCCTGCGTGCCAATCTCGGACAGGGCCGTCACGCCGCCGCGGGGGATGTCCTCCTTGGCTAGCAGCTTGAGCCTCTTGTTCGTCTCCGGCTTGCCCGGCTCGGGGATGACGGTCACGATGTCGAATACTTGCACGCGGCCGCGCGTGGGGAGGTCTTCGCCCTTGGATAGGGCGGTGCCCACTGCCAGGAGCATCCTGCGCTCCTTTGTCTCCTCTGATACCTCGAGATGCAGCGTTTTCATGCATTCAATGGACTCACCGGCTTCCATGTCGATTGAGTGGATCACCGTCCATGTGATGGGGTTGATTAGCTTCAGAGCACCCCTGATTGTTGTAGGCGGGAGAGGAACGTTCTCGCGGGCCCATTCTTTGTGGTAGTCGTCATCCTTTGGCAGCTCAAAGTTTTCAGGAACTGCACAGCCCGCAATATACGTCTCGGTGGGGTGATGGTACGCAACATGGCGGACGTCGAAGCCCAGCGGAACCTTCTTGACCGAAATACCCAGCTCCGTGAAGTTCGTCTTGCTCGGCAACTGAGTGACTCTGGCGACGCCTTCAGAGTCCGCGTAGATGAACCCCCTGTCGCACCCTTCAGTGTGGAACGTGCTCATGCCCCGAACGCCATGGCCTTGCAGGCCGACCACCCTCGGGACGCTTTTGGCGCTCTTGATGACGAAAGCTGGTGAGGGACCAGGAAGGAATACGGTGCTATAGCCACCCACATTCCCGCAGATTCTCAAGGGGACGTAACGCTCCGGTTGCGCGGTGTCGTCCGACGGATCCTCCACAGCCCTCTTCGCCAGCACGGCATTGGGCGACTTCTTAAAGAAGAGTGTGTCAGACAACGTGTGAGCAGTTGCATCGCCAGGTAGGCGGATGGGCTCATATATGGTGAGATCATCGGTGGAATGTCGTAGCTTGAAAAGATTCGCTGTTAGCCGGCAATCGATAATCAGCTGGAGTTTGGAGACTTCTTACAATCAGGTATGGCGAGGCGTGGACGGCATCTCCAAGGTCTGCCACGACAATCTCGGTCAGCGTTTCGCGGGTGGCACCTCTTCTGGCCGCATAGCCAGCTGAGAGATGGGGAGGAATTGATGACAGCCCCTCGGCGACGTAGACAGGCTTTGAGAGATCCGGAAGTGCGAATATCTATTATAGTTAGCCTCCTATATGTGATCCACAGCTTTTAGCAGTTCAGTAGACGATGCCGCTTACATGCAAAGCTCCTGTTGAGTTGAGCAAGAACATCATGACTTCTTCGCTTGTCTGTTTCGTTGAGTCGCCATAGCTTGACTGGAAGATGCCCTTGGTGTCTTTATACAGACATCCAGCCACCCACTTGGTGGACGTGAGACTGCTGTCCGTCTTTTCCATCTCTTCAATCTCATTATTGCCGTCTATTTGAGCGAGGAAAACGCTACCGTCGTCGCGGATGATGAGTAGGTACGGGTCAACGATGCTTGCACTCACGGCCCGGGGCTCAGCCCCCGTCTCTTCATCCAGCATGGGTAGGATCTGAATCAGGTTGAGATCTGGAAATCACTCAGCGTCTGCTCCTCTTCCACACACAAGGTCATGGGCAAACTTACCTCCGTTGTAACACCGCACTTCCGACTTGAGCACTTGGATGACCACCATTTGCTTTCCCATTGTGCCAGCCTCCACGGTAAAACCAGCGGCCGGCTCAAACTCTGTCTCCTTCAAAGTCTCAAAACCTGCCGCTGTGAGGGCGTAGACGTCAGAAGTTTCGTAGCCATCCAAATCGACCTTGGCAACAATCATGAATTTGTCGTGCTGAATCGGTGTATCGTAGTCGCCGGCCACCCCGGCATTCGCGCCCAGCGACTTGGGAACGGGCTTCTTGACACACATGGTCCAAAACCCTCTGGCCTCTGGGAACTCAAACCGGCCGATGACTTTGGGCTGAATCTCCCGGTTGATGATTGCGAGAGCGCCTGCCTCTCCACGTCCAACTGCACAGGCAAGCTGCAGATCAGCCGAGACGCCTCTGTTCAGCGTAGCCTCCTCGCTGTCAGGCAAAAACGCGGCTTGTCCGCATGTAATGTCTTGTATCGGCGCAATGCTGAGCAGCACGTCGTGTATCCGGAAAGACAAGTCTCCAGACTTGGCCGGACCTCCATTGGCCATCTGCTGTGGCTTGGTTGCGGCAGAGTCATCTCCGTAGAGGTCGTCATCTTCTTCATCATCCTCAAGATCGAGCTCATCCACCTCCAAAGCCAGATCCGGATCGATGAGTCGGGATTTCTTACGCTTCTCTTGAGTCTGCCTTCTCGACCATCCTAACACGACGGAATCGCTGGTTTCGCTCCCGACGAAAACGGTGTTCTTCCCTAGCCTGGAAAGACAGGTAACTCTGCTCTTGATCACATTGCCACCGCAGTCTGCGCCCACTAACCTGACGCTGAGGCCCGATACCGTTCGTCCATCAATCTTGAAAGATATGATGCCCAGCCTGCCATCATCTAATATCAATAGCAGCTCGCCATTCTCGATGGCAAGTATCTCAATTGCACAGTTCTCAAGGCGCAGTTTCAGGTCGGATTGGTCCGTCAGGCTAAAGGATGTTGCCAGCTTGGCCATAGGGTTGACGGCCACGCCATTCGCCTTTCCAGATTGGTCAACATGGATCAACTCATTCTGCCCGACTAACAGGGCGCCGCCGACAGGAGCGGGCAGGGCGATGACCTTGTAAAGGTCATGTGGCAGGCCAGTCACCGACAGGATGGTCGTCGACGCCCTCTGCTGTAGGTCTAGAGTAAAGACCTTGTACGATAGATGATCCCTGGCGCCTAGAGAGGCAGCGGGTGCCTGGCTGGATGACAAGACACCAAAGGTGGGCTCGCGATACTCATGCAGAAAGGTGAGATGCACGGGGTGAAGCAGGCTCGGGTCTAGGAGGGGCAGACGCAAGACAAATGACGGTGTATATGCTGCTTCTACATTGTCGCTATCTCCGTTGACCGCTGCCGCCTGCTCCTTGACCGGCCGAGGCCCGTCCAGATCCTCATCCCAGTCCTCCATCTCCAGGTCTTCTTCGGAGCGCCTGAAGGGCAGGATGGCGAGGTTCCGGGTGCCGAACTTCAAGGCGGCGCATCTACTGCCGGGATCGGCCTCGAGGTGGTTCACATACTCCCCAAACACCTCCTCCCACGGCGCTCCCTGGAGCTCTTCTTTTTCGTAGTAGTGGATGGAGATGGTCTCGAGCTCGTTCTTCCTCGAGTCCCACTCGGCCATACACAGCTTGGCTGCCTTGTATGCAATCAGCAGGACCTCGCCTCCCGACGCAGTCCTGCTGGTCCTCAGCCTTGCCAGCCCGATTACCGTTCCCGCGAGCGGGACCTCCGTGATGAGCACGAGCTTGGTGTTGTTGGTCCGCTCGGTTCGCATAAACACGCTCTCGCCGCCGAGGAAGGAGGACTCGAGGCCATCGTCGTCGTTTACCTGACGGTCGAACCGCGTGTCCGACTCGGCCGGCTGACTGGATTGGAATTCAGGATCGAGATCGGCAGACACGGTCTTGACGGTGAAGATCTGGAGCAGCGAGCCCTTTGCGACAACGACGTTGTTGGCGGTTGCAGACGTCAGCGGCAGGCTCAGGCATTGGGTGACGGCTGTGGGAGCCGCGAGCTCGGTGTAGACCTGCATAGCTGCAGGGGCATCTCCTCCGCCGTCTCGCGAGCGCAATTGGGCTGTTGCGGCTGTTGATGGAGAGGTTCGAGGGTTGAGGCGTTGCGAAACAATTTCGTCTGGGTGGGTTGAATCAAATGTTTTGGCCCGAGAAGCTGCACAAGAGGCCGACAGTGGGTTTAGCGGCCTCAGTAGCGGATCAACGCGCTGCCGTGCCGGCTGGGCTCCCTAGCACGGGCAGTTTTGGTAGCAGGTACTGCTGCACCTCGTAGCAGTGAAGCCTCCATCAAGACGGGATTGCATCTTGTTGCTGGTCTCGAGTACCTGTGTCAAAGGCATAGCACCGAGGGCTGCCCGCGTCTTCTCTACCCAAGCTTTCTTAGACCGCCGTCTGCAGTGGCTTACGTGGGGAGCAAGGGAGGTTCTCCCCAGCCCCAAATTCAGGCACCGATTCAATGCAAGTTCGGTTGTACTCGTACCTAAAGCTCCAGCGCCAGGGAATGTGGTACCTTGACAGCTGAGTGAGACAGCTGGTGATGCCGCCATTGCGTCACAATCCAGACAGAGAACAACAATCGCCACGCGTTTCACACGAAGCAAAGCTGGCTTGGACTCCTCACAGACAGCCAAGCAGCTTCAGAAGGAACGGCAATCGCGTACCCAATTCATCCTTGTCTATATAGCACAAACATACGACATCAACACCACCAACGCACGATGATGGCCTCGGGCTATGTCCAAGCCGGCCTCATCTGGCTGGCTTACGCAGTCGCCGTCCTGCTCTGTCTCGGCGCTGCAATTGTCACCACGTTCACATGGCAGACGCCCATCGACCGCTCGGCCATGGTGAGCATCGTCGCCATCGTCAGCTTAACATCTCTGCTCGCGACCGTCTTGCTTCTTCCGGTCGACATCGCTCTCATCTCGACCACTGCGTCCTCGACTCTAGGCGCCAAAAAGGACTGGGCCACGCCAAAGCGAGTCGCCGATATTCTCTTCACGCTCAAGGTTGTCTACTACTCGCTCTACAGCTGGGATGCCCTGCTTTGCCTCATTGTCATTCCCTTTGCGTACTTTTGGTATGAGGAATATGACGAGGTCGCCTTTCAGGAGGAGGGTCGCACGTGGAAGAGCCGCTTCTGGGCCGCCGCCAAGTACACGCTCTTCTTCGTTGCTTTCACCGTCGTGCTCTTCCTCTTGGGGTTCTTCGTTCCTGCAGCCGGCGGCAGCAAGGGCCACTGGGATCTGGACTACTATAAATCGCTATTGTCTCAAAACCACGGCGAGAAAGCTCTGACTTTCGCCGTGGGTCTCTTGATGACCATCGGAACCTTTCTCTATGTCATTTATACCAGTGCCGGACTTGCTCTCATGCCCGTCTCTTTAATTAAATCGGCTCCCCCTATCTCGGCTCCTCAGCTCTCGGCAACGACAGCTTCCCAACTCGAACAAAACCGGGAGCGTCAACGTCAGCTTGAGCTTCGCAATGCCGGCCGTGAAGAGGGCATGTCGCGGAAGGACAGGAGGGAGCTGGATGCTCTCATTAGAGAGGAGCAAACATTGGTTCGGCGCGAGCGCCTTGCTGCCGAGGCGCAGGGCGAAGGCAGGAGCCGAGTATATCAAATCTGGCTCAAGATGTGCGCACTCTTCAGGCCAGTCAAGATGCTCGGTGGAATTCTGCTGGTGCTCTACGCCATTGTCATTTGGGTGTCCATGTTCATCACCGGCATCGACAAGGCCAAGCACTCGGTCTGCAAGCAGCGTTGCGGATACATTCTGGGCCAGGTTCGCGTGTTCCAGCCGATGAACTGGATCTTTCTGAAGGCTGCCAAGGCCTTCCCCGTCGACTACATCCTGATGGCTTTTCTGGTCCTTGTTCTGTTCAGCAGCTCCATCTCCGGTATTGCCGCAGTTGGCATCCGCTTCCTCTGGATCCGAATCTTCCAGATCCGCAGAGGCAGGACAGCTCCGCAGGCCCTCCTCATCGCGACGGTCATGCTGTTGCTCATCACGCTGGCCATCAACTATGCAGTCGCCATGTTCGTGGCTCCGCAGTACTCGTTCTACGGAACCCAGACGTTCTGCACGAATGAGCCTGCGTATCCTGGAGCCCAGCCGGACTGCAGACACCACCCCGAGCTGATCCGCCCTTGCTCAGACGCTCTCAAATACAAAAACGCCAAAGACGTCTGTACGCCGTCTATGATGTCCACTCTGCTCAACCGTATTACCATTACGTGGCCGCTGTTTGGCGCGATTGATTTCTGGGCGCAGTACGTGTTCCTGGGTATCTTCCTTATCGTCTTTGTTACCGCGCTGGTGCGCACCCCCAAGGTCGACCTCGCCGAGATGGATGAGTTCGCCGAGGCGGATGAGGAAGAAAGCCTTTTGGCCTCGACCAGTCGTCGGTTCGACGCCACTTGGCAAGACGTGAGGGGACAGCCTGGCAGGGACTCGAGAAACGGGCCCCAGCTGATTCGAGGCTCACGACCGCAAGGTAACTAGCTGCCTCCTACCGCATAGGAACTTTCTTGATCGCTCCTCTTGATGGAGGGAAGGGGCTGGTAATTGGGCCCGGTAATTCAGATTGTTGTTTGTAAGGAAGGAAAGGATTCGGGCTACGGGTTATAACATGGCATGGCATGGCATGGATTGGGAGTTTGGAGTCGTTATTGGAGCGCACTTGATATGATTGCCAGGTGATGTAATGCGAGCGGCCTGCACAAAGCGCTGGAATTAAGGGGTACAATGGAAATTGATGGGAGTACGCATTTCAGGTAGTTTGTTCTCTTTTCCTCATGTTTTTAGTCTTTTATTTCTGTCTTTGTCTTTCGTTAGGGTATATCAAGCACCTAGCGCAACCCTCTGTTGTTTGTCCTTCTTCCTCGCCCTCGTGAACTGCACAGCCTTGTGACTCCTATCATCAAACGCAGCCGCCGGGCCAACATGCATCTCCCTCCAGCACCTCGTACAATAGGGATCGTCATCGCAACCCAGACACTGTAGCGTAGCATCGTCAAGACAGACGGTGCACCAGCCGTCAATGTCGTCATCCGTGTAATCCGTCTTGCTGGTGAGTCTCCTGACAGGCTTATCCCCCGCAGAGGGCCTTGTGCTCGGAACCGAAGGGAGCGAGAAAGAAGCGTCCTCTTCTTCTTCGGCGGCAGGGGCGCGGAGAGCGGCCAAGCGGGCGGTGATGTCGTCTAAGTCGTCTGCTTTGGTGGTGCTTGGGCGGCCGGGAGAAAAGGAGGAGAGGTCATCGAGATTGGGAGGCAGCGAAGGGAGGGCGAGATCTGCGTCTCCGTCTTCTTGTGTGTCTTCTTCATCTCGGTCTCGATCCTGTTTCTGGTCCTCCTGCGCAGAAGAAGCAGTTTCGTCGTCGTCATTTCCACGGTTTCGCAGGGCTGCTTCAAGGGCTGCTTCATCTTGGAACTGCGCGATGACGTCGCCTACTTTGGACTGCATCTGCTCACCATCTGAATCATCCGAATCCCCCCCAGCCCTATCATCCTCGTTGTCCTCGGCGGCAGCAGCAGCAGCAGCAGTAGCAGCATCATCCTTTGGTACGGCTCGCGAGAGCTCTTCCAGGAGCGCCCTGACCTGCTCGTCGCTTGGCTCCTGCGCAGCGGCGGCGGCGGCCGTTTCATCATCAACGGTGCTGTCAACATCGCCCAGGAGCTCCTCCAGCGTCTGGTCATCTGTCGAGAACATTCGCTCGACGTCGTCTTCGTCGTTTTCCAGTTTTTCTGACTTCTCTTCATGAGCGACAAGGCCTTTCGCTTCAGCTGTGTTCGAGTGTGATGACGATGATGATGCCTTCTCCCTCTTTGGTGACACTGCGCTTCCGCCATCGTCTGCAGCCCGCAGCGACTTTAGCCGCGCCGCCAGGGCATCTTCTCTGGTTGCTGGGTTCGTCCTCTCAATCACATCTACACTGAATCTGCAAATAGTCCTACTGTTTAGCCATGAGCTTCATCAGACATCTCCTCCTGAAAGACCCAGGGGAGAGCTTGTGCTCAGTCATCACGTACTTTATCGGAGCTACTCGACCCGGCGATGCGCCTGAGCTCGAGCCACGCAAGGCCTGCAGTCGTTCCAGCAGCGAGCTGTCTATATCTCCGGGCATTTTCTTTCGCGAATGGATTCCAGTTATCAAGTAGTAGTCAAAAGTATCTTATGCTGTATGTCCCTCGAAAAGGGAATCTCCGAGTTTCGCCTCACGAAACTTCAAAAGCCGGTTATTTTCTGCGAGCGTGTTCGTGCGAGATTGATACGGCGGGAAAAAGCACGTTTCTGAAGCCGCATGGCGCGCAAAGTCACGCGCCCAAAACTGCACACGGCTTTATTTACTTAAGCAGCAACGCCTTTCAGTATCCTCGTTTTCATCTCCCAGCAACATGGACTTGGCTTTGGCATTTGCATCACCATCGTCTACCTTATTTTCTCTCTTTCTTCTTCACCATTAGATCCATTTTGATCAATCTGAATAGTAGTAAGAATCTCGAGTCATATTAGGAGAAATCAAATCTCGCTTGATACGCACCAAAAAGCGTATTGGAGCGGAAAAGGCCCAATTAGGCGCGTGTTGGTCAGAGAGCTGAGAAAGCCTCTCAAAACGCCTGGCACCAGCACGATGCTTTGGACGGCACACCAAAAAGCGTCACGGGCGCATAATCGATCCTACAGCAGGATCACTAATGAAATGCGATTAAGGCGTAAAGCAACATCCCGAATCGTCGCCAGCTTTAAGCTTAGTATTGGCACAAATCCGGGTGAAGGTGGTCGCCATCGCTCCAAATCCCATGACATCAGGCTCGCCACCTTCTGTATCCGTGCCCAAGACTGCATCACCACACTTCTAGAACGCCTTCTCCGGTGCATAGCCTCCTCTAGCCGCAGGGATACTTTTGTTCATCGTCTTGCAGAAACTGTACACACCGATGGCAAGCAAGGAGCACTGCCACTCCTCAATGCATTCATATTACAATTAGCTATCCGCACGAGCCGCCGTAAATGCCCCCGAGGTCATGTACTTATTCCGCGTGATTCAAAGCCAGCCCTGTAAGCAGCCTTAGAGACATGGCCCAGATCCAATAATCACTACCCAACCGACCAGAAATTCAACTAATGCCTCTCGATTGAGGCCCGTGTATCGTTTGCCTTGACAAAAGAAAGAAAAGGAAAAAAGCGCCAAGCCCATATCGTCCGCCCCTTTTTGCAGCGTCAAAACAGTATGGTATCGATCGTTAAAAGAACAAAAGCATAAAACCATACACACGTAGACATGAATGGTAAAAGGAAAAATGAAAAGCGCCTGGCCCCCACCAGAGCAAAATAGCGATGGAAAGGAGCAGTCGTGAAAAGCAAGGTCCCAGCACTCTTATGCTAGGAAGACGGCGACGAGCACGGCAGTGGCGGCAGGCCAGAAACCCACCAGCTCAGCAATGTTCCTCAGGCTAGCAGCGCTCGAATCTTGCGAAGAATCTGGCCCGTCGGCTGTCGTGCCGTTAGGAAGGCTACCATTGATGAGAATGGTCCTGGTCCCGTTGACTTCGGCAACGTTAACAATGCTCTTGTTGAGCGCGTCGTAGCTGCCGTTTCCAATGAGGCTGTTATAGTACGCAGTGTTGTTGTTATCGTCGCAACCGCAAACATCATACGTGCCGCATCCGCAGAGAACGTCTCGCGTCTCGTTGCGACGGCTGGACTCGTTGAAGTAGTGGTATGGATTGTGATAGGGGTACATGTACGCGCCGTACAGCCAGACGCCGGGCCAGAACGCGAGGGCGGCACCTCCAAGGATGGCAAATGGCAGAATGCCCGAGGGGCTCCGTCCGCCGGCGCGGTAGGGTGTCGCTGCACCACCAGCATAATATCGGCCACCGCCGAACGATGGCTTCGGGCCGCTGCCTCCAGCTGATGTGCCACCGACGTTGGAACTGGGGGCTCGGTTGCCACTGTAGACACGATTAGACCTATGGCGCAAATGCCATGATGGGATACACATACGAGCTTCCACCGCTGCCGCTGCTGCCACCTCTGCTGCCTCCAGAGCTGCCTCCAGAACTGCCGCCGCCAGAGCTGCTGCCGCCTCCTCTGCTGCCACCGCCTCCGCCGCCACCTCTTCCTCCTCCACCTCCACCGCCCTTGCGCTTGAACAGATCGTGCTCCTCGGACTGCGCGACGCCGTCAACTCTCACCACATGTCGAGGGCCATCGATGACGCTGGCGGACGCAGTGGTCATCAGAGTGACGACCAGAAGGGCGAAGTCGATTCTCATGGCGAATGATGAAGGCGATGCTCGTGAGTACAGGCGACGCTTGTGAGATGTGCAAAAATGCCCTACTAGGAGATGTTGAGAGAGCTGGATAGACGGACCAGTTGGCCAAGATTCGCCTCCAGAGAGCACCGCGAGTTTTATAAGCAAACCGACTTGAGATGACACAACACTAAAATCCAGAGCAGGCGCGACGTACTTATACGTACTTTCTCGCCTTGCAGACCAGAGAGCCTTCCCTGTTTGAGGCCTTTCTGGAAAAAGCATTGGCGCAGCTGTTAGTGCCGAGCGGCTGGACGAGGTACCCCATACTTGCATGCGCACCGAAACGCTTGCTCCCTGGTAGGTCGTGCGAAGTAGAATAACATTGAGATCTTATGCCTTGGAGCGGATCCCTACGTGCGCCAAGTTACAGCCACAACTGGCGGTCATAGTCCCTTACTAGGTACTATTCCAAATGAAGATTGAATGTGATTGAATGACTTTTTGGTGCTACTGACCTTGCTTTGCCTCCGACTTGTCTGCTTCAACTTCGCCTTCCAAGTTGCCAGCGAGAAAGCGGAACAAACCAAGCGTGTATTACCCGACTCCACGGTACGGAGTTCTCCCTAGGCAGCCACGTCGCAAGCCATCACTGTCGGTTTCGGGGCTTCGAAATCATGTTTACCTCCGTACGGTGAGTCGGATTTGTCCAGTGCTGCTGCTTAGGGCAGGCATCAACGTGTTGGTCTGCTGTCAGTGGATGACCTCCATGGGTCTTTAATCACTAAAAGGCCGTGCTTCCTGGCTTCAGGGCACCTGTGAGAAGCAGCCACGCCTCCATGGCAGTGCCGCGATCAGCACACTTGCCGCTGATGCCATGAATACTCAAATTCTGCTATCCATATCCTCGACCTAGCGAGCGAGGTAAGCAGTGATAGTTGATCGAGGTGTAAGAGGCGGTCAAGTGGCGCAGACCCCGTCTCGACAGACAAACGGCGGGAGTAATAACACAGCACAGTTTCCTAAAGCAGAGCGCTGCTTCCTTTGTATTTGCGGGAAAGCGGGGGGCCCGTGCGCACTTACATTAGCTTCACAGCAACCTGCGTCATGGCCGACTGTTGATTCATCTTGTCATTTCGTCTTAACGGTTACTGTTCTCTTTGAATTTTCTTCTTGCTTCTTCTCCTTTTTAGCGTCTTGTATTCGTTCATTCGTGGCGTTGTCAAGATGTCTACATGGTTGCAGGCCTTGTTGCGCGTAGATGACGATGCCAAGTCGGTGCTGGATTAAGGTTAAATCTAGACGAGTTGACTGGGTGGGTTCGCGGGATCAAGATCCATCGACACCTGGTTTCTAGAAGTCTTCTATTGGGCAGAGGTAGCGAGAGAGAGGATGGATTGCCCTTGTCAATATCATCTGATCTGAACTTTGGACTTGATTCAATCCATTTCCGACTCGCTTTCGCGCCCAGTTTGCGCTCTTCAGGTATCTCAATTATGAAGTACAAGCTAGGTAGTTAGTAGTGCAAGTTACCTAGGTAGGTATCCATTACACTCAGTCCTACCTTGAACGTCATCTATTCGTCAAGCGAATAGATCCAGTGCCTTTACAGATCAAATTATAGCCCAAAACATTGGGCGTCATAGTCATCCCTTCTGTTGGGTTTCCACGGCTACCCCAGCGAATGTTGCTGGCAACCCACGACATACGGCCATAAGATGCGTGTTAAACGAATTGCGCCTACAAGTAAGAGCACGAGTCACTAATACGCAAAGAAATCTAAGTAGGTTTCAAGCAACCGAGAAATGTAAAGTAAAACTCAGTAATACGATGTTTCAAAGCTCAGGCAGTCAACAAACCGTATTACAAGCAGACTTGTCGTTTGATATGAAGGTTGCGCATCTACTCAATCTGGAGCCCTTATTCGCGGTGGAGGACGTCCATATATACGTAAGGTCATAACGACCAGCTTATCCTGATCCAGGCATCAATGGGGACCTCCTTAGAAGTTCTAGGTAAGTGGCTCAGAGATTCGGAGTGAGGCTCCTTGGGCTCGCGGTGAGATTTACGCGCCAAGGCGTTGATGCTTTCTTTGCTCACACCAAGCAAGCAGCCTCTCATCTGCGACGGCTTTTCACCAGCCGTCGCGACCAATTTCCCCTATATAAAGGAATCGGGCAGTCTGTGGTCCTCATAGCCCATCTGATCATTCATATGCCAGCAATTGGGAAGCCGTATTTATGGACAGCTATATCGCTTTACAAGTCATGAAAGAATCGCGAGATGAGGTAAGCTTCAATAAGTGAGCAGCCTTCGAGGAAATTGATGACATAGTCTGCACTCGCAGGGCCACATACAAGTACCTCTAGCGGAGATTCAGATCCATGCAAGCCACTGCACATGATCGTTAAAGCGACCGACAATAGAGCTGACTTCCATTGTTGATGACTGTATGTATGCCTTGTAATTCTCACATCTGGCTGAGTCCCGCGATATTTGAAGAATGGCACTAGTAGTCTAAAAGTTAGCTGCATGAGTCAAGTGCAGCTTTTAGGCCGAAACACGTGCACGCGGTCACAATAAGGTAGAGGCGGCTGCTGATGACTCAGCAATTCTTGCCGCTGGCTGACAATCGCTCGAACCTTCCCAACTTTCTCACAACTCTCGTTCGATTCACCAGCCGCTCACCTCGAACTTCTAAGGGAAACACCCTCACTGGCATCAGTCTCTCACGATTCAAATTGCGGCCGCTCTCTTTCAGCGTTTATATCTCTTTAAAAGCATGATACAGCCCCTCTGAAGCTCAAACACCCCTCGGAGGACGCTTTGAGGGGAGGCAGCGCGTTACGACCATGGCTGAAGAGGAGACCGAGTTCTCGTCTTTCGACGACAAGGATTGGGAAGCCCAAGATGCCGCCGACGACCGCGAGATCGCGCGACTTCTGGAGCAGAGCCAGGACGGCGCCGGCGGAGGACTTAAGCTTGACGACACCCCCTTCGATCAGACCAACAAGGCAGACGATGCAGAGGATTTTGAGGACATCAGCGACGACGACCTTCCCGATGAAGAAGAACCGAGCGCGGGTACATCGCTCGAACTGCCTGGACTGACGGACGATGGCAACACTAGTAATGATGCAGACGATCTGTTCGGAGAAGGCCCATCCTCACCCATCGACCCCGTCAACGGCCCAACGTCACCCGCGCCTCTCGTTCGCGATGCCGAGGCAGCCGACGATTCGCAAGCGGTCGACGCAGGCATAAGCTTTGGCTCTATCAATTTCGACCCAGATCCGCACGTCAATGGCGCCCTTAACCAGGATCCCGACATTCCTGCGCCCGCCGAATCGATCGGAGACTTGCTAAAGGCCACTTGGCCAGCATACAAGAAAGGCCACATTCTGACATGGAGCGAACTTTTGCCACCGAAGAAGGCGACCTGGAAGGAGAAGAAGCCGCTCAAGAAGCCCAAGTATTTAGTCACGAGCAAGCTGAGCCTTGATGTGGCTCCCGACGATGAGAAACTCTTTCGGATTCCCGGACCTGCAACTTCGACCAAAGCGAAACCCAACGAATCAACAATCAATGGTCTGGTGCATTGCAGTCCTGCAACCGATGGTCAGGAAGAAGACATTGCACAGTTCGACCTCGACCATGACTCTGATACGGAAACCGTCATGGGCTTCACACTGCGCGATATCGAACTGGCCTGCGAAGATTGGAGTGTCCATATCGAGAGCGTCGAGGCCAGCTTTGCGGCCCAACAGTTGGCTGCGGAGGAGGCCGCATCGTCACAGAAGCGCCAGATCGAAGAGGTTGAGCAAGATGACGAATGGGATGCCGAGTTTCTGATGGACGTCGCCGACGAACCCCAGCCTCGCCAGAAGAAGCGCAAGACGATTCCGCTTGGCCTGCCAGAAATTCCTCGATACACCGCGCCCTCATTCGACAACTTCGAAGAAGCGACTCGACGAGGTGCAAAGCGCGTTCACCTGGAAATCAGCGACCCATATCTTCTGCTGGAAACGGAGTCCTACAATAATAACAAGAGACCGCGGCAGGAGGCGCAGTTGAAGCGCATGGCCAACGGAAATATGGGCCGGGATATCTCACAGCGCTTCAACCTCTCCAACGATGAGGCGTACGAACTCTTGAAGGAGAACCATCAGAGCAAAGTCAGAGCTACTCTTGGCAACATTTCGGTGGAGCACGGCATGCCTGCCCTCAAGCTTTCATGGCCGTATTACAAAGTCAAGCTCAGCGGCACAACGGATGAGTACCATCGTCCCCGGTTCCGCTATAAGAAAATGGTGGGACACACCATCAGGTTCGACAAGCCCCTACATTTCAAGCGAAAGCAGATGAAGGGCAAGGCGCATGAGATTTTCCAGAAGTCGAAAGATCTGAGCCTCTACGATAATTCTACTGCTGTGCTCTTCGAATACTGCGAGCCGAGGCCGAGAGTGCTGAACAACTTCGCCATGGGCAACCGACTCATCAACTACTACCGGCGAAAGGAAAACAGCAACGAAGAGGAGCAGCTCGCCAAGTTGGACCTGGGTGAGTATCGTACTTTGCTTCCTGAAGACCGCTCGCCGTTTTCCCTCTTTGGCACTGTCGACCCCGGTGAAGTCGTGCCGACGCTACACAACGAGATGTACAGAGCGCCTGTTTTCAAGCATACGCCCCGAAGCACAGACTTCCTCGTTGTCCGCAGCACCACGGGCATTGGCGGCCCGAAATGGTACCTTCACAAGATTGATCACCTGCACGTCGTCGGCCAGGCCTTTCCATCGGTGGACGTCCCTGGTCCGCATAGTAGGCGTGTTACTAATGCGTCAAAAAGCCGAATGAAAATGCTGGCGTTCAGGATGATCAGGCACAGTCGGACGGATAACTGTCAGTTGTCCGACATCACTAAGCATATTGCGGACTCCACAGACACTCAGAACCGACAGAAGCTGAAGGAATTTCTCCAGTACGACAGGGATAGCAAGGAGAAGGGAATGTGGCGCCTGAAACCTGGAGAAATACTTCCGGATGAGAACGCTATCCGTGCCATGATCAAGCCTGAGGAAGTGTGCCTGCTTGATGCCATGCAGCTTGGTATCAAGGAGCTTGAGGATGCCGGCTACGACCCTCGTAATGCAACAATTGACGATGACGCACAGGGACTCGACGCCGATGAGGAGGAAGACGACGATGGCGAAGGGAGCAAAATCGTCAAGGGGCCCAAGAAGGTTGTCGAGAAGCAGGAAGAAACACTTGCGGACAAAATGGCGCCCTGGAAGACGACAAAGGCGTTCATCGACGCTTGTGCTCAAAAGGCTATGCTCCAGCTCCATGGTGAAGGAGACCCTACCGGCCACGGACTTGGATTCAGTTTCATCAGAACTTCCATGAAGGGCGGCTACATAGAAGCAGTTCAGGGACCCTTGGCTACGTCAGCTGATGCGATGGAACGTGAGAAACGGGCGAACGGCGGCCACGCATATAACGTGAAGAAGCAGCAGGCAATGTACGAGGAGGGCATTCGTGAAATCTGGGAGAAGCAGAAGGCAACCCTCTCGGACACGAAGGAGCATGATGTCAACGATATCGCAGCGACGGAAGACGAAGATGATAGGTTCAACGTTCAATCAGCAGCCACGCCGGCCATATTCGACGACGGGAACAGCCAGATTAGCGGTTTTACTTCGTCCAGCCGACACCCGAAACGAGCGATTCGCATCTCTCGAGAGGTGGAGCTCCCCGACGGAACGACGCAAACGAGAATCGAGGTTGTTCATGACCCAGTCGTCATTTCACAGTATATCAAGCGGCGAACAGAAGCCGACTTGGAAATGCGAGAGTACGTGAAAGCCATTGTCCGATTCCAGACACTGTCTAGGAAGCCACCCCTTCTGTGGACGCAGCTGCCCACCTCAGTCAAGGCGCTTCACCGTTGGTCGAGGCTTGCCAAGACCTATAACAAGAGGCGGGCTCCGTCCTACGGAGTGGGATCGCCCGGCTCCATGGCAGATGTTGTTGGCTTGGAGTTTAGAGCGCCGGCTTACGTGTATATGTCTACAGTATCTACAGCGCAAGGCCTACGGGCAATGCCGACCACGACCGTCTTGCAAACCTTAGGTAAGATGTCGTGCCTGATCATTTTGGGGTTTGTATCAGAGTTGCTCACACTGCCGTGCAGGATCAAAAAGGAACTCGAACGACTGGAGAAAAACAAGGCCCGACGACAGGCTCGAGAGCAACAGAAAGAGCTTCACCAAAAAGCCAGCGCTGGCGACGCCGGGTCTCCTGGAGCCGATAAGGTCCCTACAGGAACCACCCGCAAGTGTGCCAATTGCGGTCAGGTTGGACACATCAAGACAAACAAAAAGTACGGTAACTCCTGCTTGTTCCCTCCCAGTCTCACCACCTCCGCGTTCGTCTTTTGATTGGTGGCATCATGCAAAACCGTCAGAAGAAGGGGTCAGTGGCTCCAAGAACAAGAGGAAGAGGAAGCGGAAGACAACCGTCCTTGCCCAGAAACTCAAGCAGTCTGATATCCAGACTCGAAGACTGGAACGCGCAAGCCTTACCAAGCGGAAGGCCAGCGCGGGACGCAGTCAAAAGTCTCGAAAAGAAGACGCCCAGAAGAAGACACAGGAAGAGCTGGACAGGGAGCAAGTGCTCCGCGAGGAAAGGGAGCAGCTGCAAGCTCTCAAGCGAGAGCTGCAGCAAAGAGCTCGCCAAGAGAGGGAGGAGAGGGAACGGGCGCAAGGCTTCCCTGACCGGGCGTGGTGGAGAGCTGCAGCCGGCAGGCCTCACTAAGCCACTTCTTTCGCGCCCCAGTACCTGTGATGCTCCCACTTCATCCTTTGTCCCACCTCATCCCTTTCCCGTTTGTTATGCCTTTCCTTTGGTTTCCCCCCGCAATCAAGGTTCTTTGTTTGCTAACTTTTCTCCTACCCAAGATTATGTCCTTTGCTTAACGGCACGATGAAGGCGGATAACGGCGCATCAGAGCACGGCGGCTTTGGTAACTACAATGCCCCCGCAGGAGGCGCAGGATCACCGAGCTAGCCATTTCAGACGTTTACATCTAGAAGCGCGCAAAATCGGGTGAGCCTTTGTTTTCCCTCGGTCCTTACGTGACGAATAGCCGACACGGACGCGACAAGGGGTGTGCCCGGATGGGCGATTAAAGCTTCTTTCCATTCGACGACACGCTAGGACTCCTGTCAGCCTTGGAATGGCAGCCTCGGGGAAGGTGGATGTGTGAACGAGACGAGGAGGTAGAACGGTTGGAAACGAAGATAATGCCCAAACGGAAGGTGGATCATCTGGTTTAGGAGTTGGAGGATCATTGTCTTTTTTTTTCCGCTGTTCCCTCTTACCAAGCGTGGTAACCGCGAAGGGTTTGGCTGGCGTTTAGGGGGGCTGCTTTTATCTCGAACAAAAGACCTTGTTCGAAGCATTTGCTTGCCAAGTGGATTTCTTTGAAGGGGCTACGTAGCTGTCCATCTGAACAAAGAAAGATTGTCCACGATTGGACCTCGTGTGCCATGCTCGATGTCCTGTTTGTACCTTGTGACGTGACGAGGAGTGTCTACTGCCTTGTGGCTTTTCATTTCCCTTTGTTTCCATGGTACGCGGAGTGTGATATGTAGCGGCAGAAGAACTCAACAGCCCGCAGTTTGGGGGCTAGGCATGTCAGAATCCGGCCTGCATGACTGAAGACGTGGGCGCGTAGAAAAAGGCCGTTGTAAATTCCAAGAGGGTATATGTTGGGACTTTGTGCAGATCAAGTCTATGGTATAGGCTATCCGAGATGTAGCTGAGCAGAGGTCAAAGGCCGCGGGGAGAAGTGGTTAGGCTGTAGGAAAGCTAACGCAAATCTGGATCATGAAAAACAAAGTCTGTGTTCTACAGGGCACTGTTTCTTACACTTTGTAAGTAAGTACCTAGGTCAGTAAAAATGCAAGAAGTCAACGAAATGATGACGATGGCGATGTTGTTGCTGGAGCACGACAGAGGACATGGGAGGGAAATCGAAAGCGTCCAATTAGGGGTCCGGATGATATTTTTAGAAACGCAACCACACAAAAGCCCCCCTGCCTGCAGGTGCATGCATGGTAAGCCCGCCCCAGAAGAGAGAGAAAAAGAGAAGAAGACAGAGCATACAAGGTGAAGGTGGTGGGGTCCAATCGGGAGACAGGCAGACGAGGCAGGGCAAGGCTGATGTTTTTTGAAGAAAAGGTGTAAAAGAGAGAGTTGGGTGTGTGTGACAACGACGGAGGAGGCTGAGCGGAAAGGCGGGCGGAGTGAGAATTGTAAAACCAGGGGAAAATGGACAAGTGACGGATACCTTCTGATTTTTCTTTGTATTCTGCGCTTGTGTGTTATCGAATTGTTCCTTCTCTTGATGCTTATCTGCATTAGTATGGAGGCGAATACACGGAAGTAGAAGGAAGAATCGCGGATATGTGAAGCTGTGGGTTTGGAAGAGACGGATATCTTGATGATAGCGGATATGGCTGCTTGGCAATAACATCATCTGTTTGGACGAAGTAATGATGCTGCAGTTGCAGTAAGTAGTATTGGAGCCGATGCAAGAATGAGCTGAGAAGGAGGCTGAGCAGGCAAAGGGTGGAGGAACCCGGTTCGTTTAGCCCCGGCCGGCAATGCAACGTCTGCAGCATCACGCTTACATATTGCTGCCCTCATCCGTGTGGCTCGCAGAGTTAGCTAAGTGATGAGGTGCTTGATGTAAGTAGTAAGTCTATTTTATTTTTGTCTTCATGCATCTGATCGGAGAGGATGGGTGGATAGATGATGGCGTGGGGGTGGTGTTTCTTTCCTGTGCAATTCTGCAAGCCAATGTGAAGGCACGACATGGTTTGATGCCGACTGGCTTGCAGTTTGTTCTATTTCTGAGGCGTGCCATTGGGGAACAAGACGGCTTTGACGACGACATGGGGTCGTGAATGCTGGGATTGATGTTGGTTCCCACATTGCGGCCAAAGGGTATGACGGAGTACATGTAGCGCCCTGGCGCTTATTTGTGACGAGTGATGGGACAGGCTGAACTTGACCTACGGGAACAGATTATGAGTATACTCCGTATTAATAAAGACAAAGAGCCAAGGGCAGGGCAGGGTATCTTGCAGTGTACACGAATGGAAGCAGGTGAAGCAGGCAGGTGAAGCAGATGGCAACGCGGCCTCTGCCTGTAAGCACGTAGGGGAAGCAGCAGTCTTCGACAAGGCAAGTGAGTAGTACCAGTGGTGATACCCTGGGTGGCAGTAGCATCGAGACCCTATCCGGCCTGGTGGAACAGAAGAGAATGGCGATTCTGCAGCATGCTTACAGAATTGCGCCGTCTAAGCGCGAGGCTCTGGCGAGAAGCGCGAGCGTGGAGGTGTGCGGCCAATGAACGGACGGTGACGAGGATGAGGTCAGCTTGGGCTTCGGGGCCTGGGCTATCCGTGCTTCGAACGGTCGATTCCCGGCATTGCGATGCGGGCGTGGAGTAGTAGTATCTTGTCCTTAGTTAAGCCTTCTAGCCTTGCTCCGCCTTGCATTACCTTGCCTTGTCACCGACCGGGAAGGGCAAGGGCTGCATCTTGGTGTTGTCTCTTGGCAGCTTGGCTGGCAGCTCGCACTTGGTGACGAGCCACTTGTGTGCGGCTCGGCTATCGCTGCCGTCGTACTCTGTGCGAATGGGCACATGCAGAGTCCACGTAGCTGGCATGGCATCCCGGAAGCTTTGTTAGTGAAAGAACAGAGCAATCATTCGACTGCTGATTCGACGTATGTATTATCTGAATCGTCCGATGACATGTCTCACAGCGACCGAATGTGTCAAGCCAACGGACGCTCTGCCCAGGCAGGCCATAGCCGCTGTGGTGTGAGGCTTTGCCAGGCGGCTAACCCGTAACCGCGATGCACGATTCATGAGACGTCTTAGCATGACAGCATGTTGCGTGCAGGGGCTGTTGTAGATGAATCGAGGTGTTTGGCAATCTCACCCGAATGTGGATTTGGCGAGGTCTTGCAGGTTCGATGACGGAAACTGTTCAAGTTGACAAAGGGCAAGATGTGAGTGGACTGACCTGATGAGTTAGGCAGTCGTTGAAGCCTCATGACTAGAGCCGGGTTTATACAAAGAGCGAGTCCACATACAAAGGCTGTATCATCTTCCATTCATGACCAATAGATGAATGTTTGACAGCTATAGAGGGAGCTCCTGCCAGAAGTGAGCCTTTCAGATATAATAGCCTATTACATGACTGTGATTGACACCTTGGTAGCACGTGGATACCCGCAGAATGGTTCGTGGCCGCTCTGCTCTGCGAAGCACATGACGATGGTTCGCCTTTGTACTGGCTCTCGGCACGTCAAAACCTGTGTCACAGAGCGAGTATATTTCATTAAGTTACTTGTTTGTACCAGAAGAGATAAAGAACTAAGTAGAAAAAGGACTTTGGTCGTGGAGAGCTCCATCTTTTACGACGGCGTCATTACATCCGTCTGGCTCATTCCAAATTGTCACCTCACCTCCAAGCAGAGCACGCACATGGAGTTCACCTCATGTTCCCTGTCGGGACCCGTTAGCGGTGCCCCAGTGCTAAGCCCTTGCCGCCGCAGCCAGTCATAGGGCTCGTGGCGGCAGCAGCTCGTCGCCTTTGCGCCTGTAGCGCTCGCCGTAGGGCCCCGTCCAGCCCCCTGCAGTCCCCTGTAGCCCCTGTAGGCCCTCCGCCTCCACCCTCGCATTGCTGCTTCGGCTCTAGCGGCGCCGGCAGAACCTGCTTAGCACGGACCCGACCTGAGCGTCTCGTCCCTACTAAATCCTCTTCCCACCCTTCAGGTTCCAGTTCAGACTGAACACGATCTCGAGGGCTATTATTAGAACCATCCAACGCCAGATTCAGCCCCATGGTCCTGCAACACGTTTAAACCGACCCCCAGCATATCACCGATCTCGTCCAGGCTCAAGCGACGAGCTGCTGCAGGCACCGCACGGCACGGCAGCGTCGCATCGCCCTCGCATCGCACCGCATCGCGACTTGACAGCAAGCAAGCACGGCTCTGCCTGCGGTACTGCTGCTGTCCGCTCCGCTGGCGACCAGGCCGATCCAGATCCCCAATCCCCCGACCAGCATCGTTGTTGGTCCTGGCCAACGCCGTTGGATCTGCTGGTGCTCCTGAGCCTCGAGAACCTTGTGCGGCCCTCGGGACCTGTGCATACAAGGGACCTCCAGTGGTACGGCTTGTACAAAGACGGCGCCCTCCTGCCTTTGTCTGGGCTCGTGTCTCCTCCGTCATCGTCTGTCAACGCCATCCTCTTATTCCTCCTTCTCCCTCGTCTACATCCTCGTGCTTGTCCTCGGCTTTGTCACATTTGCGCGCGCGCACATACGCACCGGCCAGGCAACGCAGACGCCCATCAATCCGCTGGCCGTCGCCTTGCCGTTTTCTCGACGGTACTCCTATTGCAGCCGTCTTACTGCTGCTGCCCTCCCAGTCTCCGTCCTCGTTCTGCCTCTTTGTGGGTCCGGACAAACACTTCTCTGCGGCGCGTGCTTTTTAAATCATTGCACAAGACTTCCCTCCCACCTCGCGCTGGCTCGGTTTTGATTGCGATTGCAATTGCGACCGTGACTGCGACTGCGGCCTTCGCCTCCGACCTCGACTCTGACCCTGACCCTGACCCTCTCGATCGCGAACTTTATCTCGACGAGCGTCCTTGGCTTCGCCCTTACAGCTCGAGGCTCGACACGCACAATCATACACGACCGCGGCCTCGGATTCGGCGAGCCAGACTCTCCAGCTCGTTGGCCTCTCGCGCCACACATCCCAATCAGCTCACAGCGCGACCTCTTGGGCACCGCGAGCCATAACTCAAAATGGGCAGAAGGAAGATTGAGATCAAGGCCATCGCCGATGACCGCAACCGCTCCGTGTACGTTGTTTCCGCCCCGTGCTCTCGGAACCCATCACCATGACGGCCTTGAGACTAACACCCGCGTCTTCTAGGACCTTTCTCAAGCGAAAGGGTGGCCTGTTCAAAAAGGCACACGAGCTCTCCGTCCTGTGCTCCGTCGACGTCGCCGTCTTCATCTTCGGCAACAACAAGAAGCTGTACGAGTACTCTTCAAAAGATATGGGACAGCTTATCACCAGATACCAATATGTACGTTCCACCCACGACTGGGTCGGTCGCACGGCATTGCTACCTACCAAACTGTCTGCTGGTATTAGCTGGACGCGATTCGCTGACAAGATGGCATAGCATGGTGGCCCCAACGAGCACAAGGGGCCGTCCGACTACAACAGCGGCCAAACCAACGACGACGACGACGAGGATGGTGACGGGACGCCTCCTCGTGGGGCGGATGGGATGGAGGCGCACATGATGCCTGCTCATTTTCAAGGCCAGCCTCCTCAACCCTTCCCTCAGATTCGCCATCAGACTGCCTCAGCGTCACCTCCCGTACCCAACGGCGTGCCTTTCCCGGGTCATGCTCACCTGCAGCGAAGCCTCACGCCGCAACCCGCCGGCCCATCGCGGCCAAACTCGAGAGGTGACATGCGCCGCATGGGCCATGGCATGATGCCGCAGCCCGTCGGGCCTCATGGACCCCACGGGCCTCACCCGGGCATCACTTACATGCCCACGCCACCCATCTATAACCCGGCGGCCAGCAACCAGTCCAGCCTCATGCCGCCCCAGCCTGGTCCTTACCCGTACCAGCCGCCGCCCCAGCCATACATGGAGGAGCGGAGGCCATCTGCACCTCCGACCTTCACTGCTCACCCTTCTCCCCAACCACTAGCAGTCGGCCCGCGCACAGCGAATCCCTCCCCTCAGCCGCCTCACCAATTACTGCCTCCTCAGTCCATGCCTCCTCACACCTCACCCCAGCCTGCACGTCGTCACCTGGACCCGCAGCCTCCGCCGCCGGTCGAGCCAAGGGCAGAAGCTCCCGAGAAGCCGAAAGCGCCACTCATCAACACGGACACGGCTATCAAGAAGATGTCCCAGCGTAAATCGCACAGCATCTTTACTCCGATCGAGGAAAACAGATCCATCTTGTCCCAGCATTTGGCATCCTTTGCTTCGGAACCCCAGTCTATCAAGAACGAGTCGGGGGCCTCGGCCGCAGCAAATCCCAACCGGTCCCAGTCGGCTGACAACGGGGCCGCCGTTCGAAATGGAGAAGCACCTTCGCCGCATTTGCAGCAACGTTCTGGTCTGCGCAATACGTCCGTGTCCTCCCTTCCTGATACGCCGTCGCAGACCGGCAGTCTGAAGATCAACACGGCTGTGGGGGGCACGAGGCCGAAGCCGCCTCGCCTGACGGTGCAAATTCCCGACGGTGGCTCTGAGGCTGGGAGCGCAACGGGCGACTCAAACTCACCTCGGATTCCGACAGACGCTGCGTCCAACGCGCCACATCGGCATAACAGCGTGGTCCTTCCGCCACCATCTCCGTCTGCTACGACACTCTTGTCCGCAGGGGCGACAGGGCCCCCCAATCCGTTTGCCCGGCCGGTCCCTCAGCAGAACGTCAACGGCGACACACCCGTTTCTGCGCTTCCCTCTCGGTTCTTGAACAATGAGCTGCTGCCGAGCCCCAGCAGTTTCTATCCGGAGTGGAACTTTAGAGGCAGCGACAACAATACGCTTCCCAGCCCCCTTAACTTCGCCACGCCCGTGGTAGGCACAGGGCCAAGCTTTCTCCGAGACGACAGCCATTTGTTGAGCAGCAGCGGGAACGCAGGCTCCGGCGCAGCAAGTGGCAACCAGGGCTCGACGCAACCATCAGGAATTGCCAAGAGGAAGAGTCCTGATCTTGAGGGGCCTGGCCAGGACGAGAATCAAGAATCGGCTGGCGACCCGAAGCGCTTGAAGGTGGAGCGATAGGCTGTATCACATGCTGTTGATCGATTGCGGTGCTGTCCATTTTCTTCAGATACCCCATTTGAACTTTGCTTCATCCCATTTTTTTCTTTCTCCATATGCTTCGTCATCTTCCTTTCTCTTGACACCTTCTTTTCTCAAGTGTATTTTTAGGCTCTTTGGTGTATGAGTCGTGTTTCTTTGATCACTTGGTCGCGTTTGTCATCGTGGCGCATGAGATGGATTATCGTGGGAAAGTTTCATACATCAACCTTTCGTTTGGCCGTCGCAAGATGGGGGGGGGGTATATATCCTGCTCGTTTGACGGCGCTGAGACGAGGCATTCTGTTATGCTGTCGTCTCGCACTTTGCCTTTTTTCTCTTTCGTTTGTGGCATGTTGGAAGATATCATCCGCCATTTTTTAATATGCTTTGTCAAGATATGGGAAACGAGACACGCGAATACAGGCTGAGGCGTGGTTGTCCAGCTTGTGAGGACTGGGTCCTGTATTTGGAGGGAGACCTAGAGGAGTTGCTATATTTCCGGGCGTTTCTTGGTTAGAAAATGTCGCGGGACCAAAGAGCTTGGAGCATGAGAATGGCGGTTGAAGGCGGCGGATCACATTCTATTTTACGCTGTTGAATATATTTGCCGGTTGAGGAATTAGTCGGTCTCTTACATGTCACCGCATGATGACCCGTATCTGCTTGACTATGCACATGTCCTCTCCAAGTTGTTTACTTGATTGAGAGGTAAGCCTTGAAGGAACTAGGCATAACTATATGGTTGCAGGATACAGACTGGCAGGTTGAACGACGACAATCACTGTGCCACTCCTGTTCCTGAAGCAAAAGGCCAATACAACAAGGCTGGCTATGTATTAACCCTTGAACTGAGTCTGCCGCCGTCGGCATTGACGGCACTTAAAACATCGCTAGCTGCAAAAAAAAAGAGACCATAAATATTGTACATCATCAGAACAGATAACAGAAACCGTTGGAGCAAAAAGGTTCCGTCACAATCATCACGCAGACGTCAACACTCCTTTCAAGATCCACTAAAAGCAAAACTTTATCAGCTTTCTCACTCTCCTCCGGCGCCCAAAGGGGGAATAAGGGGAAAGGGATTCAGCAACTTACCACCTCGCCATTAGCGACCCGGCTCGCAACGCGCTCAACCTCGACCCCATCCGGCATAACGACCCTCTTCTCCTCGCCACGATCCTCCCACCAAACCTCCTTCCCCGCCGCCGTCTTGGCCTTGACGCCGGCCTCCCAGGGGCTCGACTGCCCAATGACGAGATGCGCCTGCACGAACCTCATCATGTTCTCGTCCGCGCGATCTTTCCCGCCCGAGCCATCGTACGCCTGCTCCCCAAACGTCTTATAGTCGTCTGTATTCTCCCACGGTTTCTGGGGCAGGTCCTCGATGACGACGTTGCTGGGCGCGAGGACGGTGGTCTTGGTGTTGGGGTCGGCGAGGGGGTCGCTCGTCTCGGGGTGCATGCGGGAGAGGGAGAAGAAGGTGGTGAGGGAGCGCTGGGTGCCGAGGATGTCGACGAGGAGGACGGCGGGCTGGACTTTGGTTTCTTCGGCCTGGTTGGAGGGGGACATGATGACGGGGAGGTGGCCTGGGGGTGGGTATGGGGGGATGCGGTGGTTGTTGTGGAGTGGTTCTTGGGCGGCGGCGGGGGAAGTCGCTGCTGTTGTGGCTGTGAGGAGGGATAAGGGCAAGAGATTGAGAAGCCTCATTGTTCTCTGGGATGAGTTGGGCGTGGGTTGGGCCGGGGTTGGAAACGTTATGGGCGTACAAAGCTGGTGATAGGATGGGCTGAAGTTGATATCATAACTATCAAGGCGGTTGCAGGCACGACGACGTCACTGGGGTTGGCGTGATGAGTTAGGTAATCAGCGGCGAGAGTGCTCGAAACGGGAAGGAACGAAAAAGTCACATGATTTGAGCATTGGTTTGGACAAAGTACCTGGAAATTGAAATTGAAAGGCGAACCTACGGAGCACTGAGCAGTTTGATTGAGGCGCAAGAGGTGGAAAAATACTGTCCGAGAGTAGAAGCTCGCGCTATCAGAGATCGGTGGGAACATGCCAAAAAGCTTGGGCCAGAGGAGTTGGTTCAAGTGTATGCATCAACTACTCGGACGCCGTTTCTCGCGGCATGTTGAATCAATCACTCGAGAAGACGGTCAACTGGAGTTGAAGCGATTCTAGCCTTGTACAAGGCTTACATACCTGCCGAGGTGGCGTATCACGGGACTGTGAGCTTGGGGGGAGGCGGACTTTCACGTGAAGAAATGAGCTTGATTTCAAAGAGAAGGGGGACCGGGGAGAAGTGAAATGTCGGACAACATCAAAACCCGGCGCTGGCCAATAGCGGTTGTTGGAGAAATGTTGGAGTAAATCGCCTCGCCGACGCAGTTGCCCCGGCAAAGAAAAGAGCCGTTACCGTCATCTGACTTGCGCCAGTGCGGCGCCCCGGATTTGGGGATTTATTGAGTGTGGGGTATTACGGCTTTGTAGTCTGTTTCTTCCTTTTCTGATGAATCGAGTAGGTTTTGTACAATATGTGCAGTCTGGGTAATAGGCAGTAGAGGAGAATGGCGTGGTGATGTCAGGGTTCGGAGGGTTGCCATGGTCAGCTGGGCTGATGGATTGGACTTTCTGGCCTGACATGTGAAAGCATGTGGATGGAACTCCGGCTGGCTGGTGGCTTGTTCTAGTTTGGGTGCCACGGGGGATGACTTGCCATGCCCATGAATTAATGATGGTTTGATCAAGGTACGAAATTTGATCGGCCTGTCAAATAACAAGGAGGTGCTTGGTAAATGCTGTTGGCGCGAATGAACCATGTCCATGGCGTGGTTTGGCCATGCTGGGAAGTTGTGTGTAGCGTCTGGTGGAATCCAAGACCGTGATGGGCCACGATGAGCCTTGGCACTGGCATCAACGACCAACCCAGATTCTCTGGAACAATGACCATTGCCAGCCAGACCAGACTTGAGCGTTTGAGAAGTTGATACTTGCTCAAAACCTTTATGGTTATTATTGCCACGTAAGGTATATTCAACTGCAAACCTTTAATAACTACCATGTCCTCCCTTTCCATCCCAACTTCCCTCATCCAATGGCAGCAGGACCTTCGGGTATATCTTGTCCGAACAGACGCCAGTTTACAATGCCTGGACGCTGATTTGGCAGTGCGGCTTGGGGTAGTTTAGTGGGGTGACGAAGCACTAGAAGCGCCAAGCAGGACGAAATACCGAGCGTGAACAGGGACAGCAGATGCTGTTTTCTATACTTGAGAGAAAATAATTAATGAGCTGTAATATTCTTCCGGATCAATTGGAAGATCAAGTTCTCTCCAGACGCTCCATAAGACCAACATGTTTGGTTCATAAACTGCGAGATACGCGGGCAGCGAGAGGAGACGTCTGTGCAGCTGCTTGCGGATGGGATCATGAATCACGGGGAACGTGGAAGCCCGAGTACTCGCCAGCCAACCGAAGTACCGATACGCAGCGCCTCCCGCAGCCCCAGACTCCAGTGAACATGCTAGACTGCCCACCGCCCTGCCTCCCCCCGCTGCCACCGGCAACAGACACGCTGTGGCCACATGGGGTCCCCAGCGCCAAGTACCGGTACGCGCACGGATTACGGAGTACCGTCTCGGCGGCTTACCCACCTGGTTGCCTCGGCTCACTGCCGCCCTCGGCGTGGAGCTCCTGCCCATTCCCAGTCCCTTATGCTTTTAAGAACTCCAACGTCGAGCCGCGATCCGATTCTGCTTCTCTTTTCCTCCTCCTCTTCTTCATCCCTCCCCTTTCTTCTCCATCCATCTCTATACCCCTCCGTTTTCATCCTTTTTTTTCCTCCTCCCGTCCCGTCTTTCTCTTCTTTACCCTGCCAAACTACTCCACGACACAAATCATGGCTCCCAGAGTGATTGTCGTTGGCGGTGGCCGTAAGTACAAGCCCACAACTTCACCGTCTCGCGCTTATTCTTTCTGCCGCTACTTTCTTTCGTCCTCAGGGGCGATGCGAGTAGATGCGCAAAAGACGACAAGAGATGCCGCGTTTTGGATCGTCAGTTTGCTAATTTCCGCGCCTTTGCAGTTTCCGGTCTGTCTGCCGCTCACACCATCTACCTCGCCGGTGGCAACGTCGTGGTTCTCGACAAGCAGGGTGAGTTCTAACCCCACAACGCGATCACCGGCCTTTTCTCGCATCGCACACGTTGTGAGAGGCCATTGCGACAGTTACGGGAAATGCTGACTTGTACTGCTCAGGTTTCTTCGGCGGTAACTCGACCAAGGCCACCTCCGGCATCAACGGTGCCCTGACCCGCACCCAGGTCGACCACAACATCCGCGACAGCGTCAAGCAGTTCTACGACGACACCCTCAAGTCCGCTCGTGACCAGGCTCGCCCGGACCTCATCAAGGTCCTCACCTACAAGTCCGCTGCCGCCGTTGAGTGGCTGCAGGATGTCTTCAACCTCGACCTGACGCTCGTCTCCCGACTAGGGTGAGTGTGCCATTGTTTTGTTGTTTGTTCTGCCCGAGGAAGGGTTGCTATGATGATGCTGTTTTTGGCGAGCGAATCCAGCTGACAATTTGTTTCCCAGCGGTCACTCCCAGCCCCGAACCCACCGAGGCCACGATGCCAAGTTTCCCGGCATGGCCATCACCTACGCCCTGATGCAGCGCATCGAGGAGCTTGCCGAGGCCGAGCCGCACCGCGTAGAGATTATCAAGAAGGCTCGTGTCACCAGCCTGAACAAGGAGGGCAACAAGGTCACTGGTGTTACCTACGAGCTGAACGGCGAGACCGCCACCCTGGATGGCCCTGTCATCCTCGCCACCGGTGGTTACGCCGCCGACTTTGGCGAGGGCTCTCTGCTCAAGAAGCACCGCCCCGAGATCTTTGGCCTCGCCACCACCAACGGCACCCACGCCACTGGTGATGGTCAGAAGATGATCATGGCCATTGGCGGCAACGGCATCGACATGGACAAGGTCCAAGTTCACCCCACGGGTCTGGTCGACCCCAAGGACCCCGGCAACAAGTGGAAGTTCTTGGCTGCCGAGGCTCTGCGTGGTGAGGGTGGTCTCCTTCTCAACGCCGACGGCGACCGGTTCTGCGACGAGCTCGGCCACCGTGATTACGTCTCCGGCATGATGTGGAAGGAGAAGGACAAGGGCAAGTTCCCCATCCGCCTGGTGCTCAACTCCAAGGCGTCCAACGTCCTGGACTTCCACACCCGCCACTACTCTGGCCGTGGTCTGATGAAGAAGATTACGGGCCAGCAGCTCGCCAAGGAGATTGGCTGCACGCCCGAGCACCTGCAGAAGACGTTCCAGACCTACAACGCCATCGCCGAGGGCAAGCAGAAGGACCCCTGGGGCAAGAAGTTCTTCCACAACCTGCCTCTCGATATCAACGACGACTTCCACGTCGCCCTCATGGAGCCCGTCCTGCACTTCACCATGGGCGGTGTCGAGATCAACGACAAGGCCCAGGTCCTCAACTCGGAGAAGCAGCCCTTCGAGGGCCTCTTCGCCTGTGGTGAGCTGGCCGGTGGCGTGCACGGCGCCAACCGTCTCGGTGGCTCCTCGCTGCTGGGCTGCGTCGTCTACGGCCGTGTTGCCGGTGACAGCGCCAGCAACTACCTCTTCCAGCATGCCCTCCAGGGCACCGCCGGCGCCGCTCAGCGTCTGGGCCAGATCTCCCTGCACCTCGACCCCTCTGCTCCCGGCAGGCTGACTGTCGAGTGGGCCAACGGCGGCGCCGCCGCCGGCTCCGCTCCCGCTCAGGTGGCCGCCAAGCCTGACACTTCTGCGGCCGCTCCCAAGGAGACTGCCAGCAAGGCCAAGGCCTTCTCCATTCCCGAGAAGGAGTACACCATGGAGGAGGTTGCCAAGCACAACAAGAAGGAGGACCTCTGGGTTGTCGTCAAGGGTGTTGTCTTGGACCTGACCAACTGGCTCGAGGAGCACCCTGGTGGTGTCAATGCCATCCTCAACTTCATGGGCCGCGACGCCACCGAAGAGTTTGAGATGCTGCACGACGACGAGGTCATTCCCAAGTACGCCCCCAGCCAGGTCATTGGCCGCGTCAAGGGACAGAAGGTGACTCTTGAGATCTAAAGGGGAGAAATGAACTGCAATGTCATGTATAAAAGAATGAATCGGAGATGGAGGACTAGCGGCGGAGCACTGATGGGCATCTGCGAGAAACGTGAGATGCATATACCATGATGATGACCTGCGAAGGGGGGCAAGCCTCTTCCGTGTTGCTCACCACGATGGGCTGCTAGATGGGCTTTTTACAGGCGCACCGGCTTTGGATGTTTGACATGTGTTTCATGTAGTGTACGGATAGCTATGCTTGCTGCTTGCATATAAATCAAACTGTTGATCTACACGGACTGTCTGTGATGTTGAAGTTGTGGCAGAAGATGCAGCTCCTTTGTCGGCGACATATATCAGGAGGCATCTCCGGAGTGAAGCCGGGCCTTTCAGAGGGACACCCGAGTGTCTTTTGAAAGATGGATCTTATACATCACCACTGTACTCTGGATCAAGTATCGCCTCCTCATG